ATGCCGGATCAGCCATCAATCACTGACATCAGGTCCTGGCATGGCTTGGTTAACCAGTTGGCTCCCTTCCTTGCCACTGCACCTGTGATGGAGCCCTTCCGTGAGCTCCTCAAGAAGCCAGTGGGCAAGCAGGTGTATTGGGACGACCAGCTGCGGCTCAAGTTTCGCCAGGCCCAGGACACCATCTGTCAGTTGGCCAGAGACGGCTTGGTGTACTACGACAAATCCAGGCCTACGGCAGCTGTCACTGATTGGAGCAGGGAGGGCATCGGCTTCGTCGTCCTGCAACAATACTGTGCCTGTGCTTCTCCAGAGACGCCCTTCTGCTGCAGAGGAGGGTGGCGGTTGGCTCTGTGTGGTAGCCGACATCTGAGCACGGCTGAGGCCGGTTATGCTGCAGTAGAAGGGGAGGCCCTGGCTGTGGTGTGGTGCCTGCGCAAGGCCAGGCTGTTCCTCCTTGGCTGCCCGAACCTCATTCTGGTGACGGACCACCGCCCCTTAGTTGGCTTGCTAGGGGACAGAGCCTTCACGGATGTGGCGAATCCGCGCCTGTTCAGGCTCAAGGAGAAGACCCTGCAGTACCGATTCACGGTCAAATACTTGCCAGGGAAGCGGAACTGTGCAGCTGACGCCCTATCCCGCTTCCCCTCCCTCAGGGCGGCGCCTGATGCGGAGGACATGGACCAAGAGGAGGACCTGTGCGCTGCAGTGTGTGCAGTCACAATCGCAGCACTGGATCAGGATGGGTGCATCACTATGGACGAAGACACAGTATGCAAAGCGGCGGCGGACGACCCAGTGTACCAGATTCTAGTGTCGAGGGTGCTGGCGGGCGACTGGCACCCCCACAAGTCACAGGAGGTGGCCTGTCTGCGCCCGTACTTCTCGGTGAGGGACAGGTTGGCTGTGGTCAGGGGTTTGGTCACCTACACCTTTGACCAGGGCTGCGTGCGCTTTGTCATCCCCGACTCCCTCCGCCACCGGGTCGCCGTTAACCTGCATGTGGGGCACCAGGGCCTCGACTCAATGCTCAGGCGGGCCCGGCAGTCTGTCTATTGGCCTGGCATGGAGGGTGACCTGCAGTATCATCGGTCCCGGTGTGCTGCTTGCGAGACCCACGCCCCTTCCCAGCCTCCGGAGTCGTTGGTTCTGACCCCAGCGCCAGACTATCCCTTTCAACAAGTGGTGGCTGATTTGTTCCACCTGCAGGGCCGCACGTACCTAGCATATGCTGACCGACTGACAGGTTGGCTGGAGATCGCCCACTTCCCCAACGAGGCCACCTCTGGAAAAATCATCGCCAGTCTGCGGGCCTACTTCACGAGGTGGGGGGTACCTGAGCAGATCTCCACAGATGGAGGTACCAACCTTGCCAGCCTTGAGATGACAGATTTCCTCACGTCATGGGGGGTCGAGGTGCGCCTCTCGTCGGCCCACTTCCCCCAGTCCAATGGCAGGGCAGAGGCTGCGGTCAAGGCTCCAAGCCCCTCACTTCCCCCAGTCCAATGGCAGGGCAGAGGCTGGGGTCAAGGCTGCCAAGAGGCTCCTCAGGGATAATACTGGGCCCGGGGGTAGCCTGGACTGCGATAGGACATCCCAGGCCCTCCTCCAGTACCTGAACACGCCTCTGCGGGGGGTGAACAAGTCGCCCGCCCAACTTGCCACCGGCCGCCAGCTCCGTGACGGCGTTCCCGTGGCCAGACAGCACTATAAGGTGGACCAGCACTGGCGGCGGGCACTTCGTATGAGGGAGGTGCGCTTGGCCGAAACACAGGATGGGGTCCTGTCGCGGAGGGAGGTATCCCGCCAGCTGGCTCCCCTAGTCGTGGGCACGCAGGTGCGTGTGCAGGACGCAGCTACCAAGCTCTGGGACAGGACAGGCATAGTGGTGGAAGCCCGCCCTCACAGGCAGTATGCCGTCAGGTTGGGTGGCAGTGGCAGGGTGTCCATCCGAAACAGACGCCACTTGCGAAACGGCTCCACACCTGTGCCTACTACTCCGGTGGTGCACCAAGCTGTGCCTCCTGGGCCCCCTTCTGCTGTGCCCTCCATACCCGCGCCCTCCTCCGCACCCACGGCCCCTCCCCAGTCGAGCGCGGCCAGGCCCAGGAGAGGCCGTAGGCCTCCGGGCTGGTTGACGGACTACGTGGTGTAGTGTATGTGATGTAAAATCAGTTTAGAGGTTTTTTTTTGTTTTTGTTTTTTTTCCTTTGTTTGACTCGTTTTTCCTGCATTATTGTTGTTTTTATGAATGCATTGTTTTCCTTTTGTTAGTTCAAAGGTGCATTGTCATTTCCTTTTAACTTGGGGGGGAGATGTAAGAGTGTACCATCGTACGATATGTTTTCCCATGTTGAGTGGGGGGGCTTGTCCTTGGCAGCGCCTGGTGGCCAGTGTCCAGCTGACGCTGTTATAATAAAGTCTATAGAGAACTTGGTCTATGACTCCAACCTCTCACACACCGTCTTGATAATTTTATGACACCTCATGGCACTTGACAACACCTTGCTATACTCCATGACAGTTTATATCTTGCAATAGTTCAAGACATTTTGCAACACTTTACGACATTGATAACTCTTTACGACACTTGCAAGACTTTAAAGCATTAGTGGTACCTTATTGACACTTTACGGCATCAATGACACCTTATGACACTTAAAAAGACTTCACAGCACTTTACGACCCTTTTCGACACCGTATGACACCGTAAACTATTCGAGACTTTATGCCACATTATAACACTATGAAACTGTATGGCTTTTTAATGTGCTTTAGAACACTGATACTTAAGGCCACTGACAATTCATGACACTTTAGGAGAAATTAGGTCACTGACACTTTGGGACACTTTAGTACACTTTGTATTATTTTACTTTCACACAACCATGGAATCTTATGAATTTTATCATTGCAATCAATAGTTTAGACAATCCTAAGACACTTTTGTAGTGGTTTGTAGTGTGTCTATGGACCCCCTCCCTTAAAGCCATATTTCTCTCAGCTAAAGACTGAATTGCCACCAATCTAGTAAGGACTTGGTGCCATCTGTTCCTCTCAACCTTATCAAGTGCCATCTCTTGTTATATTGTTTTCCCCTTTGCAAGGTTAACCTCCAAGTCCTTCCATGTTGCCATATGTGTAGTGTGTTCCAAGTTATTTTCAAATGACTTGAGCAAGTGGCTGGCATTTTTCTAATATCTAAATCATCTTTATTCAATTTAAAATCCTTCTGAAAAACCATTTTACAACAGAAGCAGTAAAGACTGTAACTTTTCTTTTAATACATTAGCCAGCTTCTTTTGATTTATTCTATATTGACTCAGACTGTTAAAATACTCATGATGACATCTTCCACCTTTTTGTTTTGATAAGTGAAATTTTGCTTAATCTGATATGGTCCTCTTCGAACAAGCTGTTTTTACCTTATCAGACAGGAGAGATGGCCAGTCCGCAGGGTCTACAGGTGCAGCCTTTCTGTACTCATCTGATGTATCACCAGCGTGGAAGGGACAGGGGAGCTTGACATTGTGTCATTGGGCTGTATAGAAGTAGAAGGGACATGGGAGCTCAAGATTTCCAGGGAGAGGAGGTGCAAAACATTTCAGAAGTGCATCTGAAACAACAAACAGTAGGGCTGTGTGACCATTATGCATTACATGATAACAGAGCAGTTGACATGTGACGGTTAACCCAGCAATAATAGCCTATGCCATGACATATAGTCTGTAACGTTAAAATAAGAAATGACAGTTTAGCCCAGTAATAATAGCTCACTGCCTATACCAAAAGTCCACAATTCATCATATTAAAATAAAATCTTTAATAATTGAAAAAAATTCAATATATTATTATTTTGTAATTTGAATTAAGAATAAAAGGAAAACTATATGGGAAGGTATTCAGGGTGGCCATTTCTGAAGAGAGAGCTATCAGCAAATCAGCTTACAACAGGGTCATTATAAATTGTTGCATGGAATTTGATATGGAGAAACAGTACAGCACATTCCTAACATTATTTATTACCTTTGAGTGATACATGATGGTTTGATTTGGCTATTTGTGCACTTAGACAACTGATTAATGAATCAACCATGGAATATGCAGATGCACATAAACTACAATATTATTTACTAAGTGCTGATAAATACACTACAGTACTACACTATTATTTACTAATTGCTGAAGACAGATGTGGTATGTTTGACAGATGGAGAGTACTGTCAACATGGCGAGGGATGGCTTGAATGATAAGCTGTTCTCGCTTTGTAAACAAAAGACCAGGAATTTAATACAATGCAACAACTCATCTAGGGTCGAGTACGAGTTTTATCTCGGGAAAGTCGATTATTTTATGATGTTATATCAACCCGGCACCAAATGATCCTAAATAATATGGGAATTATGGTGAAATTACATAAAGACATGTTACCTCCCACTCCCAGTTTTTCTTTGTTCATAAGCCACAGGAGAACATTGACATGATTTTTTACGCAAATTCAATAGTTACCACTACAGTACGTACATATACCCGGTAATACTTTACAGTATGAAACAGTCATATCGGTGGAAACAGTTGTTGACAACCAGTATGTTTGATGTCTCTCATGACGCAGATATGCAATGTGTTTGTGAGCCACACACCCTTCCCCTACCATCCCCCCCCAGCCAGATGCACAGAGCGAGTTTGTGAGAGACTCAGCCAGGCTGCACACACCTACCCTACATCCCTACTGTCCTCTCCCCAGTGTTTGAATCTGCTATCCCAGTTTGTCCGCTCGTACTGAATCGCATTTATTTACTATCATCACTACACTCGGGAACACATCCCTATTTATCCCATGTGTCATTCCCTCCGTTATACGAGTTTTCGCTATACGAGCTGACTCCAAAGAACATATCTACTCGTATCATCAAGATGTTATGATAAGCTTGATCATTATGGGGTGAAAGGTAAGACCATACTGTTATGTGAAGCTCTATTAAGAAAAACAAAAAGATTAACAAGATTTTAATATATATATATTTAAATAAATAAAAGACATAAGTGTTCACTACAAACACTACAGAGACTGACCTACAGAGTTCCATTCTAATATACTTCAACTTTTCTCAGCAAACATCTCAACAAGATTAACACACTTAATTTTCAAGACAATTTTTAACTCACAAGCAAAACAGGTCAATCAACACAGGTATAAGATACAGATGATAATACAGGTGTAAGATACAGACCATAACAAGGATGATAATACAGGTGTAATATACACTCCATAACAAGGATGAAAATACAGGTGTAATATACACTCCATAACAAGGATGAAAATACAGGTGTAATATACACTCCATAACAATGATGATTATACATTTGATAGAAAGGTTCCAACTCAATGAAGGTCTCTCCTGTTGCACCTGAACTATATTGTCACACCTACCTGAACCACACTTGATAAGATTTCAGTTAAAATGATTGTGCAAACTGATGACTCACTCATAGCACACTGAATATTATATTTTGTTCCCAAGAGTTTGCCTCAGTCAACCAAACAAAGGCAGTTCCCACAATCCAGGAAGGATGGGAGGGGAGGGGGGGGGGGCAGTTCCTCTCATTCAACCAAACACAGTTCTCACAATCCCAAGGAAATTTATGATGAACAATACATAAGTTACATGAGTGTCCTAAATCTGTTAGCAGCAACATGTGCTCTAATAAAAGTAAACTGTACTTTTCTTTGAGGGGCAGAATTTTTCTCAAACTTGCCAAGAAAAAACCTTTGCACTGGTCTTCAAATTCACCTGTCAAAAAGATAAGTATCTAGAGAACATCTTGGATTTTTTACTAAATTTCCCTTTCCCAAATTCTTAACCAACAATTCTCCTCACAGTTCAATTACATCCTGAGCTGAAAGTAATGTCTTCTTATAAGAGATACCGAGGAAGTTTGAATGTGAGTGTGAGGGAGGGGGGTGTTCACTGGTGATATCTCTACACATCAGTGATGGCTGTACTGTACTGTGAATAGATGAATGAATGATGTATCATAGAATAGAGACTCAAGAAATGCCTCTTAGTACCATCTTTACTATCTATATCTAACTCAGTATACCACAAATGTGATATAGACATTAATCTGCACTATTAGAAGGCAGTCATGTTCATGTCCTTAAGACTTTGTCAGCTAAAATAATAATTTAAAGATTGTCAAAAATGTTTGCCCCAGAGATCCAATTGATATCCTAACCTGATAAAACATAACACATTGATTAGGATCTTTGAAGACACACACACATATCCTCCACACATTAGAAAAATAATTACTCTATAATTAAAAATTTGTAAATCTTACATCTAAATCATTAGCCCTTAAATTAGTCAAAAGCATGGGTGTACTGGCCTCAGTTTTCATTATCCTACACTAAGGTGACAGTGTTAAAGCTTGCACTAGTTCCTCTCAAAAATATGTGTAATGAAATACAAATATTTCTATCTTATTCCAATCTCAAACATACAATTTTATAAATTCACCCACCATCTTGCTTGTATACTTCCACACAAGGATTTTTTTAGAAAAGCTAAATTAGGCATCAAAACTGTCTATAAAGGAACTAACAGTAAGTTCTAAAAGTGTTAAAAGCAGTTTTAAACATAACTGGTCTACAGGTATTGCATTTATTGAAATGCAATCTCTTAAAATATTACTAAATTAAAGTGAATAAAAATGCAAAAATACTACTCAAGTAATTCAGAACAACCCTTTTGACAATTTATAAATGACTCTTAGCAGCAGCAATTTTGATCGGATTGTTCACAAAAACTTAAAAACTGGTAAGGTGCCATGAACGCACACAGGTGCTGAAGGTGACACGCACACACACACAAAATAAGTTGTTTCCCTCACCTTCTACAACACACACTACACCTTCACTGATTTTTCACCTAGCCAAAATTTCTCAGTGTAACAGAAGGCCATAGCTCTAATAACCAGCATATAAAACACAGATTATACAGCTTTATCAAATTATTCATGTGAACTTGCATCCCAATTTTCAAGAGGATCAGCAGAGATTTGTTTGCTCAAGTGGTCCAATAGACAGGCTGATGAACAGAGGTAACAGTGTATTTGTCCATACTGTATGATGGAGAGATAGTTCATAATAAACCCTGACTCCGATCACCATAAAGTAGAAGTAAAAAAAAAAAAAAAAAGTTCCATTGGCACTTACACCAAAATTGGGACAGCAAACTGAAAACTGATTCACAAACCTGAAATTGTCACAGAAAATTGAAAACTGACACCACTACAATCCCAACTGAAGGCCCTGTTGAGAGTACAAGTCATCTACAAAAATCATTTCATACTTATATTGTCAATGATCAAATTATTAGATTTAAATTTACCATAAAGATTATATCAAATACAATTCTCTTTGAAATCAACTTTTCATCATAAAAAATATTGTGTATACACTATACTGTACTATTTTCAGCGTGCATTAAATTGTTTGGGAGATTCCCTGCATGAGTTACTCTGCCCTGAACACAGAAAACAACTACGGATGAATCAAGGCAAAAATCTATCTACACTTATGTACATTGTAAACAGCCCTTCCCATATTCTAAGCAGGGTAGCACATGCAGAATCAAATTGCATATATAATAATGGAAAATTTTACTGTCATTTACAGTGTAAAGAATGTGAAGAGAGAAACTGATGAGGGAGTGTTTGAGAAGAGAGAGAGAGAGAGAGTGGCAGGGCCAGTGTGTACAAGAATAAGTTCGGGTTACACATAGGTTAGGTACAGGTACACCTCGATATACGAATGGGTTAGGTTAAAAAAATAATTAAGTGAATTTTCATATAGCAAATAAAAGAACAAATGGGAAAATGGTTCACAAACAAGAAAAGACCTACAATATCTAACTAATGATAAATGTAGCTTCACAATGACTGTAATTTACTACCTAACATATTAAAAGCATTAATAAAATACAATCTAGACAAAGATATGCAGCTAAAACTATTAAGAAAAAACTAAATCAAAGATTAATACAGCCGCCAGTGGCGCCATTTGTTTCATGCGTGGCTGCCCTCAAGCATCACCACAGCCTGGCTACTTCTGCCAACCCTAAGCAAAGCTCCCCCTCCGGTTCTCACACACAAAAATGTTGATGTGTTTGACCTTATGATAGTTATTTCTTTTACTGTACATTTTTATACACATTACAATATGTATGTAGGATTGTGTGTGCATGTAACTGAATGAAAAAAAAAAAAAAATTAAGGCATGCTTATACTGTATACCCAAACTTACAAGTTGAAAAATAGCCATAACATAACTCCTACCTCCTCCACGTGGTAGGAAGAGTGTGAGGGGGATGTGGCTGCCCCAGCTGACTCTTGGGGGGGGAGCACAATTTGAATTTCTGCTGGGACCCAAATTTGTATAAGCAGGGGAAGCTTACCTAACACATAAACAGGTGGTAATTCAGGAAATTCGTAAAATGAATTTTCGTATCTCGAACATTCGTATAGCAAGGGATACCTGTACAAGATACTGGGTTCAGAGGGACAGGAGGGAAAACCTTGCAATATGCAAGACTTCCTTTTAGAGTTATTTAGCTGGCAGTGATGTTCACTATCATTCCTGTGAACTGAATATTTGTCAAAAAATTCTGTAAAAATTACCAGTGAATATAAACTGGATTGATTGTCTTCTTAATTACTGTAATATTCTAATGAACTTTACATGTAATTTAACAAAAGAAAGATCTTCCTTTATGCTGATCATCACCATACTACAGTACTGTTTCAAGATATAATTCATATTATAAAAAATCAGTAATAATCTAAAATAAAAATTTGACAAACATTCACTGACAGTCTCACAAATTGCTAAAATAAATAATATATACAGGTATATATATATTATTTTTCAAAGTCACTTCTTGGCAGTCTTGGTATACTTCTTGCCCACAATACATTATGGTAACTTAGTTTGTGTCATATAAAAATATTTAATATAAAAGCCCAAGTTACAAGGAGCTCATTGATATCTTCCACATTTGGACTGAGTCTGATCTTTGTGTCTGGTGGTCCCCATCCTCATCCAAGAGTGTCTCACAAGAAGTGGAACTCTCCTCTGCCTCCATTTGCTCTCTACTGACTGATGCCTCAAGCTCACTCTCAAAGTAGTCATCAATCGAACCGTCAACTTGAGTTACTGCCACTCTGTGATCCGCTGTTGTTGAACTTACGCCATTTTCGTACTCACAGTATCGATCATTGTCCTCCTCTACCAGATCCACTACTTCATACGGGTCATCATGATACAGATTTTCACTTTCTGAAATAAACTTCCTTTAGTACTGTAATACATTGGGTATGGTTAGTGTTATGTATTTATTAAAATAAATTTACTCCACCCACTAACTCTCTAAAACCTTCAGCCTTCACCTGTTGTAATGCAGACTGACAGGAATGAAGAACATGTTGAGAATCTTAAAATACTCTAGTACATGTTGTACAGCTAAGTAAAAACTGTCACATTATACCAAAAAAATCCCAAAGATAACACAAAACATTTTACCATCCACACCAACCATGGATACATAGAGAGAAAATTGAGACATACTGTACTGTACTGTAATAGTTTAGCATGGAAGACAAAGGTTGAACATGAAGAAGACTGTATGATTGGATGACTGACACACTGATTGACTGGATATTTAATTGGCTGACTAATAAATTATGTGAATGACTCCTTAATGACTAATTAAAAAATTAACTGCCTGAATAATGAATTGATAGAAAAACAACCTGATTTATTTGTTAAATGATTGTTTGATTAGCTGACAGACAAAATAATTGATTGACAGACAAGAGACAGCCTCCTGATACAGTCAAGGACCAACCATATTGTTGGTCATTTCTGCTGGGTTTTTTTTACACACAATACATTCAAGTGTCCAGAAGAGTAAAAAAAATCTGTCAACATCCAGAAAGATCTCAACATGATGAGCAGAAACCAGCACCATGACAACTGACCTTCCTCGTGGTCGTGACTGATGGTGAGGTTGACACGTTGCTCCAGTTGGTAAGCATCTGTCAGGGTCTCTAGGGTGTCGAGAGCATGGCTGAACTCTATCATGGGCAGCTGACTTGTGACCCGCAGGAGTCGCAGCAGTACCCCATGAGCCAGTTGTTGCTTCTCGTTGAAACCAAGTTCTGCACCACAAAAAAATCATTGTGGTTATCTGCAAAATTTATCCTGTGCAGACTAATAATAAAAACCAAGTGAGTGAGTGACTACCCATGTGTAAATGTAGGTGCTCAAACAATTACAGAAGATATGCAAACATAATATGGTTTGTAATCTCTAAATCATAAAGAAGGAAACTTTTTACTCACTAAATTATAAGATAATGAAAAGATTTTGTACTCTTCAAAGGAATGGATGTTATTAATAAATTAGGAAGGAAGTGTTCTCTCTAAATCAGAAAGGTTATTTTACACTCTATACACCAGTGACAAATGGAACATTTTACCATAAACATTAAGTTCAGTTTTAAGTGAGCACCAATGACTCAATTAACACAAATCATGTTCATATTGTAAGTGATCCATTAGTAGGTAGCTATCAAACAGGAAGGTACTACCACCTGGGAAGATATTAGAAGTATAATGTGTTGTCTAATGGTAGACCCTGCTGCTGCCATATGTGACCAAGTCCCAGGTTGTTAATCTGACTTTCTGCCTCATTTACACACAATTGCAGGGTTTCAATTGTTTCTCTTACTATTGACAACACAACATACATACAGTATATCTTTTTCACTATTTGATCTTTTTTCTTCTTTTTTTGTATGGTCCTTTATTATTTTTATTTATTATTTTTTTATAATTGTTAATTAAGTTTTATTAGATCTTCTTCTTATTATATTTTTGCCCCCAGGCCCTTATGTGGGTCATTGACCTGTGCCCTGGTGGGCTAATCCCAGTTAAAAAAAAAAAAAAATTCTGTAAATTAGGTTAAAATCATGAAACAATGGAATAAACACAAACAAAAATAAATGTCTCTTTTACCCGTATCAAGAGGAAGTATTTGTGACAAGTCCCAGGTAGGCTCAGATTGTGCAGACTTCCTTTTTTTGTAGAGACGTTTGTTACTGCCATTTACAGACCGCACACCAAGACCCATAGATGAGCTCTACCAATATAAATAACAAAAACAAAGGTATTAGACAATAACTGGTGTCTAAAAAAGCTGAAACACTTAATGAAGCTACAATCTAAATAATATACTGATGCTACCATTATACTTAAAGATTAAAATAAATGAACACATTATCAACAAAGATGCGAGTATATGTCGTACTGTACGAGTGTACAAGATGACTGTACTTGGAAGTACTCCACTTACCCCATTACCAGAAGTACTAGACACTATCCCCCCATTTTTCTGGCCCTTCTCTGTAGTGCGTTGATGATGTTTTAAGGCAACTCTACCAGCCGATCGTTCATTCTGTCGAGGTTTTGTCGATATTTTATCAGATGGTTTTGATGTGCTCCTATCTGAAACCTTGGTAGGGGTAAACCTCTCCAGGGGTTTAACAATTACTCTCTCAGAAGGTTTAATGACAACTCTCTCTGGTGGTTTTGTCACCAGCTTCTCCCCAGGTCTGCCTGTGATCTTCTCAACTGGCTTAGTGATGACCTTTTCTGCAGGCTTCCCTGGAGGCTTACGCACAACTTTTGTGGCCGAAACGCTCTCTTGAAATTTTTGTGCGAGTTCTTTTGTCCACGGTTTAGGAAGTGTTTTGTGTATAATATTTGGACTCGGTGTGTTGGACTGGCTGGGCACTTTCTCTGGGGAGTTTCTGTGTGTGTGAAAAATAAAATAAGTTAAATCTAAGAATAAAAGCAATGTTATGACATCAAACTGATTTGTCTTTCATGCATAAAAACTTATTCCTTCTGTGATGCAGGACGGATAAACTAGTGTACAGGTAATGAAAACATGTAGAGAAGAGTGAAACTTCACCTTTGAAGTTTTCATCAGGTGGAAAATAGAAAGATTTCAAGCACAACATTTATATAATTCAATCAAAACAACACTGTTCATGATGTAGAGGTTACAGTAGCCGTGGGGTACTGTGTTAGTAATGCTACACCCACCGACTGTAAAACATTATAAAGCTACACGCATTGACTGTAAAACATTTTGCTACACCCACTGACTGTAAAACATTATGCTACACCCACTGACTGTAAAACATTATAAAGCTACACGCACTGACTGTAAAACATTATGCTACACCCACTGACTGTAAGACATTATGCTACACCCACTGACTGTAAAACACATATCAAAATCTCTCAGAATAGGAAAACTGAATTTCATTTGGTGGAAAGGAAGCAATGGAATAGTTTTTATGTAAATGTCAAGTCAATGGTAAAAACAAACAAGTGACATTAAGTTAACAGATGACCGCACACATACTTACACACATAAGCTTGACGAGTGTCCTATTATGGGAAGACTGCAAAGTGACAAAGAGGATTTTTACACTATAGAATAAAAAAGACAAATTTACTTATTATTTTTTTAAGATGTGTCCAAAATACTGTATTTCTAAAGTGAATGAAGGGATATTACTGAGTGCATTATGTTGATGGTTAACTGAAAGATAAAGAGGGGGAGGGGTTGTATGTTATGGGTGATGACATACTATACTATATAAAGTTAATGGTAAAATAAGTGAACTAGCAAAACAACTGTATTTAAAAGCAATTTTTTGGAAGAAGATGTGGAATAATACTAAATGTGATGTATATAATTAATGGACTAAGTTAGGTACACAGATTAGGTTAGATTAATTTTGGGTGGATTAGGTCAGGTCTGGTTTAGAATTTAATAAGGGTACAGTAGTTGTGCTGGAGATGTTAGAATAAGGCTGGCCTGAAGGAGACAGCAAGTCACAAGAGCTAAAATTACTCATGAGTTTCAGTATTAGGGATGATGAAGGACGCTGAGAAAATGGCAATCATGGAGTGACGGCAAGACTTCACTACAGTATTGTACCTTCAAGAGTTGTGGCCAAAGGAAAACTCCTTTTTATGAAGAAAAACTTTAGGGGGAACTATGCAAGCCATCTGGTATGAGATCTGCTACAACTTCTACCAATAATATTCTTTATTTCGTATACTGTACAGCCATGACAAGTGGAGTGTGTCAGTAGCAGTTATGTCACAAGTAGAGTTGGGGCTGGGGATTAGGGTGGGGGTCGAGGGTTAGGATGGGGATTGGGGGTTAGCTTGAGGTGGATTACCAGCCTCTCCCCACCATTTACAATTGTAATTCTTCTGCAGGCAGTGGCTACCCCCTTAATAATAAATGATCAGCACTTTATGTGTTCCCCTGATGACAAAAATGAGTGTCTATGTTTTATGGTATGAAAAAGTTATATGACACTTTTTTATGGGATTAGCCCACCAGGACACAGGTCAATGACCCACATCAGGACCTGGGGGGCAAAAAATAATAATAATAATAATAACAATAATAATAATAATAATAATAATAAAATAATAATAATAATAATAATAATAAAAAATAAAAAAAAGATCAAGAGTGATAAACAATATACTGTATGTATGTTGTGTTGTCAAATTAAGAGAAACAATTGAGACCCTGCAATTGTGTGTAAATGAGGCAGAAAGTCAGATCAGCAACCTGGGACTTGGTCACAATTTTTGTTATTCCATATGGCAGCAGGGTCTACCATTAGACAATAAATTATGCTTCCAATATCTTCCCCAGCAGTAGTACCTCCTTGTGTGATAGCTGCCTACTACCCTTAAGTGATCTATAATTATTAAACTAATGCTTTTCTGATAACTTGGTTGGAAAATAAAAACTGTGGAATCTATTTGTCAGAGGAATGCAGAAACTTGGGATCTCTGCAGCTCAAACACCGCATATAAATATATATACGTACTGACTATTACAGTAAGTCAAAATTAAAAAAAAAAAAAAAAAAAAATCTGATTCAATTTTTCACAGGAGAGAATGGGTTAAAATTATCTTTCACCTCATAAAAATAAAATTATTCATTAAAATTAAGATGTTTCAGTATCTAAGGGGGTTAATATTAGATACTGGTAAACCCTTAAATGACAAGGGAAGTTAGCTGCAAGGACAGCAGCCATCACCTGTGGATGTTTCATGTTCCTTGTGTTCCATATTTATACATTTGGGGAGAAATGAGTGGACAGTGTTTGTGTACTGTAGCCTAGTGTGTAGGGTTTGTGTGTAAAGTACTGTAACTTTACAACATGTGTACACTACTGAAAGTTACAGAAAAAACCCATGGCACTGAGGGGTCATGGAGGCCCAACCAAAACTGTCCATAAAGGAAAAATTGTAAATTCTGAAGAAATTTGAAATGAATGTGTCTATGACAGTGCTGATGAAGGAGTATGGAGTGGGTATGAATGACCATTTATGATGTAAAATATGCCAAGGAGAAGCTGAGGTAAGAACAGAAAGCTATGCCAGGCACAGGTGAAGATGGTAGCCTCACCCATACTTGTAATGGATACCTTGAAGTGCTGCCAAGGGGATGCTGTGGTGTATGACTGGTACAAGCAGGAATGAGCCAGCAGTGTTCCCGTGTGTGGCATTGAGCTCCATGATACTGCACAGCGATTTGCAACACTGTTGAATATGCTTGATTTCCATGGGTATTTTGGGTGATTTTACAAATTTTATAATAGGAATGGGATAAGCAACAGGCGAGTGTCCAGCCATTCTGAGAGGAGCTGCAACAACTCATTCGTGACGACAACAAAAAATACGAAATGTATAACGGGCCTCGTCTGGAAATACTTGCCTAACAGCACCATGGCATCCCAGCGGGAGAGCAGCACCCCTGCACCCAAGGCCAGCAAGCAGCATGTGTCAGTGCTGTTGTGTGCCAATGCTGCTGGCACCCACAAAATAAAACCCATAGTGATGGGAAATGCAAAAAGGCCAAGAGTGCTGCACAGTTCTATGGATTATCTTCCCGTGTGCTGGCGTGGCAACAACAAGGTCCGGTTCACCTGGGATATATTTGAAGGCCAGTTCCACCATATCTTTGTGTATGCTGTCAGATAGTTCCAGATGACAGTCATGAGGCATGAGGTCAAGGCCTTGCTCATCCTTGACAATGTGCCAGCCTACCCACCCTCAGGATGACTTAAAAAGTGTTGATGGGGACATGAGAGTAAAGCTTTTGCCACCCAACACCACCTCACTCATGCACCCCATGGACCAAGGCATCATTCTGGTCTGTAAAAACCACTACAAGCACCTCTTCTTGAATGCCATTTTCATGGTGGAACCAATGTCAGAGGGGGAAGAAGACACTCAGGAGGACAGCACACTGAAGAACATCAAGGGGCCATATTCAAGATAGTTTAGCTTGAGATCTCCCTATGGGGATTGTCCACGTTCTGTAGTGTGGAATGCTCACAGATATCAATGGAATTTTCGTGAGAAGGGGGTGGGTGCCCTAGGCAAGCCTTAAGGATAAATCAATGTTCACTATTAACATAATTGCAATTACAAATATGTTGCAATGCTTCTAGTATAGTAAAAAAATAAATAAAAAAATAATCACTATACATATACACGGTATAATGAATTTCGCTGAAGGACAAGGATGGATATGGCGTTTAGGCATTCATACTCTACTCCAAAAAATTTGATATTTCACGTCAGTTTATCCAAAATCTTCATTGGAACATGGAAGCAATGGGGTACTGTTAAAACTCATAAAATGGCCATAAATATGTTCTGTACTTAGAATGACCAAAGATTAATTTTTCATGCCCAAGGAAACACTCCCAAAAAAAAATTGAAATATATCAGTCACACTCACCTTCCTATCTGTTAGTATGTATTATTTAATAGGCCTTTCCTATGTTGACTAAGACATGAATAAAACAACTGAATTGAAAGCAGTGTTAAAGAATAGCATAGATTTTTTAGTAAATATAGACAGGCATATAGCAACAAATCAATTACCAAATACAGGTTATACTTATATTCATACTGCACTGAATCATGTTTATATCACACAATTTATCAATACTGTACATTGATGAATTGCTATATCTGTGCTTGTTACCTCAACTGTTGCACAAACTGTGGAAACAAAATGTGTCACTAATCACAGTGGTAATATGTGCAGTGCAAAACATACAGTACAAGAATAGTGCTTCCAAACAGCCTCTAGTGTCACTGTCAGCTTCAGAATAATCCAAATATACCAAAAGGAGACAGCATCCTACAAAACTGTTTACACAGGTAATCAACGCCAACTAAACTAGAACCAACACAGACATACAGTACCAGATATAAAGATACTATTATGTCTGAAGATAAATCTGTTCAGCTCTCACTACAAAAGAACTTGTCAAGTACCGGAGTTTAAAGCCAACGGTGAACAGACCAAGTGAACTACAGTAATAATACTAATGACATCACTTAATGTAGTTAGTCAAGTGTCACCAAAAAACTCTCCAGCTCTCAAGACAAAAAGATTAAATGGGTACCTAAGCTCAAACTGCTCCTGTGCATCACGAGCGCTGCCCACGACGACCATCTCGTTGGGAGAAAATTGGGACTTTTTTATTTTGACAGTTATTTTTTCGTAACCGGCGACAGAGTTGGGCGTGTGTGAGCCATCTGGTGTGGTGATGCCCACAGAGGACGCAGGGAGAGGTAGACATGGTGTGGACGGCGTTGACGGTAACTGGAGAGTCGGCGATATGGACACTATAGCCTCGGGGGATATTATTGTCACTGGCTCAGGCACGGGACATGGTGGTGACAGACTCTGAAAAAATAACAGATTAAATGAAAAACCAATGCAAAAAATAAATACAATATTGGGCAAATATTAAAGCTGTAAAATGGACACATAGATTACTTTTTACTTTATTCATCCTTTTTACTTTTACTTTTACCCTCTTTGCCACTCATCAGCTGGTTGTTTCATTTTTATCTATAATTTTGCCTACAACACCATTGTCAACCAAATTTAATAATTTATCTAAATTTTATATATATATATATATATATATATATATATATATATATATATATATATATATATATATATATATATATATATATATATATATATATATATATATATATATATATATATTGTGTTGTCAATAGTAAGAGAAACAATTTGAGACCCTGCAATTATGTGTAAATGAGGCAGAAAGTCAGATTAACAACCTGGGACTTGGTCACCTTGAGTTATGACTTGTGTTTACATCAGGTGTACACAAAGCTAACACATTACACTACATACCTGGAACTGGCCTGAACTTTTGGGTTGAGGTTCATGGAAGTGGGTATCATATACCATTAGAGTGCGTGCGTCTGGACTCAAGCGCAGACGGACTAGACGAGGGCAACGCTCGCTGTAGAGAAACAATTATAATACTTCAGTGCTACTATAGACATTTTTAGCCTAACCTAACCCTATTTGACCTAACTTAACCTAATCTTGCCTAACCTGACCTAACTTAGCCTAGCCTAGCCAGTTCCTTGGGGTACTGATTTTAAGGCTGAAGAACACACTATATGTACACCATATACCAGTTCAAACACTTTTATAAACAGTATTTGAACCCCTGATATGACCCCTGATGAACCCCTGATATGACCCCTGATGAACCCCTGATATGACCCCTGATGAACCCCTGATATGACCCCTGATGAACCCCTGATATGACCCCTGATGAACCCCTGATATGACCCCTGATGAACCCCTGATATGACCCCTGATGAACCAGTTATGAACCCTGATGAACCAGTTATGAACCCTGATGAACCAGTTATGAACCCTGATGAACCCCTTAAAAATGTTAAACTTGTCACTTCATAAACAATTTACTAAGGCAAAAACACTTTAAAAAAAAATGAAGAAATATATATACAGTATAAAAAATAAACAAATGTAAAAATATGAGCAGGAGTTGAAGATTAACTCATTACCTGTCACCTCAAGAACCATTCCTATCATAACTTCTAACTCATTACCTGTTACCTCAAGAACCATTCCTATCATAACTTCTAACATAATAACATTTACATGACAAATCTTAGCCTTTAAAAACCATACCTGCGATAATTAAACATATTAAAACTTGGAGTTATGAAATTATATATTGCTAACTCTTTAACATAGACATTATTAGCTACCAATAGGTATATCTATGTACTAAAAAAAAAATTATATATATATTTCCTTATACATGTTAACCACCAATAACTATCCCTTAATAATGTTAAAATGTTAAATCAGTGGTTAAATAACTAAGGATAACCCCTAGACACCCCCCTCCCACACCTCCCCGGGGGCCCTCACCAAGATGGAAGAGGGCGGGGCATCATACCCTCATAATTACACACTTTATCTCTTTAATTATCCAACTATGATGACTTTAATACATTCATGGAGAGTAATTATGATGGTGTTGATGGTAACATAGGTCTAGAGGGCCAGGAACACACACACAACCACTGTAATGTTCAAGGTCGAGAAAACCCTCAGAAAAGCCCTGAAACAAAGGGTTTTCAGGAGGTGAGACTCAACTAAACTATATCTCTTCAAGTTATAACTTTATGGTTTGTTAACAAGTCCTAGTGTCACTGTAGTAATATACTGAAGTGACTTACTCGTTCCCAGGTCGTCCAGGGCGCCCGTTATCCACAGAACATTGGTAATCTAACTCGCCATACTTCAAACGGAAATTGAGGTCTCGCATCTGGTCGAGGGTGAGGCAGTAGTTCTCCAGTTTGGTGGCTTTCTTTAACACCAACCGTAGCCCGTATATTTCCCTGTGTCTCTCTATGGCCTTGTTAACATCCCGGTAACAGATGAAACTTCTCCCCATGTGTAGGGGAGAGAACTGGGCTAGTGGAGGAGGCTGCATCCTCTGTCAGGAACTCATCTGAAAAACACACGATTATGACTGAGACTGACGCCGTGTCCGGATCCCTGCCTCACTCACATATTTCATCTCTATATATAAACAAATACTATCAAAACACAGCTAATTTAATTTATTTATTAATATAATAAATCTTTCAAACTATAATTATCATATTATATATTTTAAATGTCATCTAAAACACTTTTAATTACACTGAAGATGTGGTCAAAGAGACAACTGGAACGGCGACCAACGCGTCGGCCTCCACACTCTCACGGCTTTAGAAATTATTTCTTAATGTACCTCCTAATTTCAGCTAAAAAATTCTGCAATCTTCACTAAGACCTGGCTCATGCTACACTATTTACGAAATAGAAGGATTGATATGACTATAAAATATATTTGGGGGTAAATAGGCATAAAAATAACGAGGTTCCCTTACCTACAGTATAATGAGGCCTTCCATATAATGACTCCCTCTACAACACTTCTTTGTCTCCACCATAATCATATTACAACAAGTCTGGTGAAATATAATAATGTTTACCTCTAACTAATATATGTATATTAGCCTGAAACAAAATTCATCCTATTAATCATTATCACCGCCATCTGGCCTCCCCGCTGGCTGGGGAGGTGAGGGGGAGGTTACTGCTGCCAAGGGGGAGAGATTAATGCATACTCAAGGATTATAAAAGGCAGAGGGAGTTTAAGTTTTTTCGCTTATAAAATATCACTGACTTAACAGCATATAACTTACATTGCTGGAATTCTTGCGATATAGCGATTAATTATCCCCTAGTTTGCACAAGACATAAAAATGTTAGTAATTAACTTAGTACATTTGAGTACAGGTTATGATAATTTATGCAATTGCTCAGAAGTTGAGGTTGCAGTTACAAAATTTGTGACATCACTAGTGTATAATGCATCTACTTATGACCTGGTTTATTTCATTGATCAGTTGTCTAAGTGCAAAAGTAGCCAAGTCGAGCCACCATGTACAGTATCAATTAATTTTAAAATAGAAATTACAATGTAAAATGTTAAAGACGATGGTTTAGTAGTGCCAGGGAGTGGGCAAAGTGGGCAGCTGCCCAGGGGCCTCCACAATCTGGGGGCCTCCACATATCACAATATTTTATTTATTTGTTTATTCATATGGATTATTTTTATTTTCAGTCCTCAAAATTCATGGGAATTTGTACACTATCAATAAATATACAGTTAATTAAAAATTTCTCAATGTTCTAATTTCCTCAATATAACTGCATATGGCTTCAAAATTCTCCAAAGAAGTGTTCAAATTTCAAAATTTTCCCGGGGGGCTTACAGCGCCCCCCGGAACTCCCAGATGTTTAGGCTCGCTTCACTTGCCACCCCACCCTCTTGGGTAGTTATAATGAGGGGGGCCTCCACAAAAAAGGCTGCCCATGGGCCTCCACAGGTCTAAATCCGGCACTGAGTAGTGCTGTTAATGTATGTGCTGTGGAAGTGTCTTGGCATGTCACCTTGTAGTGATTTCTCCCCTACAAACGCTGTTTGTCGCTGAGTAGCCGACCCCACGAATTCCCCAGTGTATGCCTCGTGGTCTGGGTCAACCAGCGCCGCCATTCATCACGGAGGTCAACTACTAAGCCACGCCTACCCCCGCTATAAAAGACCTGACCTCGTGGTGACCTCTCTCCTCTTTTCTACCTACACCAACCAGCCAGCAACACCTCCTCCTCCTCCTCCGCCTGTCTGGCGGTCCTCGCTCCCGCCAGCGAGCATGGCGACCCACAAGCTGTCCTTCTCTGAGCATCCTCACCAACCAGCTCTCTCTACATCACGCTTGTAACCATGCTGCCACTTCCCAGCACCAAGCTGCATTGTACATCCAATACAACATGTATACAGAGAGCACATTGTGAGTTTCCTTTCTCCATCCCATCCCGAGTGTGAACCCAAACATCCCATACCCCACAACCTCACCACCAGATTCCTGAACATTCTCTTCATCAACTTCAAATTCTACAATGTGCTTGGCAAGCTCAACAATATTTCTTTGAATGTTTGGTACACACACACACTACTACTACTTTGCTGTCACTCGGAATCAAGTCTGACAATCATGCAGCTATGATACGAGTTATTAAGAATGTTACCTTGGTTGGTGAGTTTTAAGGTGACCAAAGAGGCCGATACGGGACCACCAGGGTCGATCACAGATGTTGCACATGTGGAGGGCTGCATCTAGTGTGGGAGGGGCAGCGACAGCATTTTTCTGGCGTTGGCACTTGTCTGCCTCGTTATGCAGTCGGGCTAACTCGAAAGTATTGACACCTTCTTGTTTGGTGATCCTCCAAGCGTTAAGGTGTAAAGTAATCGTCTCCCAGGTGAGGGGATCGATTTGGCACTTTTTCAGGTTTGTCTTAAGACTATCCTTAGACCTTTTCAGTTGCCCACCAGCATTACGTTTACTATTTGTTAGGTGACTGTAAAGTCACTGCTTTGGCAGTCTACTGTCGTCCATTCGGGTAACATGGCCAATCCAACGAATTTGTTCATGGATAATGGTAGCCTCGATGCACATATCAGCGAGAATACTCGGAGGATGGAATGTAGAATACAGTGGTGAAAGTTTTCAAGTGCCTTGAGGCGCCTCCTGTATGTAATCCATGTCACACTGCCACATAGTAGGGTGGAGAGGACCACCACTGCTCCATATATGTGTAACTTTGTAGATAATTTCAGCTCCCTACAGCTGAAGACACAGTATCAGAATCCGTCAAAGGCTTGAGATGCATATCTGATCCGATGCTGAATCTCTTCATCGATGCCTGTGGTGGTGGACAGGTGGGAGCAAAGATACCAAAAGTGGGTAACATTGGAGAGGGTAGTACCGTTACGCTGGATGAATGGTGGAGGTGTGGCTGAACCAGGGCAGGCTGAAAGAGAATCTGAGTCTTACGTACATTTACCTCAAGGCCGAAGTGTGCATATTCATCTGCGTTGGTGTTCAGGATCTCTTATAGATCGTGTTCTGTGTGAGCAACAAGGATGATGTCGTCTGCATACTGAAGCTTAGTGATAAAAGCGGCCAACATCTTTGTTCCTGCGAGTCGTCTTATGTTGAAAAACCCTTCGACCGGTACTCGACACCCACCCGGTCAGCTAAATTGGCACTGGCATGAGTAAGGAAGACAGCCAAGAAAATGGAAGAGAGAGTTGGTGCCAGCACACACCCTTGTTTAACCCCAGTTTGGATGGGAAAGAACTCATACTGGGTGCCATTGTGCAGGACACTGAGGTTCATAACATCGTGGAGTTGCCTCACAATGGCGATGAATTATGGTGGGCAGCCAGAATGGTTGAGGGCCCACCAGGGCTTCCCTGTTGACCGAATCGAAGGCTTTGGTTAGGTTAATGAAGGCCATGTACAGGTCATGACGCTGTTCTCTGCACTTTTCCTGTATTTGGTGGGTAGCAAAGATCATGTCAGTGGTGCCACATGATGGTCTAAACCCACATTGAAATTCTGGGAGGAAGTTTTCCGCCTCAGGAATAAGTCTGTTTAAGAGGATTTGGGCAATAATCATGCCAGCTACGAACAGCAGCGAGATTCCGCGGTAGTTGCCACAGTCTGACCGGTCTCCCTTGTTCTTATAAATATTGACGATGGAGGAGTCTTTAAGAGCTTGGGGGATTTCCTCCTTTTCCCATATATTCTCCAGGAGAGAGTAGATACGGCTGGTAAGCAGAGGTCCTCTTGATTTATACACCTCGGTTGAGATGCCATCAGGCCCTGAAGCTTTGTTATTTTTCATCTGTTTGATGGCAGTAGCTTACTTTTCTTTCTTTTATCCCCTTCATCACTGATCGGCACATTAGCCGCTTGGTCACGTCTCTGTTATGCACTGTTGGCAAGTACTGGGCATGCACCGGCTCCCGAATGTACCTTAACCTACCTCATCCAGGGATGAAGGATAGCTGAGGTGGTTCAGTTCTGGATGCCGAGTAGTCAGGACATCCACACCAGTGTTTCGGTTGAGCAGTGAATGGTAGTGCTCTTTCCAGCGCTGAAGGAACTTCATCGACTTTAAATAGGGAGTTACCGTTGGATGAGTAGAGGGGGGGCTGTGCCACGAGTGATTGGTCCATAAAATGTTTTAGTGGAATTGACAAATTCGCACATGTTGTGCTGATCTGAAATTTTTGTTTCACATACTTTATTTTTAAACCAGTAGTTCTTTAGATTGCGAAGTTCCCGCTGGGCTACTGCTTTCTTCTTGTGGAACGTATCAGCTTTGGTCCGAGACTGAGGGTTGTTCTGCCAGTTAGTTAAAGCAGCACATTTGTCATCAATGAGTACATTGATTGCAGGGTCATTGTCATCAAACCATCCCGTGTATTCTTTCGATCTGGCAGAGGGTCTCTCTGCAGGTTTTTGTCATGACAGTGTCGAGAATATCCCATTCAGCACTGGGATTTGGGTTGTTTATCAGCCCATATTTGAGCTGCTCCCTGAAAGTATGTGCTACCGCTGGACCCTCCAGATGCTTAGTGTTAGAACCTCTTCTGGAGGCTTGCTGCCTTCGCCGTTTTGGGGCAATGTGAAGTCAGAGCTTGGCTCTGATCAGTGTTGCAGTGGTTTGAGCCATGCATGGCACGGGTGAGGACATCTCGGTGATCTCTTTCTCTGACAATGACGTAGTTGGTGAGATGCCAGAGTTCGGATCATGGGTGTTGTCATGAACCCTTGAACTTATCGGCCTGCCTAAACAAGGTATTGGTGATAGTGAGGTTGTGTGCAGCACACTTGCTGAGGTGGAGTAGGCCATTGGGATTACACTTGCCTAGTCCATTCCTCCCTATGGTTCCCTGCCAAATGTCAGCATCTCTGCCAACTCTGGCATTGAAGTCACCAAGGAGCACAACCTTATGTTCTCTGGGGATAGAGGTTAGCACTCTGTCGAGGCTGGCGTAAAAGGCCTCCTTGATGTCATCCTCTGCATCCAGTGTTAGGACGTATGCACTGACGAAAAAGGCATGACGCGAGTGATTCAGTGGGACTCGGAGTGTCATGAGGCTCTCGTTGATCCCAATAGGCATTTCAGTTATGTGTAGGATGCGTTGGTGCATGGCAAAGCCAACTCCATAAATGCTGTTTCTTTCTGCAGCAGGCTTACCCTTCCAGAAGGTATAGCCAGACCCCCGTTCTGAGAGTCGACCCTCGTCTGGGAGCAGGGACTCACTAATGGCTGCTATGTCGATGTTATACCTAGCCAGGTTTTTTGCCACAAAGGCAGTTCTTCTTTCAAGACACTCATTTGTGCCAGTATCCAGAAGGTTCCTCACATCCCATACAGTGATCATAAGAGGTTGTATAGTTTTTTTTTTTTTGAATCTGTGATTTTGATTGTGTTTTCGACTGCATAAGGATGACCTTACTGGGTGCGGTTGCCCAGTCAGGTTATTTTTTTTAGGGAGACTATGTTTAAGGCACCTTTTCTAGCCCCCTCCCTATGCGGGGTGAGCAGAGTGGCTCCTCGAAAGGGTTGCTCAGTCGCACAGACAGGACCGGATTGCACTGCTGCCTAGATCCCAGTGCATAAACGACCATCTTATCTGTGCCACCCATGTACAGAGTTGTGACTAGAGACTCCCGGCAGTCATCTCTGCCTGTCCCCATCGCCATAGAACTTTTGGGGGTATAGGGGTTTTGATGATGATGAGAGGTATGATGAACTGGATGATGGCTGTGCGTGAGTTGATTTATGTGGTGTGGCAGGAGCACAGGCTGCAACCACACATCTTGGCTCTCCCTCTTCCTGAGCCAGTGGTGCAAGTGCTGCAATGACTGGGGAGAGGGAGAGTTGCAATGGACTGCCAATAGCCCAGTTTGTTGGGTTTTGCCTTAGTAGCCTGTCCATCATGCATTGCCTTTGTTAGCCAGTGTAGTCGTTGAGTTCCCATGGTGGTCACCTCTTCCGCCTATACTGTACTGCCATTGGGGTCTTGTTGGAGCTCTGTAATCATGTCTGCTGATGCGGGGCTCCACCACAGATTTTTCGTTCGGGGTTTACTCCTGCAGCCTTATACCTACCAAGGTTAATCTGGAAGGCAGAGGGGCAATAGTTGGTAGGCACCAGGATGTGTCCACATGCCAGTGGGCCTATGTGCCATCCTTCTGAGGCCCACTGCTACACACACACACAAGTGATTTAAGACAACAAGCATCCAGTGAGGGTCTTGTTGTGTGACTACCTGGAGGAGAGATAAACATAAGCTGTTGAGAAGCGCTTGGCAACACCGGTGCATGTTACCACTTCATCTCTCTAATCACCCACACCTTTCTACTTTTTCACTCCACATTTTAAAATGTTATGTAATGTAACATTGAAGGGATACAACTTTGCTCGTTTATACTTATATTTATCACAATCTCCCTGAAAATACTTTAGGTTTTGTCTTTACTCAAGACATCTTCAGGTCATGAGACCCACTAATACCACAGCCAAGAAAGGGTTACCTGACATGCCATCAGGTCAGTAATATGAGACCACTAATCCCCCACCCTACCTCCACCTGACACTGAGTTAGGTCAGGTCAGGTCAGGTCCCCAAAAAAAAAAATACTTTCGCTTTTGTCTGAATTCAAGACATTTTCAAAAAATGCTCTCGATTTTCAACCCCAGAAACTTTTTTCTCAAAGCAGGAATTTTTTTGAAAATTCTGGCCTTGGGAATGATTTTCTGAGCAGATTTCAATTCTGGCTATTGGAGAGTTCCGGGTTTGAGGGGTTCCGGCTAATGGAGATATTACTACAGTATTTTTTGTTGTAACTTATTTATTGGTATTATTTTTATTTATTCCTCACATATACTGTACCTTGGGATGTACATTGGGTATAAGACCAACAGTAGAGTACGTGAGATGCATTACCTGGAGAATGCACGTAAAGGACGTTTAAAACCTTGAAAAGCTTTAGCATGGAATGGAAATGGAGCAGGTATTCCTATTTTAAAGATGGTTTATATCAGTACTATATGTTCAGATATTGACTATGCAGCTCCCATCTTTATAATGTACAATAAGATGGCTATTCAAAAGCTTGAAGAGATACAAAACGAGGCCATGAGAATAGTTTTAGGTTAGTCTACTAAGTATAGAACATAGAGTATAGGAACTTTATGTAGCCACTACTCTTAGAACCATTAGGAGAAGAGATAATAGGTTAGATGCATTGCAGTAGATATTTTACAGCTTGAGGGAGAAAAAGATAATTGGCATCCCAGTTATTTACAAAATGTCTTTTTACAGAAAATAAATATTTTCCCAGGTGATGGATCAGTATGTTTTTCAAGAAAGAACCAGCTACTACCGCTGCCCCTCCACCCTCCTCCCAGGCACCTCACAACCTGCTTCCCAGCCACCCCACCACCCGCCTCTCCACCAACCAACACTGCATCACCCTCTTCCACCAGTGATCCTGATGATCCCCCTATGCTTCAATAACCAGATGTCTCCCTATGTACAGTGCATCACTTCATCAAGCTCCAAACTTCCACATACAAATGTAAGTTTGGTGACTTAAGTTTATCCTACACAATATAGGTATACAATAGTGCACTAAGGTAGTATATAAGTTGCTATTCGTGGTTTTGCCAATTCGTGCCATTCCTTGGAACCTAACCCTCATGAATACCAAGGGTTTACTGTACAGGAACAGTGAGATCATTACTTAAAAATGTTTGTTAGATGATTAATAATGGAAAGACTGAAATAATTCCTGCAACAAATAAAAATATTGCTCCATGGGTATGACATTAACTTTGTGTAAGATTACATTATCTGTCATTTGAATGTAATATACAGTACAGTGAACCCTCGAAGATCCAGACTAAAAGGGAGGACCACCAAAAATACAGTACATATTATCCTGACCACTGGGGTTAGTTATACAGACTTTTTCCTGTGAAAAAGCCATAATTTTGAGCAACATATTACTGAAATCAGTCTATACTCAAATGTACTACACTAAAGGACTAAAAATTTTATTTCTTGTGCAAATTATATGATGTCTATACTCAAATTAATCGCTATCTTCCAAGGATTCCAGCAATGCAAGTTACTGTATATTCTGCTAAGTTTAGTCTGTGACATATTATAAGATAAAAACTTTAAGCCTAAAACTACCTTCACCCTGTTTTGAGAATGCTTTTTACGGGGCTTCTAAGCCCAAAAACCCCTTTTTCTTTTGTCAGAATCTTCCGAAATCCGGATTTAATGGGTCCCGGTTCTTCGAGGGTTTACTGTATTTATTTCAAAATAGTCTATTTTAATTTCATTACTGTAAATGATGCAATGTAAAAGATAATTCTTGCATTGTAACAATGTTATAATATTTACAACTTTCTGTAAGCCCTCAAAAAGGATGACAAAGGTCAGGCTGGGAGTAGTACGGTAACTGTCCTTTTGATGTACGTAATAGTTTTTCTATTGTCAATAAAATATTTAAAATTTAAAATTCACAGTAGTAATATATTGATTTCCATTATATAATTGGAGATACATTCTCTATGAAAGAAAAGCCCCCACACTCGACCCCTGATGAGTTATTACATCATCCCATATTCTTACTGCTTTGTTAGCATGGTGTGAATGTTGCCATCAGTCAGCTCACGTTACACCTCTCATGTGTTATCCACACCGCCATACTTTTCTTCACTTCTAAATTCCACACACTGCCTTATAACTATACACCTTTATTATACATAATTAGCAAAAGAAATCTAAAAATACAGAATAATTTCCTTTTATTAAATGTGCCATCTATTACATGAGTGACTGTTGGTGGAGATGTGTCTACTAAGTGAGTTTGAGGAATACATTATCTGGTGACTGTAGGAGGATGACATATTGAAAGCTTATCTGTTGACCTAACAACATTGTGTGTTAGAGAATAAGGAAGTAGCCTAGTAAAAGAAGTAAGCAATGGTAAAAATAAAAAGCAATTTATCATTTTCCATAAACACTTAGGAAAAATTTCCTTACTTCGGATTTTTCATTTGTAAATTGAATCGTGGGACAAAAGATGTGTTACCTTTTTTTGTAATTGTGCATTTTCATAAATTAGGGACTGCCTGTATTGATTCATAATGATGACTTGTTAGGGAAGTAAATATTGATAAAGTGTATAGTACATCACACTGTACTTAACACTAGAGAGGCACAACTTCGTATAAAATAGTTAACAACCTAAGGTTCAGCGATCAGTTCATCTGTGGGTGACACAGGTGACAGAGAGGGCAGATGGGAGTCCCAAAACTCCCTCAACCGGTTTTGGTTGTTTGTGCAGAAAAGACGAAAATCCTGGAGCATTTTCTCTGCGAGGATCTCATCCCCGGAAATTGAGGATTTCCAGCGTTTTGTGAGCATGTAGTTGAAAGACCAAAGGAATCCGGGCTGAAGAAAAAAGGAAAATCATATGTAAAGTTAAGAAATACTTCATCGTAAACTATTAAAAATATAGTACAATATGTCAATATCTATTTATGATACATATTTAAGTTCAGTAACTTTAGCAAAATTGTCAATCAAAATGTAGACTTAAAATTTTTGTCACTGAATTGCTGTAGTAGTTTTTTTTTTTTTTTAATAATATTGTAAAAAAAAAATATGAAGGACATTCAGACGTACAGTACAGTACTGTACTGTACAAGATGTATACTGTACTGTACACACTTTCCAACATATACTGTACATATGTATAGCAAAAATCTCAACCTTCCAATAGTGATTGGAGGTTGGCAATTGAGATGTTAAATACAGTTAGTTAAACTATCATTACCCCAGAGAAAACCCGAATAAGGATCAATATAATTCTTAATAATTTGTTTATATTAAATTAATTTATGAACTTTTAGTTACTTAATACTGTAGAGCTGAATTGGGAAAATTTTTAGTACATGTATCCTCGATAATCACCTGAAATTCTCATGTTACAGTGGTATAGTACTTTAAGTGTGTAGGTAAGTATAGGAGTTGAGCATTAATAGTAATTATTACCTACCAGCTGTATTTACCTAATAATCAATTAATAATTTTCAATAGTTCATTGGGGGGACAAGAGACACACGGTGCAAGAAGTCGATTTTGGTCTCTAGGCATACCCCATTGTATTATCTTTCTGTCTGTGGCTTTCGTGCCTCTCTGGCTCAGAGATTATAGGGTCCAAAATCATATAAGTCTAAGGTGACTTTCTGCCCTTCATGACACTGAGAAAAGTTTAACTGTGTTTTCCGTCATTTTTATTGATTGGCACTTGTTCCCATCTGGCTGAGGGCTACTCATATGGGTTGTAAGTTTTTCTCTTATGATAACAATCCCACCTTAAAGAAATATTGTCCAGGAGGTTAGTACCTTAGTCATTTAAACATTCAATTATATCGGTATGCTAATGTAGATGGAGAAATTGTTCTAGAACCTATTCAGTTACTCTTATGGTTCACTGAATAGTGATTATTTATATTAGTCCATTAGCTCACCTCCCTATACTTGTGAATCAGAGACCAAGCATTTGAGCATCGTTCCTGTGGAAGATAAATTCCCAAAAGGGGAGAATTTTCTGACATAACCCTTTGGACCAAGAAATGGAATATATTGGAAGGTTCTCAACACAATAGTCATTCACAGTTTATTCATACTGTTGTCAAGGGGAGGGGATCAATTTTCTGACAATATAAATTCTAGATGGGACACATGACTGGACTGCTTCAGATTTAAGGGACTGAGACCCAAAAAACAAGTAAAAATGTCAAGAATACGTGAGGTTGCACTTCTAGCCGTTGCTCTTACGTTCGAGTTGCTGGAGAAACATCTGTATGTGCAACTGTTCTTGGTGAGGTAGATAGTTCACATGATGCAGATAAATGCATAAAATATTATGGGAAACACTTCTTACCTCTTGAGATAATGGTGCGGTAAAATATTGGAATTCTGGTTAAGGGCAACATTACAGAAGCCCTGGGCGGGGATTCTCAAAGGTTTGTACACCAAATTTCTCTCATAACTGAAGATACAAAAATTTATATACCTGTAACTGGCTAACTTATGTTACAGTACAAAAATTAAATAGAAATAGCATTAGAGTTACACTGAGCCTGTCTTTACAAGAAACAATCCCTTAATCTTACCCACAAGAAGAAAATTAATGTACAGTTAAATTGTTTTTTATAATCTGGACCTTGGCATCACTCGTTATTTGAAACTGTGAAGCTTCTTTATATATTTTCCTTAAAATTTTAAGTCATCTTTTGCATTTTTTTTTACAAATAAAAAGCAGAGATCAGACATGCGTCATTGTCAAGTCTATTGACTGTTGCTGTTAACAAGTAATTTGTAATATTTTTTTGTTAATTATGAAATGGCAAATTGTGTCCTTTGGAGTCAGTTGTCACAAATTAATTGTTTATAAGGTACTGTTAGCCTAATTTACAGCAGACAAGCTTATCACATGCAATGATTAGTAATATTACATGCATCATGCTACAGCTGCCAAGGCCATGACCCATCTTCCCCAGCAGTCACCATTTACAACACTGTAAGACACCATACAAAACGTTTTCATCATGCTACACCAACTTAAAAAAAAACACCCACAGAACAACAAAGACAACTCTTACCTGACATAAGTCCAAACAATGTATTGACATGAAAGTCTCAGTGGGAATGACAAAGACTTCACTCAAGTTCTGCTTTCATTCAAATATTTTTTTTCAATTTTGTGAAGGACCACAACAGAGGGTTTGACACTTGCACCTTGGATTTAGGTCAATAGTATTTTAGGTGTAGTACAGTACATATAAAATTAAAATTATATCTAAAACAATACTTTAACAGAGATCTGCCTTGCCAGTGGCTTTTAGTGAAATATGATATTCCTTTCGTTGATTTCAGCAATACAGTTATGTTAAGTTTGCCAACATTATATAATCTAAATAAGCATTCATTTAGGTTATATGACATGGACTTCAATAAAACTGGGAAAGTAAAGACAGCAATTGGCTGAGAGAAGACAAGAAAAGCAGTAATACAAAGATAAGCTACAGTCACACAAATGAAGAATGACACATTTCTATGTTAAATTTTTACATTATCCTCCAGTCTGACAATCCTTCAAAATATTTCTAAGTACTGTACTGTACTGTATAGTTTTCTGCTGGCGAAGAACTACAACAAGATCAAGAGACACATTCTCATGTATGATAACAAGAGTGTATACTGCGGCTCCAGCTCAACACCAACTTCTTTGACTGAGATTCTAAGCAGAATGAGCCTCATCTGTACCCAGTACTGCTCCACAAACCTGTTTTTCGCTGATCTCGCGGGAATATAAGTCTGCAATCAAGCGATGGAAATACTCCACGTGAGGGCTGGACACGCCATAGAGGTAGTCAGCCTATAAGAAGCAGGGAGGCAACACTGACATCTAACAAAGTATTAATTAACTTAACACAGTAACATATACTAAAGCAAAATGCCATTTACATTGGAGTGTTAATACATAGGTCATTTAGAGAACTGTGCACCTCTTATGACTGTTCTTGTAAGTGAATATTAACACAATGCATCCTCGTTAATTCGCATCATTAAGGAATATCTCTAGCTGGGTATCCCTCTTAACTGGAGCTCTCCAATAGCCGGAATTGAAATTTGCTTGCAATTTTTCCGGAAAAATGTTCAATTCCAGGTTTTGGAACAAATTCTGTGGTTGAAAATCTGGTGTATTTTTAGAAAATTCCAAGACAAATTCTAGAAAATCTAAAAAAAAAAATTTTTCTGGGTCTGGGAATAAATTTTCAGGGCATTCCGAAAGATTGCATCATGTTCCAACTCATTCCCGCATGCCAGGCTCGTGGGTGGGATGTTCATATTTTGCTGCCATTGTAGAAGGTGGGGTGCTGGTGGTAGAGTGGTACCGCTCTTGTCTTCGCAAGTGAGATGTCACGGGTTCAATTCCCGGGCCGGTGGAAGTTGTTTGGACATACTTCCTAGCCCCCATTAGTCCCTGTTCACCTAGCAGTAAAGTAGGTACCTGGTGTAAATCGAAAGTTGCGAATTTGTATTCAGGGACAAGTTGTTGGAGCTTCCAGTAACTTGATGACATGAACCATTGACTCTTCAGGCTTCTATGCCCTTGACTCTTCAGGCTTCTACGCCCTTAACTCATGAGACATAAAGGCAAGCATGAACTTAGCATGCTTCCCTGTTGGGCACTGTAAACGCTTCTGCGCTTCACCTTGCACAAGGCTGTAGGGGAGTGCCCAATAAAAAAAAAAAAAAAAAAAATGTACAAGGTTGTTCCCTCACTCGCTGCTATTTTTGTGTACAATTGTATTGTGCAGCACTGTACATTACTGTACCAGAACAAAATCAGCCAAGAATACAGTGTTAAAGCAGTTGTAAGTACATAAAAAGTGATTACACTTACATATACTATACTGTACACTCAGTAAGTGGGAAACACTGGAGCACCTTACCATTCGTCTTTATTCTAGACATCTTCAGGTCATAAGACCCACTAATCCCCCACCCCTACAATGGGTGACCTGATATTGCATCTGGTCAGGTCAGTAACATGACCCACTAATTTCCCACCCAACCACCATTGCAAGTGTTAAGACATGATTCCAGCTAAGTACTGTATTACAGTCAGCTGAGTAAACAGTGTCTGCTGGTGAGTACAGTATTGGTCACAGCTAGATTATGTTCTGAGCACAAGGTGAGGAGTCATAGGGCATTGTTGCTCATGCTGCCGAAGCCATGGCAACCCAGAATGCCGTCCCATAGGTTAAAGTCTGTACCGACTCTTGCATTGAAGTCACCGAGGATTATGACTTTGTCGTTATGAGGTGTCCCGCGGAGAGCAAGGTCCAGTGACTTGTAAATTGAGCCTTTGGCTAGATTGTCAGCGTCTAATGTTGGTGTGTAGATGCTGAAAAGGGTTGCATAGCGCCCTTTAGTTAGAAGGATGCGCCATGACATTAGTCTTTCAGTTAATGCAATAGGAGTTTCTGGTACTTTGTACAGGATGGTATTACGAACAGCAAATCCCAAGCCGTGCAGTCAGTGCTGGTCCTCTGGGTACCCCTTCCAGAAAAAGGTGTAGCCTTCTCCCACTTCTGTCAGCGAGTCCTCGCCCTAGAAGCGCGTTTCACTTAAAGCGGCAATGTTGATGTTGTACTTTCTTTGCACAGTTTGCTAAATAAGGTGTAAAGACAGAACAAAAAACAAACAACTAATTATACACAAAAATTCGGAAATTGTCAAATAATGTCAAAATATTCAAAACTCAGTTAATTTGGATTATTCGGTAATTCAGGTGACCCAGAGCCCCTTTTAGTCAAATTAACGAGGATATAGTGTATGCATTCATATCAAGAAAGTTCTTATTGAAAGTATATTTGTTTTAGCTGAGTGATTGTGAGTCCTCAACAACTTTACACAAGTACTGTACAGTACAAACAGGAAAATATTAATAAACATGTATAGTGTATATACAGCACATAAGTACACTGTATATCTCTCATATTGAGAAAGTTCATAAGAAAAATTTAAATATAATAATGAATTCTTCTTTCTCTTTCATGAGATTTCTATTCATGTTTTGTTGGGTTCTAAGTGTGTGTCAGTACTTACACAATGTATGATGGTAAGACCTGCTGAAGGCCAAGGAAAATTTACCATATTCATAGATCAATTTGTTCATCTGTCAACTGTATGCATGTATTAACTAATGCTTAATTTGCTATATAAAAATATTTTGATGATTAAAGTCCAAGTTGGCCAAATTCAAGGATTCAACACGAATATACTTTTGTTGTACTAAGTTAAAAGATTGATAATAAACCTAAATACAGTAGAATCCTGATTATCTAGAGTCTGGGAAGCTGGCAGATTCAACCAATGGGCACCAAAAATAAATAATAATAATACTGTATAAAAAAGTCCTCCAAAATCAACTATAATCATAAGTTTGAACACCACGCGTACCGAAGATGAGTTGCAATATTTACTGGACAGTTCTTTAACACTTATCCACCTTATAAAAACGATGTGGTTCAGAGTTAAATGATTTAGTGAGCATAAGGTTAGCCTAATTTGAACGAATTTCACATTGCATATGTCAAAAAATTAAGAACAAATTGCTATGATAAATAAAAAGATTGATATACTGTATAGCATACCGGGTATTGTAAAATACAATATCACAGATTTTATGTAAAAATAGCTCCTTCCACACTCAAATAATCCTGTGGGTGATGCAACCCAGTTCAGCCAGCTGATTCACAGATATGTGGCTGCTGCAGTGCTGCTCAGTGCATGCTATGACCCCACATTGAGGAGGGAGAGCAGCGACGCAGTTACAGCCCACCACCTCCACACGTGTTCATTCCCACACAAACACACTCATGCTCTTCATTTTTCTTATTTATAGTTTTATATTATATTTTCTTTATTTCTAAGCCACAATGTTTATATAGAGTGGAATAAGTAATAAACAAGTCAAATTTTCTGCAAATCCGTGCATTTTCATGAACGCTTAAATTTAAAAACAATTATATTTTTTCTCAAACGAGCACTGACAAGCGAAAAACACCTAAAAGTGAGGTTCATCTAACCAAAATATCTCTCTATCTGGCACCTCTCAGTCCCCATAGATGCTTAATAACCGGGATTCTATTGTAAATGGTATTATGTGTATCTAATTTTATTTTCTGTCAAAACTCCATCTGTGAGGTTGTTAACTCTTTGCTTGTGGGATTAAAACCTTCACCAAATGTATACAAACTGCCTATCCAGAGTTGTGAAAAATTGTCAGTGAAATCAATTAATCGATAAATCAATCAACCAATCAATAAATTAATCAATGTCAAAAACACAAAAAATTAACAAAATTATAGAAAATCAAAATAGTGAAACCTGAACCACATAGTATTGTCAGTCTATATGATGCACAAATCTGTTTCTCTCATGTTGTAATGAACAAACAGATCTAATGCACTGTTTCACAAACTCTGATTTTATAACAGATAATTATTGAATTATACGGGGTGTATAACAATTTGTGGTTTAGATTCACAATAATGTTAAATATTTATAACACATTATTGTCATGCATATCATTCAAAATATGTCAAAAACACACAAAAAATTAGGTAACAGTTATTAAAGTGACCACACCATAAAAGCGACTGAGAAGCGACATGCACCGAATACATGCAATATTTATCCCTTTACTTATAACACTGTTAGTTATCTTAACATTATCTGTCAACTGGCATAATAAAATAATGTCTGTAACACAGACTACCTCAAACACACCATCCTCACTCTACCATCCTTGTGGGTTGTAGGACGATTGGGCCATGACCCCGGATGCTTGGGCTATGACCTGTATGTAGGATGGACATTTGGGCCATGGAATTTTATTACAGTATGCATAATGATGGATATTTACACGCGAAAAATAAAAAGATCATTATAAAATACTACCACACTGTTTAATAGAAAAAAAGAAAGAAGTTATATTTATAAGATACTACCTGACAGTCTGTATGGCATCAGATTCAAGCATTTAGACTTAAGCCTCAGAATGAGGCTGATGAGGACTTCCACCCGGTTTACAGTCCGGTGGATGAATTAGCCTTCCTGCCTCCAGAGGAAGTCAAAGAGGGTATGAAGTACAGTATTGTATCTTTGTTCCACCATGCCAGATAAGGCAACAGCAATCATCAAGCATTTCAATGCCACAGATGTTTCTGGACAGTTACATCACAGATGGGACAGCAGTTTTCAGCCTGGAGTCATCGCCTGTCTGTCTGCGATGCATGCCACCAATGTTCCCACCCCAGAAGAGGAGCATGTTCCAGGTCACACTTGACAACCAACCTACAACAAACATCTGTGAAGTATGGAATATTACAAGTGTACCAGTCTTGTGGGTCATGCTAATCCCACAGTCTGAAAACGTATTGAGTGTCTTCAAGTAGACAGCACCTGTGTTGACACCATACTACTTCAGGAGGACAGTGGTATACATCCAATGAAGCAGGTCAAGAAAGCTTATGATAAACTCCAGGGCTACCTTTGGAACTTGGGCCTGGACAGGAAGAAAGAAAGAAATGCCATCCCAGAGCTACTCTGTGGGATAAACTGCAATTTTTGTGGAGGACAACCAAATGTTTATATAAAATATATTGAAAGTAATATTTCACATACTGCATATGAATATTATGTTTAAATAAAATACTGTATACTGAATTTAATCAATTTTGTATTTCTTATGATTACTTAGACCCATGGCCCAAATGTCCTAACCACCATGGCCCAAATATCTGGGGGCCATGGCCCATATGTCCCATGACCCAATCATCCTTGTGCCATACCAATAATGAAATATGAATACAATATTCTTAAAAACTGAATGTTATCAATGGAGTGGACAAGTCCCCCTTGACCAACACCAACTGTATATAAAGAACTCATGCATGAAGGTTGGTTATAATTTATCATCAAAACTTTATACATCGTGTGCAAACCATTTGTCCACAGACAGATGGACAGTGCCATGACTATTACACTATGTGAGGGTGGAGGTGTTTATATTGTATGACATTGATATTTTGGTCCATAGATGCACTATACTGTAACTGTCTTCACACACATAAATAAACTCTCTCTCTCTCTCTCTCTCTCTAAAAAGAACAAAATCACACACACACACACACACACAAAGGTTGCAAGAACATTTTTGTGTCAACTTTGAACCCCTGACATAACACCTATGATTACTCAGTACTTCAGCGCACACATTCTTATACAGTACTTTGTTAAGTATTCATTTCTGTTTGTTTGGTAAGTAATTAAGGGAGATGCTTAAGGCAACAGCTAGAAAAAAAACAACAACTATGATATCTGATTTAATTTCTCTGATAGGGGAAATGTTTCAAAAGAAATATTATAATTTGAAAATACACTACTATACTGCTTAAGATTCTTCTTGGTAAAATATTCAAAAGTAAAGTATGAGAAATACCACCCAGGAGGAACCATCTCTTGAGGGCTTAGTTATATGGAACACATAAAAATGGTCCCTGCTTGTGTCATTACTTTATTATTACTCTTTTCCTTAACCAATCATAGCTTACCTGTATCCTTCACTTTACCTGAGTGGAGTTTGTTGATGTAAGAGGGTTGGTGAGAGTTCGACTGCGCAATGCCTCTAAGGGATACGGCAGGTGGGAGTGAACCCCCGTCCCCGGAGAATGGATCATGACAAACATGTTTCCGGTCACATGAACGTACTGATTCTGTTCCGTGCTGTGAGTCTCTGTCACGTACGGCACAAAACCAAACCTCTCCAAAATGGCTTCCTAATGTAAAAGAGAAAACCACCAGGGGAAGAAGGAACATTATACAGTACTGAGATTCTCAGTGATGGAATTTAAAATTTTTGAAGTTGGGTAAATTAATTATGTATTACAAATAAAGTTATCTGAAATAACTTAACCTAACTTAAACCTATCTTAACTTAAATAACTTAACATATACCTATCTTAACTTAAACTTATCTGAACTAATTTCATCTCTAACGACACCCCACAAACCACAAAGGATACAGTAAACATTTTTAATACATTTGTTTCTGATTATTTGTGAGAGGATTTTCCCATTATTATTTATTAGTATGTGTTTTGTGTGTGTGTGAGTGTCTACACACACACACACACACACACACACATATATAAAATACAGGTAAAAGAAATAATTGTCCTAAGGGCAAATACATTTCTTTGTACACAAGTAAAAATGTATCCCCCCCCCCCCACCTTCCTGGTCAGCAAATGTTATTCGTGGATTTGGCAATTCTCGACCATTTTAAGAACTTAACCCCCTTGAATTTGAAGGGCAAGCTGTACAGCATAAGTCTTTCTACCAATAAGTAGAGTACAAAACTCAACTTGTTATCTATCTGTGGTAATTTACAGATGCTGTACTGTATATCATACACTACTGATCAAACAATTAGTAGAGAAATATGAACTGTTGGTCTTAAATTTATTTTTATTTTGAATATTATAGTTCAGAATTTTGGAAATGATGCATTACTGGTATTCAAATTTCATTAAGTGATCAGTAAAGGATGACCCCCCCCCCCCAACAATAATGAACTGAGTAATTTGAAGTGCTAAATATGCTTCTGAATATAAGCATAACAAAAACATTGTTTCAGAGGGCAATTATTTTTGTTTACAGAATTAGTTTGATTAATTCTTATTTTATAATATTAAGTCTCCCAAAAGTGAAGTGACTATATATTGCACTTAAAATTACTTGTTTAGTTAGTGTGGTCCTTAGGTTTGTACTGTACTTTGTTAAAAAAGGTAATTATGTCAAACTCAATGTAAGCAATAGAGTATTTACACAGATAGTGTCAGCTTGTAACATGTTACAGTGGAAACCTTTCAACATCAACAAATCTTTAAGAATTGACATTTTTAAGGAAAATGCTACAATTCATTAGGTTTGAACTCATTCTAAGAAAGTAACCTTATTTTATATGTACATGGAAGGATATTTGATACTCTACCTGAAAGAGGTGCATTCGTCTACCCCAGGTGCTGGATGTGAACTGAGCAAATGGTTCAGCTCCAGCGACACTGAGACATGCCACATTAAGAGGTATCAGTATGGGCCCACGCAGCGGATCTGAGTTATAAGAATATGGCAGTGCGAACGGATCACTTGGCACAGGGAACAGGTACAGTCCGCAGCTTTGAGCTTTTCGTTGCCAAGTCATCATCTGTTGACACATGATTTATATGATCAAAATATATAAATGATAAATTCTGTGAAAGCAAGAGGAAAGACATCACATTCATTACAGAGAGCTCATGAGCACTTTTAATTGGTCAAATTCAAAGATGCCACCTAACTTTTTTTTTATCCTGTTTTCATTGTGGCTATGGACCTAACCTAAAAATCAGCATCACATTATGTGTGAATCCCAGAAACTAAACAGGTACAACACACCTGCATTTTTTTTACATTTGTGAATAAAATTCCTCGAACACTTGCCAAAATCTGGCATCTACTTTTGGGTCATATATATAATTCAACTGTTAATAAAAGAAAATTGATAAAAAAGAGAAACCTACTAGGTCAGTCACTATGGTTCCTGTGGCACACAACCACTGGATGATGACCTCAAAAGACTGCATCGGGTTATACATAGAGTGGTGCTTCAAGTGGCCCCACTCAATACGATCACTGCGATTGTTGCAGTCCAAGTCCAACAGACCAATCCTGTATAATTCTGAAGCACAAATAATTTTGTCAAAAAAGTCTCTCGATACAAACATATTGAGGGCGGTAAAGGTTGAGCAATACTTTAAGGAGAGAACAGATAAGAAGGTATGTGAAAGTGTGAGACTAAAGGTACTTACTGCATAGTCTGGAAAGTCTGATATTGCAGTCAGCCAGAAGAGTCTGTTATTGTGGTCAGCCCTTAGGGGGGCAGCCAGGAGGGTCTGTTATTGTCCCTCACAAGGTGAGGCATCACAGACAATGTTCCTACAAGATGTGAGGCATCACAGACAATGTTCCCACAAGATGTGAGGCATCACAGACAATGTTCCCACAAGGTGTGAGGCATCACAGACAAAGCACAATATTAAGGTATTTATTGTAGACACAAGACATAATGGTGACAATTGTTTACCAGTAATGTGTGTTGATACAGAGTAAAAGATTGTTGCTGTTCTTGTAATGTTTATTCCACACATAATTATCCAGTCTTATGACTGTTTGGATAAGCATTATCAACATCATTTACAGACATTCCATATACTGTACATGTCTAGGAGTGGTTCCCAAACTGGGGTGTGAGGTGAGTACAATGGGGTCATGAGGAAAAGTGAACAAAATAATATTTTACTGTTGAAATCTGCTTAAATATTAAAAAATTGATAAATTAAGCAAGAACCGTTAGATGGTTATATATTTCTACGTACACCAGCATTCTCTGCCTTGCAATACCTCTACACCAAATATCAAGAGGTGCACAATACACTGACCCTCTCAACTCTCTCTGATCATCACTATAATCTCATCTATCAGTTTGGGAAGAAGCAACTTTGCCATCCTTGCCGCCTTCTCTTGCTACCGCCCGAGATCCCCCGTCCACAAATTCCTGTTCGACACAACAATCACATCCAGCCCACACAGCCACGTACTGAAAGCTATAAAAAAAGCTCCATTCCAATCATTGTAAAAATTATCAACAATTCGTACTTAACCTGTGTACTGACTCCTTGCCAACCTCACTTTTGCACTGTAACTGTGCTGAAATTCCTTGTTAAATGACCCTCTCCCTTGTCATTATATATTATTACCTATACAGTATATACGTACCACATATGTCATCAGTATATTTTCAGCTAATGGCTGCTGTATTTGTCAATAAACTGTTTATTATTATTATTATTACACACCCATGACCCCACACCCACACTCCCTCATGAGCAGCAGTGGGAGGGAAAAAAATCCAATGAAGATTCACTTACTAAAGCGCCCTTTCCATGGGAAATACAGAGGAAGGTCCGGCTGGAGGAAAGCAGGACAGGGTGTGGGTGGTGATGTAGATCTTGGAGTGGCAGTAACACCTCCTGGCTTGACACCGAGAGGCTCCACCTCAACCTCGTGCCACTCAGAGCGGTATGTACATGGGTCACTGTTTACCTGATCCTGGTCTGTAACACATAATTGTACCTGGAGAAAACTATAATGGAGTGAAAGTCATATCTTAACAGAAAGTGATGACATGAAATCCACAAGAAACAGTAATTTTCAAATGCATATATTTTATTACTATTTTATACATTTCACTGTATTTAATTTTATAGTCATAACTCAGTCACTCAAGGAAGAATGGCCAAGAACCACAACAACCATTACACACACTCTAGGTACCACAACAACCTTCACACACACACACTCCAGGTACCACAACAACTATCACACACACTCCAGGTACCACAACAACCATCACACATCACTAACCTTTACTTCCAGTTATGATGTAATACAAAAAGAAGCCGTGCACAAAAGCATGCTGACGATCCCCTGAAGCATGACAAATTAGTTCACTCTTCAACATTTTCTGAAAAAAAAAGAGTAGTACATAAAACAATTAATTAAAAAATATATAAGTTCATAAATGAGGATTAAAGTAAGTCTATACAGTGACCTCGTTTATGAACACCTCGCTTAACAATTTCGATTAACGAACTGCCTTCCTAAGGATCTTCAATTCGTTAAAAAAATTAAACAACTTACGAACCGACCTCAACATGTTTCACTGACCGGCAACCAGCTTTAGTATCAGTCCCAATACATTAATCGGTTCTAGGGCTAAATTCCTATTTTTGTAAATATCAAAGTTTATACTATTCAATAATTTTAAAGTTTAATATTCAATTTTTAGTCATTTTAACAATTATTGAACAAATTGAAAGTAAAGTGACTAGTTTATCGCATCCAGCCTCTTAACACAGCAAACAGCGTCAGTCTCTCTGTTTTCACTGAGGTAACATCTTGCTGAGACTCTCTCATAGCTTTTCTGTGTTTCCAAGCAAATTATTGGTCATTTTGAAATATATTTTATATATTGACAATATATAATGCAGTGCAGCTGATTTAAAATAATCTTGAATTAAACCAGAGGCTAAAATTTTATGGGTGAAATGGCACCATGGACTTCTCTTACCAATGCCTTCTCTTCTTCCTTCTCCTCCACCCCATTCTAAATCCATCATCATCATCATCATCCGAGCCTTTACACACCTCAAAGTAAGTGAACTTTCTACCATTTTGTTGAATTTAGGAAATGTGAGCTGGAACCATACCAAAACCCATTGAAACAATGGTTGGTTAAACGTTTGAGTTAACGACCTTCTGAGCAGTTGAGTTCGTTAACGAGACCACTAATATATATATATATATATATATATATATATATATATATATATATATATATATACTGTACACCAGACCAACATAAAGTGTAACGAACACACAACAGGGAAAGTACATTTTAAAACTTAATAACCTAAAAAATATTATAAATTAAATACTGTCCGTATATGAAAGTCTACAAAGACACACCCCCAAAAAAATGTTCATCAATAATAATGTACCACAATGTGTTCCATCTACGTAAAAAAAATTACCCTCCTAATGGTGAATGGAGGTTGGCAATTAAGTTGAGTACAATTTGTTAAGGGATCATCATCTAAGAGAAAATCAAAATAAGGATTAATATAATTCTTAATAAATTGTTTGTTACACTTAATTACTAAATAGAATTGAATTGGCGAAATCTTAGTCCTGTCATACCGGCAAGGGGGTTGTTTTTAGCACACACACTGAGGCAGAGACGATCCAGCCTTCAGTCTGCACACACTTCACACCCCATCAATCCTCAAATTTCAGTATACAGTACAAGGTATTTTCACGTTATTTGGGGCTATACCACTACACTTCATGACTAAGGGTTTCATTATTATAGTGATCTGTTGTCATAATTTTTCAATTGTTTCTCAAGACACTAACTCAGTAATTGAAATATTTATATGATGATTCAGCTAGAGGTGTCAGCCATCTTTGTATTAGGACTTGAAGTCCTATTTTATATTTGTTAAGAGGATTTAGGGGAATTGTTAAAGTACTATATAAAAGGAAATTTTTAGTGGGCACCAAATATTCTTGTGTTACAGTGGTACTTTAAGTACAGTATGTAAGCGTAGGAGTTAGCATTTAACGATGATCATCATTTACATTATTTACCTAATAATTAATAAGTTTCAATACTTCATTTGGAGGGTGGGGGAGCGTTACATTACACGTACCACATAACGGTTGTAATCTCAATTCTGTGTTGTCTTATGACAACTAACCCACCTTATAGAGATATTGTCCAGGAGGTTAGTACAGTAAACCCTTGCTATTTGCGGGTTTAAAAATCTATCTGTCTGTCTACAAATATTACAAGTGCAACAAACCTCCCAAGAGACAAACAATGAACTATATATTCTCAAACAAAATCAAACTGACTCAAGACTCCTAAACAGTGTAAATATTTCACACCTTTTATCTTTGCTTACTATAATAATCTGCTGGAGAAACTACTGTACTTACTCTTTATCACATGTAATAAAAAATTGATGAGGTCAGAATTAACTTAAGTTTTTCAGACACTGGGATCTCCCCAAAATGGCGGCTCAAAAAAATGTACTATATGTATAGCAAATTATATATAAAGTTCTGTGAAACTTTGTATATACAGTACACAGAGAAGCTGTATATATACAGAAGAGGAGTCTTTTTATATTTAGCACCACAATGTCCGAGTTTTTAGTTAGTTGTGTAGGATGTTTTAGTGCTTTTTATGGGAGGGCATCAGAAATATGGATCTTCCCTAAGAGTGTACAGTTCTCACCTGTAATAATTCTACAGCAACAACCTCAGTGGTGGCCCCCTCAACACGCTCACACACCCAGGCTGTGGCATCAGCGACAAAGGTGAAGGCAGGAAGACCGGCCTGCTTCAGTAAGCTCACACCTTTCACTTGGTCACATTTAATTCCACAATTTCCACCAGTGGGGAATTCATGTTAACTTTCTTGGCTTCCCTGATAGAAAAATACTGTGTCATCAACCAAAGCAAAAAGTCTTTGACTGGTAATTAATACAAACAAAAATACAACAGAATCTTAATAAAACAAAATTGTTTGATGTACTATACTGGAAACACTTTCATCTACCTATCAATTATCGTTATTCCTCTTCTATTATTTGAATGGAATAGATGAAATAAAACAGAGACCTTAAGAAAGAGGAAGAAAATGGTCTAGAAAAGTTCTCTGCACCAATTGTTTGGCTAATGGAGATATCACTGAAGCCAGCATCCAATGACAAGCCTTCACTCTACTCAGAAGTGTGAGAGTGCTGAAAATAACAGACTCTTTTAAGGATTTACCACAAAGTTACATTAAGGTGTTACCAGGTGGAACATCAACAATTCATAACCAGTACACTTGAGGTGACAAACAGGAAGGATTACCTGACAAATCACAGCTTGTTTATAGGTGACAGTAGTGACAAACCACTGTCACACTCACCTTTCCTCTTGCCTCACTTTACTCACCCCTCCTCCTTATTTTCCTCCTCTGGCTCCACGAGTGACTTCATCTCAGGGGTGTCTAAATGTGCCTCCCGACTTCCACTTTCAAATTTAAAACGATCCGTCTTACTTCCCGATCGAGGTCGAGGACGCTCCATTACCCTGTTACTGCCAAGACGCTCACGGAAGGCAGCAACATTCTGACAATACAACATTTACTTGTTATGTGATTCTTAGTGAAGGACAAAGTAGCAAAATAAAGAAAGAGAATCACCCTTTCTAACAAATTGGCAACAAATTAAGAAAATGTAAAATAAAAGTACAATAATGAACATATGATCATTGGACAGAAGAAAATGTATTCTCATGCTATGTTTACTACTACTGCACAGAACATCCACAAGATAATCAAATACTGTATATATACAATTCCTCTTATACATCTGATAACAACAAGAGCTACATATATATAATTACAGTACATACAAAAATCAAAATAATAAACAACTATTGCACTGTACTGTATGTATAATTCTAAACAAGCAACCCAAAATTACAACAGTTATATAAAGTATACTCTCGACTAAACAGAATCCGATTATAACGAACTCTCGATTTAGTGGAGGGAATTTTTTCTGTTATTTTTTGCTCGATTTAGTGAACTAGTTGCCTTAAATTGAAAATAATTCCGTTAATACGCTTACATTTACAGAGACACCTCAGACACACGATATGTACATAGAAACATTATTCATGGCTTAGCTTAAACTAGGGGGTTCAGTGATTGTTTTCAAATTTTATATTATTTCCAAACTTTTTCCAATTGATAGCTGCACTGTTTTGACTTTCTCCCCCACACTACTTCCATTCTGAGACTTCTGAGAGACTTTCGGTATAATGTCTAGGCACAGTAGTTAGTTGACCGAGAGGTAGCGATGAACAACACACGTGGTGGGGACAGGACACAGACCGAGCGGATGTGAACAAACCCCTACGCCAAGCGGCGGAATTTAACGGAATCATGCTCGATTTAGTAGACTAATTAAAATCGAGCAAAAAATAATTGATTTAGCAGAAATTTTGATTTAACGGAAAAGGGTGGCTTGAATTAGTTCGTTAAATTGAGAGAATACTGTACAAAACAATAGAACACTCAATAAAAAAGGCAAATACTGTACAGGTATATGAAGTGTATCATTTCAAGTGTAGGATTAAGAGAGAGACAAATGAGCATCTGGTGTCAGAATGATGTACTGCTGATGGGGACTAATACTGTCAAGGCATATGATCTAACATAACATAACTTTTGTCTATATTTTCAACTAAACAATGAAGAAAAACAAAGTACTGTGACCCGTGTTGAAATATAACCAAAGAATAATTACTTGCCAGCTAAAACAAGAATAGTTTATGCTACAATATTTACTGTGTTTGTAGTTCTAAATTTTATTTGGATTATATTTATACTAGTAACTACACTAACATACAGAAGTTACTGTACCTGTACTTTATACTGTACCTACACTAACATACAGAAGTTACTGTACCTGTACTTTATACTGTACCTACACTAACATACAGAAGTTACTGTACCTGTACTTTATACTGTACCTACACTAACATACAGAAGTTACTGTACCTGTACTTTATACTGTACCTACACTAACATACAGAAGTTACTGTACCTGTACTTTATACTGTACCTACACTAACATACAGAAGTTACTGTACCTGTACTTTATACTGTACCTACACTAACATACATTAGTTACTTTTACAAAAAACTTTTGGACCTAAATCATTAGAGATTATGTTTCTTCTTCACCTGTGAGAAAGGAAAGCTCTGTAAGACTGTTTGTATTTGTTGTTTTTTTATGATTTTAATGTAACCTTTGTCCAAGTCAGAAATAAAATTACTGAAAGAAATTGAGGTTGATGTTAAGTTTACTGAAGACAATGAAATGGTTGCAATAAAAATACATTTAAAAGCTAAAGATCATTATGCCAGAATAAAGACAAGATAAATTTTCAGCAACTGAAAAGGGATACAGTACAGGCAATAACCATTATACGACGGATCTATATACGTTCTATGAGGTTAAAGAATTGACACCAGTTACTGCTATATGATGGATAAGATCAGGTTTATTATGGTCGCTACCTGAATGCTTTTCCTGCATTGTCATTGCTACGAAAAAGTGATGTGCAATAACTCGCAATATTCCGAGATATGACGAAGTAATCTCGGAATGACTTACCACGTCTCATGATCTACAATAATGATGAATAGTTTATTATTAAAAAATAAAACCAATCACAATCACCATTACATACAGCCTTACTTACCAAGTATTGCCAGGTAACATTATCAGTACGAGACCCAGGGTGGGGGGTCAGTGCATCTTTAGTTGACTGTACATAATTATCATGTAAGGTAAATTAAAATAAATCTTTATTTTATATAAATATATTGTTTTTATGTCCTTATTTTTTTTATTGATTTTAAGTCTATTTATAAATTCTTTGAGTTATTTAGACATTATTTAATTATTATAGCAGCAGGATATAAAACCTGTCTGGGATTTTCAGAGGCTCAGGAATGGAACCTATTTTTTCCCATAATCTATTAATATCGATATATGATCGTATAACGGTCATTGCTTGTACAGTATTACCTAACTATGAATACTATTTAAGAACTTAAAAATACTAGTTGCTAATAATCACTTGAGGTTATAAAAATGGTAAAGTAGTACAGAGAAGATATGACCAAAACAGTGTACAGTATTATGTGGGTAAAGACACAGTATATAAATAATGAAGCAATTGAACTTGAGGTATACCTGACCACTTGCACCTGCCAGTAGTCCTGCAGTAGTGGTGATAGATGTAGAGGTGGTAGTGGTTGAGGTGGAGGAGGTTGTGGAGGGCAGGCAACATACTTGCGGACCAAGGCTGTGGCGCCTGCCAATATTCCCGTACACACCACCAACCTTCCCACTACCCCCTGCCTTCTGCAAGTTACAACTCATACTAAGCCAATACTAGCAAAACATGCACAAAAACTCAAACACAAGACAGCACTACATGAAGCTAGGAAGATGTACAGTACTAATGATCAAAGAAAAGCAACTTCATCATGAATTTTACTGGGAGTCACTCTTAATATCCTCCCAGAGTCCACTTGCAGGGCAGCCTAGATCTAGGTTCTTAAAGATCCATATGTTAAATTTTCCCAATCATTAAAGTGCATCTAATTTGATCACTTCAGCAAATAAAAAAAACAAGGTAGTCAAACTAGCATCAAACATGCATGTCAAACACCTTCCCTGTTATCTCACTGTAAGTCATGACTGGCTAACTGTCAATAGGAGCACCACATCTCACTCTTATTGTCTGGCCACACAGTTTGGCCCCTTGGGAATGAATGTTCTTTCAAAGGAAGGAAAACAGTTTCTTCAACGTCAAAGCAATATTTTCTTTATATCTTAATCAGTCCCACTAAAGATATAACATGTGTTTCGTACATGAGGGACCGGGCTCCACAATACTGTATAATGTCAGCTCTTCTACGTCACAGTTATACAAAAATAATGACGAGTCATACCTACTTTAATGGACAAAATAATGAACGATAGTAATAAAAGAAAAAGAAAATGCTCTGGCAAGAAATAAATGTTCACAATTTATGTCATCAGGTGAAGTGTCTTGATAAAACTCTTATAAAAAATTGGCTAAACTTGAAATTTTAGAAACAAAATTGTGTAAATGATCGGTACACAAACTGGCAATACTCAGCCAAGGAGGTTAAGAAAAATTTTGAGTTGTTGGTCAAATCAAGACCATAACCAGTCAATAACTTACAATTACATGTAATTAGCATGATTGTATTGTCCATAATAGATGTTACAAATATTGTTTAGACAAACCACAATCAAGAGTAAACTGTATCATGAGTACAGGTAGTGAGTCAAGAGGTGTGGTGCTCACTTGTACCATGAGTAGTGGGTCATGGTAGGTGGTTAAGAAAAAGAAGGGCGTTTCAGTGAACTGTTGAGTTAATTATAAATAAAGTGACAGTTGTTAAGGTCATGCTCCACCCCCACCATGTTTACATCTAAGACTCACATGGAGGACAACATGTGGTCACTTATTACTGTTTGAATATTTCTTATTAAGAATCATGATCCAGACCCCTTAAGATGGACTCCTGGGAGCAGCAACCGTTCACACGTCTAAAGAAAGGTTGTGTTTATCTATTGCCATTGACGAAAGTATTGATACATGGGCAGCCTGATGAAAAAATATTACCTATTTTTTTTTCTTCTCACAATTTCAAAACTTTTTCTGCCATTGTAGATTAGCTGGACAGGTGCTGATGCACTCATTCAAAATTCAGAATGTACTATGTTATCCCCCCCCTCCCCGGGTATGTTAGTAATCCACCAGTAATTAAAAGGAAGTGGAGGACAAGGAATAATGAGAGATCTTGTGTTGTTCTTGACAGAATAAAATAAAGATAAACTTGCACTGAAATGTGTCTTCCTAACTATGACAATTAACTTGACAATACAGTACATGTACTGTATTCTTAGGATGTGTTTTCAGTTGTATATTGACTTGTTTTATCATGTATAATCATTTTTACTCATGATATATTGAATACATTTTGAAAGAGGAGATATACAGTATATTTATGATAGCAAACAGTAGGAATAGATTAACTGACAAAATCCAGGAAAGCAGCGCTACTCAATATAAAGCAAGGCTCAAGAGCCCTGGTCAGAATTCTTTGTCTGTTGTATCACACTGAAAAAGTGAAGACAGTTTTGTTGATGACTGTGTTCTTTATCAGTAATTTGTATAAAAACTGTATCAATGCAATCTGTCAATGACAATATAAAACACAATTCACACCATATTTATGGCACAAGGAAGGTGTACGCACGAGCACGCACACACAAAAAAAAAGATGTACAGCAGAGCCTCACTATTTGGCAACTGATCTTGCATCTGGTGTGTAACATTAACATTCTTCACAAGGGTTTATACTTTGTGGTGAAGGAGTCGCTAGCCTAACCAAACTTATCCTAACCGAACCTATTCTAACATATCCTATCCTATTTTACTCTGACTTAACCTAACCTGACCTATCCTAAACTATTCAAACCTAACTTACTCTAACACCCAAAAACAAGTCCAACTGAACTCATCCTAAACTACAGGTAAACTATCCTGACCTGATCCAACTTACTTTCATCAAATCTAACCAATTACCACAAGTTAAATTACTTTAACGTAACCGAGTCCACCGTATCTTAACCTAATCTAATTAAACCTGACCACAACTAAACTCACCCAATCTTACCTAAAAGCCCTCCCACTTACGTCACCTATTACAACAAGAAAGCAATAGTGAGATCATGAACTCTTAAGTCTCCTTCCTCTCCACTGATGCAGAGAAGCAAATGTGTATATGCCAAACAGAACTGCCTCATGTTCAACTTATGAATAATTGCATCCCCTACCTGTTGGCTTTGTCACAAACACTAGTGAGGTCATCCACACATCTCACCTCTATCCTAAAGTATGACCCCCACTTAAACTTCTATCTATACATAGAATATAATTGTCCAGAGGAAATTTTAAGCTTAATTATAACTTGAAAATTATTAAATGGAACTGAAAAGAAATTAAGCAGTTTTTACTCTTCTCTTCAAGTTATATATCAAGGTCAGTGCCCCTCTCCATACTGGTAATAATTGTTGTGGTCACCTCGTGTGGAAAATAATTATACTGTACGTGTACTGTTGAACTAAACCTACACTTGTACTTATACTCCTCAATAAGTCATCTGGATCTGATCTTAAAAACTCTGCCTTTTATCTTATTGCTGTTGATTCATTAACCACCAAAGTTTGTGTTGACAGTTTGTACATGTGAAGAAGACTGGAGTGCCTGATAGTGAAGCACTGCTGTGAGGTAATGTCCAGGACAACATACTACAAGATATAAACTTGTTCTACAGGGAAAAGAGGAAATAAATTCACTGTTTCTCCTCACACTGTACAGAGTCACTTGTGTTTCCTTGTCCTATAAACCTCATGATGGAGGAAAAGACAAATGTTTAATCACAAACTGATAACTAGAGAAAATAGTCCAAAATGCAACTCATTTTTTTAACAAAGTTAATTGAAAACAATTTGATTAATAATCATATATTTTTTAATGGAACTTAAAACTTAAATGTAAAGGACAAACACCACCCCCCCCCCCCAAAAAAAAAAAATTTAAAAAATTGAAAATGGAAAATACAAAATTAATATTAAAAATGAAGAAATTAATACTGAAAAATAACAAAATTTTTTTTAAATTTTCACTTTTGTAATTCAGGAAATTTGCTAAACATATTGACTGACTAATAATATTCATTATGAGAGACAAAACTCATTTAGTTTTTAGGTTTTTATTGTTGTCAGCAAGATTCTTCCCAGAGAACAGTAGCAAGCAAAAACAACACAGGCTCTCTCATTAATCCTCCACTTCCTTTTAATCACTGTAACACATGTGATGTACACCTTCCTCTTAATATAAACACAAATAATGTCAAACAGACTGCCTGTATCACATCAATACTTTAGATAATAATGAAACTTCTAAGATCAGTTAACTGATAATTTTGACTAGCACTTGATATATAAATAACCACTAAAAATAATTTATCAATTTTGTGTTTGATCTATAAATTTTAGCTAGCAGATCTTTTTTGTTAAATCATGCAGTTAAGAGGGAGCTAATTGTTAAGACCTGCCTAAGACGAGTCAGTCTGTTATATCAACTGAATCTGACACAAAGAATGTGGATTTTAAGAGCAATTTGCAAAGACTTTTAAGTTAAGAAAAAAATGGCTGCACTTTTAACCCTCGCCAAGAGGACAACTCACATCCAGCATCATGTACTCACCCGACTCTTTCTGGCATTTATTGGTCTCTTCAGGCGGTGAACTGTTATCTCAACAAATCTGAGAAAGCCTTCAATGGTCGTCTGTGAGAGAAAACTTGGATTAATTAACTTTATTTTTAACATACATATTCCTTTAAAAACAGTCCTTTATAGGTTATGTCACCACTGATAACACTAGGAATTACTGTAGCTGTACTTTATGATCACCTGAAGATTTGTTCTCCCAGCCTCTAAAGGACAATTAATGGCCAAGGAGGGGTCAAGTTAGGTTAGGGTCAGGGTGGTTAATCTTCAGGTGGATTAAGCTGGGCACAAATCTTTAGGCATTCCATATACAGTAGAATCCCGGTTATCTGGCACCTACAGGGATTGAGAGGTGCTGGATAAAGAGATTTTCCAGCTCCTAGGATCCCCCAATAAATCCTATAATGCCCAGTGTTACATACTGCCCTCGCAAATTCATCTCAAAAAAACAGACTTCTTTAAAACTTAGTCCACTCTATATAAACGATGTGGCTTATGATTAAAGAAAATGTATTATAAAACTTAAAAAAAAACAAGAAAAATTAAGAGCATGGGTGTGTATGTGTGGGAAGTGAATGAAGGTGGTGGGCTATAACTGCATTGCCGACTCGCCAGCCCAATGTGCTCATGCATTTTCTGATATGCTATGTATCGATTTTATTGTTTATCACAGCAATAAATATGGCAGGTCATTCCCATTGTGCGTGGTATTCAAACTTACAATTCTCGCTGATTTTGGAGGAATTTTTATTTTTATTACTATTTTTTTCACTTTGGTGCCGATTAAGTTGAATCTGCCAGTTACCCGGATGCCGGATAACTGTGATTCTACTGTACTTATATGACTAGGTCTACTAGGTTAGGTTAGACTGGTGTTAGAGTGATTACTCTTCAGATGGAATAAGTTGGGGAGAAAACCTTGAGGAGCTCCATAGTTTATACTTAAATTATTAGGTTTAGTAGGTTTTAGGCACATTTCTATCAGAGGTTAAGACACCATCATTATGGGAATTAACCAGTGGTACATCAATGGGTTCTAGCTGCCAACCTTGATATAGGGTTCAAAAATATTATCCTTGGCTTATCATACATATTTAGAACTGGATAAGTCATGTACCAATGCAGAATTCTATATACCAAGCACAGCAATTTTTGATCTGCTATTAATAACCTGAAGTTATCTATGAAACTCGACACTAACAATGTCACTTAAATCTATGGCACGGCAGATAATCTCACAAACAATACCTGCTGTTCTTCAAGAGTCAACTGGTTGTATATATCACAGGGTACACCCGCTCCAGCATCCATGATGGTTCTGGTGGCAGTGCGGAAACAGTCGGGGACAAGCAGCACCCGGAAACGCCAAAATTTTAGTGGCTGAAAGGAGAACGTATATACAGTATATATATTTCAGGTGCCTGTATATACCTGTACAGTACTACATAATAAAATTTTATATATTTCACTAAGGAAAATGATTAAAATGCAATTAGTAGGACCATGCTGAACAAAGAAACTGAAGAAGATAAATACTGTAGAGAGAATGACACACTGATACTGGTTGGACCCATAAATATTACTGCACATGACACAAGTTGGTAGGATAAAGACTACAACAACTAGTGCAAATGGAGATAAAACTAGGAGAGAAAAGAGAAACCTAAATCAATATCATGAAGATGTTTTTCTGTCACAGAGCGGCCGGAGGTACATGTACACCTCTCCTGCACACACCATGGCCAAAGCCCGTGTCTATCTGTTTTTACATTAATACTCCCAGTTTACACTCAACACCCTTCTCTACACATCCTGGGGTATTATTGCCTTATTTACTAAAGTAGATTCCAAAATTAAAAAAAAAAAAAACTTTTACTGTATATTGTTTATCCATCATAACTTCACTCTCCCTCCATATCCAATAGTTCAGTCAAATCGCTCAAATACTATATTCTAGAGAATTAAATTTTATATATAAACCTCCACATCCTATAATTGTGCTACAGTAATACTGTATTTAGTAGAGTTTTTATGGCAGCCAGTACTCACCCTAAACTACTGTTAATGTATGTAGTGTACTATCAAAGCACTCCCCATACCTTAGTAAGTTAGAACACTCCACCTCCCCCATACCTCTATAAGTGGATAATCTGGAGACTCTCCCCGGTAACATATGTAATTATCCAGATGGTTCCACATGTATGTTTCCAATCTCTCAGTACGAAACTCGACCCAAGACACCTCATAGCTGCTCATGTCTGGGGCCTGGAACCTGTACTTGTACTGGCGCTTCAATTGAGGATATGGATGCCTGAAACACAGGATTATGAAAATGAAACACATAATGGCTAATGATGGTTAGGGTTGATGGTATTAGCATAGACAATATTATATTAAAAATACTGATGCATGGCTTAAGAATTATCTGGAGAAACAACAAGAGAGTAGAGTTCAATCTGTAGGTCCACTAGTGAGGTGGATTAGCTGTGTGAAGACCCAGCAAGAGCCACTCTACTGCATGAAGAGAAATGGCTTCATACACACACAGAGACAAGAATGCTCACCTTGGTCTGTAAATGGTAACTGTTATCGTTGAGCCATAAAGGAGGATTTTATGGAAAATACGACCAATAGAAAGACGATATTCCTCGGATGACTCATCATTTCGACTCCTCGTTCTCAAGAGAGAACCGAGCCCGGAATATCGAGGATTATTACCATACACATCAACTGTTTGAGTGGGATTCTTCTCTGGCAGCATAATCATTTGAAAACCCTAAAAATGACAAAGAAGTTACAAAATATTTGATGTAGAACAAAACAATTAATAAACCAATATACACAGTGCCAGTACGTAAACCACACAGATACTGTACAGTGCTTTGTATGTTTAATGTTTTACTAGTCCTCAAGTTGTTTACTGACACCAAGCTTTACACACACAACCTCTGTATCACAGATGTACACACTATAAAGAATCATCTCTCTTTACTAACAGGAGACAGAGACACACACCTGGGCCAGCCTCTGTGACACCAGCTCAAGAAACACCAGCCTTGTAGTTAACGACTTGCTTCCGCTGCTGGGCCGGGCAGGTTCCTCTATATCGTCCGGGAGAAGGTTGTAGTCGGCCACCACGTAGTCATTATGTAGGGACTGGTCTTCGGGGAAGTAATCCGTGGTGATTGGCAGACACGCAGGCAGAGTCAAACTTTTCCAGTCAACACCTTGAGGGTATGAGTAACAGTTCATAGTGATGATAAACAAAAATGATTATCTCTCCACATACCAACAGTAAAGTAACTGAGGAATAAGTTTCTCCAGATTTTATTTATAAGAAATATATATTTTCACTGTTACAGAGTCCAAGACACAATATAAAGTTACCTTAATGTTTACTACTGTATTGAAAACCAAAGCATTAAATACTGTACACTCTTTATATGCATGAAGATACAGTAAGTGTACATGTTAGCCCCAGAGAATGTTAGCGTCTAGTCATAATTAATGCTGAATTGGGCTTGCAAGCTCAGTGGAAGACTAAAAACAAAATTAACAAATATTGCATAAAAGTAATACATAAAACAACAAGCAGATATATATATATATATATATATATATATATATATATATATATATATATATATATATATATATATATATATATATATATATATATATATATATATATATATATATATATATATATATATATAAATAAATAAATAAGCAAAGTGTTAATTGCAAAACAACAAAAGTGAACATGTCACTCAATTCTATTATCTGATGGTAACTATTGAACAGTGCAGTACAGTTGCCTCTCCATGAACGCACCACAGCCTGGGGGGGTGTGAGGGATCGGGTACAAGATGTGGCAATCCAGCACTGTAGTTTAGGCTGAATGAATGGGTGTGAAACAGTGTACAGTACATGTAAATACCCTGTTTCATACACACAATAAAGGAGATCAACAAACCCTGCAATATGTGTTGTGTAGCATTGTTGTGTAGCCACAACCGAGTCACTAGGACTGAACTGCAGTACGGGGAACAGGCAAACACAGTAATCCACAGTTTCATGCCCATGAATGTGAATATAGCGCTGCATTGCCACATCTCGTATCTGTGATATCCATCCCTCACACACTCCCAGGCCATGGCATGTGGAGACAACTGTACTTTATATTGGGGATCTTTTCCTATCTAATAGATCCTCCAGTGTAAGTCAGAGTCAAGAAATATCTCACATTCCATCATAAACACCTCACACACTCCCTCACTCCACATCAACTCCATTTCTTGTACTCATACACACCCTGCCTGCTCATCCTCCCACTGTGATTACTCTCTATACAGTCATGCCATCCATATCACTAAATAAAATAGTGCAGTGTATACCCCACACTGTCTAGTTACAATACAGTGCTTGTTTACCTGCATTGTCTACCGTCTATACATTGTTCACCTGCCCTGTCTAATGGAAAGAAACACCTAATGTCTTTGTTGGTTATACTTGGTAGAATTGCCTTATTGTTTTCCATTGTTTGTACTATGCCCACACTCTCAACAACTCTAGATCTATTTGAAAGTGTAAACCTGAATGGTCAATGTACACTGAACGCCTATATACTCTACATGATGAATCAGCGTAAACCTGCCTGACGATTTTACACAATATCTATTTTTCCACGATTCAATACTTTACTTTATTCCAATTATCCAGTTTCTGTATTTCCAGAGCACCTACACTCCTCACCTCAACTGTTTAGTTTACATTACATCATCTAACACATCACTCCATCATCCAACACTTCCTTAACCCAGACCTTAACCCATCACAACCTTAACCCACGACAACCTTTACACAGACCTTAACCCATCACAGCCTTAACCCACGACAACCTTATCCCAGACCTTAAGCACCACAAATCTTCCTCGACTCATCAGTAAAGTGTGTAAAACTGTCACAGCAGAATACAGAATTTCTGCAATTAAATTTTTATCAACGAACTTGGCCTACAACACTGTGTTTACATATGCAAGTATACTGAACTGGGGATATGTCGAAGTTGTTGACCAAAGAAAAGCTTTAAATATCAGAATTACTGATAAATTCACTTCCTCATAATGTACTGTACTATATTTCCTCCCAACCATAATTAATATATACAAGGTATTAAAAAAAAAGTTCAATAAATATTAATAACTCCTTCACAGATACAGTACGGTATTGTCTACATATCATATTACTTGTTTTGTTTCATCATCCCACAGTGAGTTCAACAGTTTAAGGCACAATTTAATGTTTGTGACTTATATCATGTTAGAAAAAAAAAGTCATGACTAACTTGCTTACCCTTCCAATGAGGCAGGGTTACCCTTCAATAGGTGTGAGGTGGCGTACAGTACTGGCAGCTAACTTCCAATTCTTCCGCAATTTAGTTTTTACATAACTGTCATCATCTTACACTCCTGCTCCTTATTTATGACTTGTATATCATCACACTTACTGCTTAACATCCTCCTACTCCAGCTGTCTCCCGAACACCCTGCATCCTGGCAAACCTTTTACCTGACATACACACCCACTCATGCACAAACAACTTCTTTCATCAGGAATAAAGACCATCTCACTCTGAGTACACTTTGAAATGTATAAAACAGTTTAGTTCCACTGTTGTTTTTCCCTACAGGTGTCACTGAAATGAACAGTTGAATTATTAATGTCCATATCTGGATATCATAAAAAAATATTCAAATCCATGTGTGCCAACCGGTGCATGTGTGAGTGAGTGCACATGCATCTCTAATTGTGCTTTTATATGAATATGTCTACTTACACTGCATTAGAGTAAGTGTTCCAGAAGTGATATACAGCCACTCTCTTTTTCTTCTCAGCACCACAAAACTCTCACTTTTAAGCTTGCCAGCCATTTTAAAGGGAATTACAAACGAAAATTTTGTCAGTACACAGCGCAATCACTAACGTCGGGACTCTAAAATACGTAATTTGAAAAATTGTTGGAACGACTGGGGCGGTCGTATGTCCGGGAGGTCGTAAGTCGAGGAGTGGCTGTATAGTTGAGTGTGTGCACATGTGTAAGAAAATATATTGACACATACAAAGGAGAAGAACAATTGCTGTTACAAAATGAACTACAATAACTTGGAGGTGGAGAAAATGCTTTCCTTCATAGAGGTAAGTTGCTAATAGAAGTAACTAATGTTATATCAAAAATTAAAACTGCCACAGTTCAATACTTAATCCACTGACAGTTTCAACCCTTGGTAATCATACATTCAGTTTTGTCAGGTGGTGCGGTGACAGCTTCTGAAGTGTGCCACAGGGGGGAGTACATTTCTATACACTACATAACTAAACATTGAGGGTGACAGTGGCAGTGTCCACACAAAGCACATAAAAGAGTGAGTGACGGCTTGCTAAGGCTACTTCTGGCCACTACTAGTGAGGGACGTTGGACCACACTAACTTAAACCGGTGCACGAATGCTCAAATAAAAGCCATCCTACCTCAGTCCAAGCCTTAGTTTGAAACAGTTTAAAATGTTCTGTTTCAAATGGGTTGGTACGGTAGGTGTTTTAAATGGCACGGAAGTAGTTGAACCACCTACTGCTTTAACTCTTCAGCCTAACTATGTACTGTATATATAGTATAGTACAGTACTTCTTCACTTACAGTATGTAAATTATGCTAATACCTTTTCTTGACATCCTTGAATTTTTTTTAATACAGTACTTTTGAATAGTTTTGCAACATGTCATCGTTTTTCACAACAATAAAATATCGTACAAAAGCTCACAAATAATTACATCTGTTCATCAAAATTTGGCTTTGATTTGTGTAATTTGGTCTCAAGTAGATTTCTTAACTGATTTTTTTGAGTTAATGTCATTTTGGTGGGAAATATCTTATCTGTGAGCCACAAATGGTCCAAAAGTGTTGTATATAAACTTGGGTTAAAAACACATTCGACAAAACAATAGTGAATTGACGATGCAGTAGAACTCACAAGGAAAAATGGAGAATTAATTCTGAATTCCATTTTATGACCAAGTCTGGACAAAGTGACTTATGATACAGCTCACCAAAGTCTCTGGGTGGAAAGGCTAAGACACCCTGAACACAAAAGTTGGGAGCTAATATTATACATGGATTAGATTTTACTTTCCTGTTTTAACCTTCAAAAGGGCTTTTAGAAGCACGAGCTACTGCTGAAAGTTGAAGGTTAATGAGCAACAGTTGGCCTTCCACTTGCTCAGTTAGATTTAGCTATAATGTACACCATAAAAACAAGTCAATTAACCTCTAAACAAACTCAAAAAGACCATTAGGCAAAATCAACTTGTGTAATAATATGCCAACTGCAAAAGGCGAAGGTGTGAAATAGAGGCTACAAGTGAGCTGCAGGGACCTAACCTTACATGTACCCCACTACTACAGGAGTCGAAACTCTAATGGTGAGCTGCAGGGACCTAACCTTACATGTACCCCACTACAGGAGTCAACTCTTATGGTGAGCTGCAGGGAACTAACCTTACATGTACCCCACTACAGGAGTCAACTCTTATGGTGAGCTGCAGGGAACTAACCTTACATGTACCCCACTACAGGAGTCAACTCTTATGGTGAGCTGCAGGGAACTAACCTTACATGTACCCCACTACAGGAGTCAACTCTTATGGTGAGCTGCAGGGAACTAACCTTACATGTACCCCACTACAGGAGTCAACTCTTATGGTGAGCTGCAGGGAACTAACCTTACATGTACCCCACTACAGGAGTCAACTCTTATGGTGAGCTGCAGGGAACTAACCTTACATGTACCCCACTACAGGAGTCAACTCTTATGGTGAGCTGCAGGGAACTAACCTTACATGTACCCCATTACAGGAGTCAACTCTTATGGTGAGCTGCAGGGAACTAACCTTACATGTACCCCATTACAGTACCACAAACTGGCAAAGATAAACGCATCACTGTCTTCTCCTATCCAGCAAGAATACTAAACACAGCAAACATAAGAGTAACTCAACATAGCCCGACCCAACAAGGAAGGTGAATGATCTAATGGGAAGGATCCATGTTCGTTACAGGGTGTTAATTCTAAGAGCTGTCTCTAGTATGGAGTCCCTCACTGGGTGGTCATGATTAAGTTTTTGTGGAAAGACCAGTCTTTTTTCTTCAAATAAATGTTCCCTGTATTTTACATTTAGTGACCAACCATATCCAACCCACCTAACAGACCCCCGAAAGAGTTCCTTTGTGATCTAATATGAAAGATTAGTCTCGGGAAAACACTACCCCCTAAAAGAGGATACTGTATTATAATCAGGTCAGTTAATTCCTGACAGGCAACTTGGTGACCCCAACACCATCACTATGTGCCCAGGTTCTGGCAACAATGCCTGATACAGTACCATAGTACAAAAACACTAATAAGATGGACTGACTTACTATGTGTGAGAACAGGTTGTCCTCTTCAGACTTACCAGGGGTCAGTCAGCCCAAAACTCACATGCTGGCCTCAACCCAAAGTGTTGTTTCAAATATAATTAATTCTTTCAAAATGATACAAATAAAAGTAAAACAAAATAACCTTCCTGAGAAAAAAAAATACAAGAATGGTGCGATGTGTCCTGTTAATCCTTCAAGTACTGTGGTATATATCAAGGTAAAGACATTTATTTTGTTTCATTGGTGACAGGCACTAGAGACTCAGGTCTGCTCATAATAAAGTCACGGACTAGAGACTCAGGTCTGCTCATAATAAAGTCAGGGACTAGAGACTCAGGTTTGCTCATAATAAAGTCAGGGACTAGAGACTCAGGTTTGCTCTTAATAAAGTCAGGGACTAGAGACTCAGGTTTGCTCATAATAAAGTCAGGGACTAGAGACTCAGGTTTGCTCATAATAAAGTCAGGGACTAGAGACTCAGGTTTGCTCATAATAAAGTCAGGGACTAGAGACTCAGGTCTGCTCATAATAAAGTCAGGGACTAGAGACTCAGGTTTGCTCATAATAAAGTCAGGGACTAGAGACTCAGGTTTGCTCATAATAAAGTCAGGGACTAGAGACTCAGGTCTGCTCATAATAAAGTCAGGGACTAGAGACTCAGGTCTGCTCATCATTTATGTCGATGAGAATTAAAATGGGTTGGTCTTACAATACAGTACAGTAGCAGGTTATAACCAGTTAAGTCTTAATAATGAAGTAGACTGGTCACTGTTAGGGTGGAGTCATGCGACTTCAGCAGCAGCTGTTGCTTGTAATACTCACTATGGTTACATGAGGCAGCTTAAATTAGCCAATGCTGCCAACTGTTATGGTCTGGGTGTACAGAGAATTCATCAGTATACTGTGTTACATTAGTCACCTTGGCCAGGTTTTAAGTTATAAAAAGAGGGCTAAAAAATTCTCAGTAACTAAAGGGGCTCTACCTCCCTTATCAATGAAGACACTTAATTATGTTCAGTACTGTACATTATATAATAACTAGCTCGTTGCTCTTAATTGTGACCTGTGTACACCACTGAGAGAAATGGCTAACAGGAGTATTATAAATATCATATAATATGTGATACATTATCTCAGGAACTGATCATCTCCTCTAACAGGAGTTCATAAAACACATACTGGTAATACCGCCTCCAACTCGTGTAGAAATTCTGAAAAATATCTGTGGACATCAAGCAGCCATTTGTATAGTGATTGGACCGGGCCAGCTGGGTTAGAGTGCTTGAGGAAGACTGATGTAAGACTGATTCTTTACTTTATGTCTTATTATATACATACTGTACTGATAAATATACCTGGTACGATTATAATTTAAGATGTCTTCTGGTACCTAACCCGGAAAATATTGAGACTCCACTGTAATAATAATAATAATACTGTACAATTGCCAATTTTCTTGAAAAAAATTACTAAGTATTAATATACAGTACAGTATTAAGTAAAAGCACAACTTTCATATTTTTAATTTCATGTTTCATATACAGTACAGTACTATACTTATAATGGATGATTCCTACACTGAGGCAACAATGACAGAGTCGGTGGGTGGTTCATCACTACACAGTACCTACTGTATGACTGCTTTTGGTTACAGTTGTCAGAAAAAGTTAATTGGTCAGAATAATATTAGCTTACAAATTTAGTTTAGTTTTATTGGGTCAATATAGATAGGGAGTATGTAAAGAACACTAGTCTTTCCTCTTTGTATTCTTGATTCTCAATATTTCTGCATCACAGTTCTTGAACACAAGATACAAACTCTGTGCAGTACGGGACCCTTTTTGCTATAATTTTCAATTGCCATAATAAAATTAATTTACTTTTGTTGTTTATTCAGGCTGAGTCTGATTAACCAGAAACATACAATGTTTCACTCGGCCTCAGCCATCACTATCCTCTACTGAGACACACCATGCGAGCAAAGGTTTGGACCACAATAGTTCTGCAACTCAATTAAAGCCGTTGACCGATGTGGAATATACAATAAAAATCTCCTGTGCAACTTAATTAAAGCAACTAGCCAATGTTGGGTACATGGTGAAATTCTCCCCTCTCACAATATAGTATGATAATTGTTTGTCAATGCCACTGTTAACTGACTACCGAGTGCATCCCCATTGGCCCTCTGTAAAACCCATCACACACTGCAATGGATCCTAACCTATACTTGTCTTGACAATGTCCCTCTTCTCAGGAGCTTGCATGAAAAGAAGTGAGAAAATTTGCATTTATATCTTGTTGCTGACTATCTTAGATATGGGGGCCATACACTGTAGTACACTCATAATTTCACTATCCATAATTGAGTTTGCCATTACAAAGAAATTATTTCATGATTCAAACAGGAGTGACCAAGATTTGTCCTACTGACTAAGCTCCTTCCACTCTGGCGCCCTAACCAACCACCACAACTGACCCAAGGCTGGAGGCTTGAGAATCGCAATGTCAAATCAACAAATACTCTACCAGTTGTTTTTCTTTTCTATGTTTCATATAGTAATCAATCTAACAATGGATTCCTTGATGTGGCAACATGAAATATTTAGCAACCATTGAAAAATCAACTGCAAAATAAGATATAACTGCTTGGGTCATTCCAAATGGGCAGAGCTTAGTTAACAGATCAAATGGTGAAGAGATGTACAGGAGTGTTTAAATTTGTGAAAGGGATACGTTCCTGAATAACCTTTCAAAAATCAAATTTTCATAAATTGAAGCTATTTTCCCATTAACTACCATTATATAAAGGATGGTATGTTCCTACAAAAAAATTTCCCTCAAACATAAAACAATAAATTTTTTAAGCAAATTTTTTGTGGGAAACGAGACAATACTTCTAAGCATTTGTATTAACCACAATAACATTAATAAAGCAGTACTTTACAGCACAGTATAAAGTTTATTAAATCCATATTCTTCTTGATATACATATAACAGGCATAGATTCATCAATTTCTTCTTCCATATCACATCATTGAAGTAATAGTTATAATTTCTGCATCTTATTTGGTGGTCGGTTAGCCATACTTTCAGATCAATGTACAGTAGCTCCTTCATATGACATTTCATCTGTAAATGTACAGTCGGCAAAAGATGCATCTACCCCCCACCCTGGCTCTCGTACTCACAATTTTCCATGGCAAAACTTGGTAAAGTAAAGCTGTGTGTAATGGGGATTGTGATTGGTGGATCTATTTTTGGCTGTATCACTGTCAGGATAAATATTAAAAATCTAAAGGTAGCATATTTATAATAATAAACTATTCATCCATATTTAAGATCATTAAAAAGTTTCTAAATGTTTGTATATTTGCTTAAGAAATAAGAAATTAGATTAATGAATTGGCAACTCAACTTTAACCAGGCCTGCTACAAGATTCTCAGATCTAATATTTTCATTATTTCAGCAAATATATGAACATTTGAAAAATTATCATTATCTTAAATAAAAATTCTACCTTTGGTTTATTTAATATTTATCCTGACAGTGATACAGCCAAAAATAAATCCACCAATCACAATCCCCATTACACACGGCCTTACTTTACCAAGTACTGTATTGCTGGATAAAATTATGAGTGCAACTGACCCTTGCTTTATGCGATGGTTGCATTCTGCGACAACACAGGATAATGGGAATCCGTATATAATGAATACTTAACACTCTCAGGATCGGCCTAAATTTATTTAACGTGCCGTGTCAGCACCGCTTTTGAGAGTGTAAAATGACCAGAAATCGCAGAGAGGATAGTTTTTCCAGCGCGCTATTCGTGGCTAAGATACACTGTAGTATTGACAAATATTTATTCAAATGATGCTTTCCTATGTAATCACATGAAACCCTCAAAAATAAAATAAAATACTATTATAAGTAAAAGCCATTTTGGCAAGATAAGTGAAAAGTTAAGAGTTTACTGTTGATTCCTCTTCATGCTGTACCCAGTGGCGTAGCTAGAGTGTGTGCCGCCAGCATACAAAATACATATTGCACAGTGACTCACTCTTTTATATATATATATATATATATATATATATATATATATATATATATATATATATATATATATATATATATATATATATATATATATATATATATATATATATATATATATATATATATATTAAATAGTTTGCCTTACTGTTGTCAGACAAAAGCCACCCCGATCAAAGTAGGGGGCTTTTGTCTGGGTGGCTTTCGTCTGGGGGGCTTTTGTCTGGGTGGCTTTTGTCGGGGGGGCTTTTGTCTGTACCCCAGTGAGGATAGTGTCTTAGTATAAAATCGCAATGCTGTGAAACAAAATCTTAATATTTAATCTCAGTACCGCAGCAAAAGTCACATCAATATTTTTTAACCAATACTTTAATATTTCTTACCTTATAGTATTATGTCTTCCAACGAAGTAAATAACTGGATCGAAAACACAAGAGAACTTAAAAGTCGTCTAGCCTCCCCTCGTCTTGTCACGATGGAGACTTGTGCAGAACTGAAGTGAATTGCTTGTAACTGGTGGATTGGTCGGCTGTACATGAACTGATATGACCCGAGACTGCATGGTTTTGCAGCTACTGGAGACGTTAATTCTTCCCTTTGTATCGGCGGCAAGTTAATCCTCGTCGTGTCTGACCTAACACCTGACCCACACCACATGAGCTCACTGGCGTACTTGTTTGAAGTTGTTTCCTTAATCCTCAACAGGTTACAGGTTGTGTGTGTGGCGGGGGGGGGCGCATAGCAAGGGTGTACGTAGCTCATGACGTGGCCGTGATGATGTGGGTCAGGTGTTAGGTCAGACACGACAAGGATTAACTTGCCGCCGATACAAAGGGAAGAATTAACGTCTCCAGTAGCTGCAGATATGGGTGATGAGCAGACCCAAAAGTGCCGCCCTACTTCCCCCCGCCCCCCCCCCTAGCTACGCTAGTGGCTGTACCCACATCATTGCATCAGCCAGTATAAAATGCAGATGGAAAAAAAGAGTAAATCATGAGGAAGATGATGGCGTAATCAGAAAAACAAAGATAATGTAAAAAATAACGGAGTTACAGGATAAAAAGTAAAAATGAGTAGTGGCTAGACGCGCAGCCACTCAACTATTTATACACATTTTTTTTCTTGCTAGTTTTTTGCTTTTGTTTTCAAGATATTTCTAAAGTATTTTTTTTATGATGGATTATTACTGGACTGAGGACTATAAAAGTCCACGCCAACAATACTTGTGTCCTACCATCACACACAGTAGTGCACCATCCTGATCCTACCATCACAGTGCTGGTAAATTACCTCTATTCTATTGTAATAATAATAATAGAGAAACGGCACAGTACAGTACACTACAGTGTAAGGTGGTGGTTGACTGTCCCAACTAACTTACAATATTTGACTCTGTATCTTGTCAGTTTATTATCCTATCTTTAACTTGAGAGCATCCACTGCCCCTGCCTCTGAGGGCATCCACTGCCCCTGCCTCTAAGAGCATCCACTGCCCCTGCCTCTGAGGGCATCCACTGCCCCTGCCTCTAAGAGCATCCACTGCCCCTGCCTCTGAGGGCATCCACTGCCCCTGCCTCTGAGGGCATCCACTGCCCCTGCCTCTAAGAGCATCCACTGCCCCTGTCTCCGAGAGCATCCACTGCCCCTGCCTAGGCATCCACTGCCCTCTGCATCCACCCCCTGCCTCTGAGGGCATCCACTGCCCCTGCCTCCTAAGAGCATCCTGCCCCTGTCTCCGAGGCATCCACTGCCCCTGGCTCTGAGGCACCCACTGCCCCTGCCTCCGAGGCATCTACTGCCCTGCCTCTGAGGCACCCACTGCCCCTGCCTCCGAGAGTATCCACTGCCCCTGCCTCTGAGAGCATCCACTGCCCCTGCCTCTGAGAGCATCCACTGCCCCTGCCTCTGAGAGCATCCACTGCCCCTGCCTCTGAAAGCATTCACTGCCCCTGCCGCTCACCACTACCTGATGCCTCACACCATTTCATCATCCTCATTGAAAGCATTGACCAGTGTTAACCACTTTTGTTATTTAACCTTCTTCATCACTCTTCACTCATCTCCATTACCAAAAAGTGAATTAAATCAATGAATATTTTAAGTCAAGCAAAGAGGAATTTTTAACAATGAATAAAAATATTGTATGAACTTTTTCAATAAAATAAAAAAGTCCAAAAAACAAAATTTCATTTACATGTATAAAAAAGCAGCACACTGACACTTCTAACTATTTCTTACATATCACTCACAACCCATACATGATGGTATAAGTTTACAATACCTGTTGTCAGAGCTGCAGTCCATTCCTGCTCTCCAGTTGCTCCCCAGAGTAAGGTTGCAGGACACTTGATCTTTCCAGTGGTTCCCCCTGTAACAGTGCGCAGACCTCCACTCCCCATACTTGTCTTCAGGGGTGTAGCCGCTCCTCGTAGTGATACTGCAACACATCACAATAAAATGCTGTAGTTTTGTTCCAGATTTCTCTAAAATCATACAGTCATTAAACTGTTGTCACAAATGAAAACTTTTATTACAAGGTGTCTTAAAAAAAGGTTTACACACAGCCTCAAAGATTTTCATGGCAATCGCATGAAGGCTTGTATGTATTCAATCATAACATTGTCATCTGGGTAAAAATTCACACAACAGCATTGGCTGTCCCTATGTTTTTGACTTTACTACTCTTAGTGAGTAGAATTTTTGTTTAACATTCATAAGCATTATTTAAAACATACATGAACAGTATTAAGTGTTGTTTTCATGTAAAGAAATAATGCCATGTGTGCAAACATACACACGTTGGTCTTATGTACTACAATGTCTCACTTTACCACCAGTGGTTACATCTATTGTTCCATTAACATTAAATAATATTAATTAAAACAAATATTTATTTTTTTACATTAAATTTACTACAGCTACAACCAGGGTCTTATTTTCTTCAGCTTGAGACAGAGAACATCATCACGGGTGTAAACACTGATGACAAAAAAGGTGTCCCGTCTCCTCTTGTGTGACCATATTATTAATGATTTATATTGTATAAGGTGCATTCATAAACATTATTTAACAAATATAATTTGCATTTTTTATTAATTTTGTTTGGGGGGAAAAGAGGGTAAAAAGCCATAGAAAATATATGAAAAGGTCAGACTAGGGAAAGCATCTCATTATTATTGCTTTATTTTATTGGTAATTAATGATTCATGATACAATGATTCACCTTACACAGCAATATTGGAGGACACACATATGTTGTTATTTGAGGCTTGACTGTATAAAGACATGAAGTAGAAAGAAAAAATTAAATAAAAGCAATTCCATATGTGAGATGTCTTACTGTCCATTGAGGCGAGAGAACTGCCTAGAGATGAGGAGGTCGTAAGCCGAGGCTCCCGACGGTTGAAATTAATGCCTGAAACATAAGAAAACAATGAGTATGATCTATAAATCTATACACAATAATATCATGATTCATAAATTAATAACTATAATAAATAATAATACAGTGATCCTTCGGTTAACAAACGCCTCGGTTAATGAGATTTTGGTTAACGAGTTACCTTCCATAAGAGTCTTAACTTCGGTTAACGAGCAATCCCTCGATTAACGAGTTTCTTACGGGCCAACCTGAACATGATTTCGCTTGCATTTGGCGGTCCACCAACTGTAGTATTAGTCCGCCAATACAATAATCGGTTCTAGGGCTTAAATTCCTTACCATTTTAGCAAATATCAAGAAGTTTATACTATTCAATAATTTTAAAAGTTTAATATTAAATTTTTTACTCATTTTAACAATTATTGAACATAACTGAAGGTAATGAAACTAGTTTTATGCGTGCCATCCAGCCTCTCAACACACCATACAGGCATCAGTCTTTGTATCTTTTCAGTGGAGGTAACATCTTGTTTGAGACTCTCTTCAACTAAATGCTTTTTTTCTGTTTTTGCAAGCAAATTATTGGTCATTTTGAAATTTATTTTACATATTGACAATATATAATGCAGTGCAGTGTTGATTTAAAAAAATAATCTTGAATTGCACCAAGAGAACTAAAATTTTATGGGTGAAATGGCGCCATGGGGTGACTTCTCTTCCACCCCAATGCCTTCTCTTCTCCCTTCTCCACCCCCATTCTAATTCCCATCATCATCATCCAGGAGCCTTCTACATACACACCTCAAAGTAAGTGCACTTTTCTACCTTTTTTGTTGAATTTAGGCAATTTTCGGTGAGCTGGAACCAATTACCCAAAAACCCAGTGAAACAATGGTTTCGGTTAACGAGCAACCTTCTAGAGCGGATTGTGCTCGTTAACCGAGGGACTACTGTACAGGAATACCCCAGTTATTGAAAGGGATGCATTCCTAAAAGTCATTGTGATTAAAGAAACTGCAAATATCGCGGCAATCTTCCCCATAAGAATTAATGTAAATGGGGGGGATTCGTTTCCATCCAGGAACTTTCACCACAAATTTTTCAATATACTGCAATGTACTCAAGGTTTACTTTGTCTACAGTGAAACCTTCATCTAATAGATATAGTCTGTTAGATGGGGGTTTATCATCTAACACCTTTTGATCGAAAGATCTCACCTCCCTTTATCAAATAGACCTTTAGGTAGAGGCTTCACTGTGTATGTATGATGAAAAAAGTGCTGAGACATAAAAAAGATATACTGCATGTACTCTCTGATCCAATTTGAACTAAAGTCTCAGAAACAGAAATAAGACACCAGTACATACTCTCTTGGCTCAGTTGGGAGGTGATTGTCTTCGGGTGAGGTCCAACTAAGTCTCCAGCAATGGCGCTCTTTGTGGGTGTTGACGACACGTGTGAGGGATGACAAACGTCCGTGTCAGGTGTGTTGAGAGAAGAGGACACCCAGTCCTCCTTGGCTCTTCTGCTGGAGTCCTGATAGTGGTGTTGCTGGATTAATACACCAAACTGATCTGAAAACAGTACCAGTACATGTCATTTATAAATAATGAAATACTTCTCACTCTCAGGCACCAATCTTCTAACCTTTCAGCATTCTCTGACATCAATACATCCATATCACCATCACACACTTTATATATATATATATATATATATGTATATATATATGTATATACTGTATATATATATATATATATATAGGTATATATATATATATATATATATATATATATATATATATATATATGTATATATATATGTATATACTGTATATATATATATATATATATAGGTATATGAAAAATTACCTTTTGGAAATATGTGGATCCATCTCCTGCGGTTTGATGTAAGTTTGATGGTGACGTGTGATGGATCAAAAGGGTTTATAAGAGACCTTCCTGGACGGTGGACATTTGTTGGTTTATTCTTAATCAATTGCTGGAAAGAAAATAAACCCATTAGCAAAGAAATTATATCAAAACTAATTTTTGCAAGAGTATATTGTACCGGTAGGCGTCCACGCATCAGAAATCCTCGCACGTGATGCCCTTTAACTCGTGTTAAAATCACTATACTGTATAGTACTGGACTCACCAGACCTTTACTCTTGAATGACTTTGGGTAACTAACTTAACCTTAAAAAAAAATGACACAATGTCACATACACTGCATCTACATTATTAAAGAAATCTTTTAAGAAAGTCCATGGGTCCCAAGGCAGGGGGTGAAGGCTAGTCGAATTCAAAGCAGTGCAGATGAAAAATATGGGACTTATTACCTGGTAACAGTTGGGGCGTTGCCACCATTGATATAATTGGTTGCATTTTTGCTCGTCAGGCATGTGCACCAATTTTAAACCACATGATCGTATACGTACAGCTGCAGTGATCAGGAAAAATGTTACTGCATCATATACGATACAGACACAGTGAAAGGCTTAAATATTTGTGATACTTAAAGTACTAAGTGTCTGATTTCCTTACCACTGTGACTCTGTTGCGCCTATGGCGTAACACAGCATTTATTCATTACAGTGTACTGATACAATATAAAAATGTCCAATAACTGGAATGACTAAAATTGTTAAATTTGGAGCTAAATAAGGAGGAGATCACTAAGTTAATGCTATACCGCTACCCACACTACCCATGGATTTCCACATAAGCAATAATTATGGTCACATTTTAACCAATCACGTAAGTAATAACCACACGCGCGAGACTCCCGTAAAATAAGACCCCAAGGTACTGTCGTTACAAAATGTAATGTTTAATAGTTCATACATTTTGATGTACAGGGGTACAAAGAAATCACTGAGTCAACATTACAAGTGGATGTGAAATATGAACTCTGGATGTAAGAGGAAAAGGAAACTAGAAGTGAAAGAAATTAAATGTTTAAGGGGAATATGTGGTAAGTAGGATACAAGGAACAAGAAATATAGAGATGATGTGAAAGTAAAAGAAATGTGAGGGAGAAAGTGGATCAGGGTCAACCCAGGAGACATCATGGTCATATTAGGAGAGATGGAAATAATAAACTGGTCAAAAATTGTATAGTTCAGAGGGAATGATGGAAGGGTGGAGTAAATGATGGTAAAAGTGAGGGAGATGAACCTCCAGTCTGTGTGAGCCAATGGTCATCACTGAGGAAGGTTGTGCTGCTGATGGGTGAATCTGGCTTTTAAGAAACATTAGAAGTAATCACACGGACATCTGGAGCATTTGTGTGAAAGGGAAGCACAAAAGGTGACCCCGTGGACTGTATTATATGAGTAAGAATGACTGAAACACAATGATTGAAGAAAAATGTGTGTGGGTATTGGCTCTACAGTAGATTTTGGTCATTCTATACCAAAGCTGAAAAAATTAAATAAAAAACAATATGAGTACATGAAATGGACAATTGTTAGAAGCCTTAAATTCAGTGTAAGACATACTCTCTGAGAATAACAGAGGAACAAGTTACCTGAGGGTTGTCATTGGGAGATGTGCCAGAACTTGAGCCAACTTTAACTGAATGTGGTGGAGACAACTCTTCTCCCTCATACAGTGTTTGAGTTCTTGGTCTGTTGACACCTGTAACACAATACTTGTGTGATACTTCACAAAAAACTATACTGACCATTACCTATACTGCAGTACAGTACATGAATATCAGAGTGGCATACAGACTCACTACAATATTAATAAGTGTGTGTGTGTCGCCACTAGAGAGGCTAATAGTACACTGTATTTCCTGAATCTCTGGAGTAATACTATTTCTTGCAGTGTGCTTCATGGACCTAACTAGGACTCTTTACAACCTGTCACACTTCCTTCCCTCACATGTAAAACCTCACTTAGATGTTTCACCTTAACTCTAGTCTGCCAACATGTACTCTCTCTTAACTAAAAGTATCTCAGTGAGTCAAGAATAAAGAATGACAAAAACTTTGATAAGGTTAATAACAACAAACCTTCAACATTAAGAGCACCAAAGGAATGTGAATATGTCTTATTTTCTGTGATACGGGCAGGAATGTTGATGGCCGGAGACTTGTCGAACACAGAACTGACTGAACTCCCAAGTGCGACCATTGAGCTGGAAATCTGGAAGAAAAACATTTCGTCAAATGTGTATTTGTGTGTAGAAACCCTTGAGCAGTAATGATTCCATATGCAAATAAGAGCAGTACATATATTGTTAACACTCTCGGGATCACCTGAAATTCATCTAATGAGCCTATTACTGACTGTTTGGAGCCCGAAGAATGACCAGAAATCGTGAAGAGGATATTTTTTCCCAGGGTGCTATTTGTGGCTAAGATATTGTCAAATATTTATTCAAATGATGCCTTCCTGCATAAAAAGGGTCAGGAAATCATATGAAACCCTAAAAATTACCGGTAAATAAAATAATAAACAACAGCCATTTTGCCAAGTATAAGTGAAAAGTTAAGAGTTTACTGTTAATTCCTCATCATGCTGTACCCACATCATTGCATCAGCCAGTATAAACTGCAGATGGAAAGAAAGAGTAAATCATGAGGAAGATGATCGTGTAATCAGAAAAAAATAACGTAAAAATAAGTGGTGGTTAGGCGGCTGCAGCCAAAATGTTTATACGGACACATTTTATTCCTTGCTAGTTTTTTGTCGAAAGCGTTTATGATGGATTATATTACTGTACACATACCAAGGAAGAGAAACAGACCAGTTAGAATTTTCTGTGACAAAAATTTTAATTTGGGTAGTAATATTTCCACTGACCACTGAGATGAGCCATAATTTTAAGAATCAGTTTACCTGTAATTGATTAATGTCAATACAAAGATTTACAAATAAATATGTGTAATGCTGTGTGTCATTTATTTTTATCTTTATTCAACTTTTTTTTTAATTTACTGTGGATTTACTTATTTTGTTACTTTTTACTTTCAGTACTTGAGTATTTTATAAATGAGATACTTTTCTACTTCTATTTGAGTATCAGTACATTGAATTTGGGATACTTTTACTTCTACTTGATTAACATTTTGCCAATGTAACAATAATTTTACTAAAGTAACAAAGTTCAGTACTTTTTACAACTCTGGCAGAAAGACAGATGAGCAACCTGGGACTTGGTTACAATTTTTGTGATGCCATAAGGCAGCAGGGTCTACCATTACCGGTAGACAACACATTATGCTAATCCCCTTAAAAAAAAAAATCTGCAGATTCTTCCAAGAAATATAACCCAATTACCTAACATATAAATGGATGGAAACCAAACAATGTCCCATTTTTAGTCTTGACCCTCCTTTTCAAAAATCTTATTGACACCACTGTAACCTGCCAACTATTGACACTAATTAAGTAATATACTGTACATTGTTGATATAACTGACCATACCTGTTCTATGCTGTTGTAGAGATCAGGGTCAGAAAGCTTCCGCTGGAGGTTGAGTCTTGTGAGGGGCTGGACAGAGGAGGAGTGACTGTTGGCTTTCTTTCTTGTGGTTGTCCTCTGCAAGCTCCGGTAAGTCCTACAGTGAAAGATTATTCTCTAAACCTTCACACATAATAAATCACAAAGGTATTTTCTTCATTTCTCATTTAACAAGTTTTTATACCAACAACAAACTAACACTGAAGAAAACTCACAAATCACTTTTCATTTGCTCACTGTCAGGATCATACGACACATTAGAACAAAGAAGTGATACAAGTGTTTGCCACTGTGAGTAATAAGATCCATAGAGCCACATATCTGGACAGTAATTATGGAAACTACAGTTTACTGAACTCATCTGAGATCTTGTGGTGCACTGGACACCTCAAGGTTATGCATCCATCATCACAACTAATCAGGACCATAATTCTTACCGGTAACTATTAAAGACGAAAAATTAGTTTGGTTCATGTAAACCTATATGTGGTCTAGGATGTACTATTCATGGTCTAGGCAGTACTATATATAGTATAATCAGATAATATGATGTTTGTTTACTAACAATACTTGATAATGTGAAAAATACACAAAAAAAGCAGTAGAGAGATCTTCACAGACCATGCGAGAAGCTGATTCACCACCATACCCAGGAGAGGTGAGCTCAACCACACTTAACTTTATTAACTGGTGTGGTAATATCTAGTAAATATTATGTCAAATTCATTTACACATCAACATAGTTTCATAATTCGTGCCACTTACTTATTATTTTGATTTGTCGGTAACTTGAACACCTGCGCATCATAAGCATCATAGTCAAAAATAGAATTTGGCAAGGCAGTCTCTTGTACTGGTTTCATACATGGCTTATTTAATGCATCAAATTTCTCTCTCTTGACAGTCTTGGGTTTTTCAGGCGGAAGTTTAATCCGAGGAACAAATGTGCCATAGCCAACTTTCTTCTTGGCAGAGTAGAAACTAAGGTTGATCCATGTGTGGGGCATACTGTAGTCATCAGCATTGATACTTCCCTTCTTATTGTGAAACTGTAATAACACAGAGGAAATGTAGTTTTATCCTGTATTAAGCAGCCGCCATGTTCTTGAAACTACACATTTTATAAGTTGGCAAAAATTAAATATACTGGAATCTTGAAGGTTCCTCATCTAACTACAACAAGTTCCTGGTCTAACTATAACAAGTTCCTGGTCTAACTATAACAAGTTCCTGGTCTAACTATAACAAGTTCCTGGTCTAACTATAACAAGTTCCTGGTCTAACAACAGGGTGGTACAATTAAAGTGAACTATGTTGAAAATAAAATACAAATTTATGAAATGAACAAGTCTGTATTTAAGCAGTTAGCAAGTTTCTGTAAATCTTTGGAAACAATACTGTAGTTATTAATGTTTGAAAGTGATGACATCCATATGTGCACCCCTCTTCACAATACACTGGTTTGCTTTAATTGGACCACCCTGTATAACAAATTCCTGGTCTAACTACCATATTTTATGGCAAATAATACCAATAAATAAGTTACAACCAAAAATATTGTATTGCCAAACCAATAAATAAAAGCCATATGAAAGTTTAACACAATCACTATTTGCTTATACTGTACTGTACTGTACTCCCTGGTTATCTATAGCAACAGAGGTACCCCTCCGCCGATTCCCCACTGAGCCAGCCAGCTAACTCGTGTACAAAGAAATGTATATTCCCTTTACGTGTTCGCCCTTAGGACAATTATTTCTTTTACTTTTTTCACAATACTGTATGTACTGCATGCAGGATGGTGGTAACTGTGGTCTGGTGGTTGGTCGGTGTGGATGTTTCATCGGCTTAATGATGATTAAATACAATTAACATCGTATATTGTTTTTGGTCTTTATTCAGTAGCTGCATTTGAAAATTTTGACCAGAAATGTACCACGGATCATAACCCCTATTTATATCATTGTGTCTATGGTAAAATCGGTTTCACTTAAAGGCGTTGTCTTCAGGGACCTACCAAGGTCGTTAATTGGGTGAATTAGTGTACAGTATAGGGGCGGTTCAGAGGGTCACATGCGTACAAGTGAGGTTGCGTACTAAGGATACGCGTACTCTGCAACCCTATTGTATTCCATTTTGATGCATATGGGGGGGAGGGGGGAGGGGGAATTCCTAAACTGCCATTAAGGGTTAAAGATAAATTGCTCCAAGCAGGGCTTTTCACTTACCCTGACCATTCCTGACCTGATATATTGCTGGCTGGAAGATTTCAATGCATTTACAAGAATAATAAATAACTCTAAATTTTAACTTACTTTTAGAAGTGGAACAGCATGCAGCGGCTGTTCACCCACACACACCATGTCCGACCCAACACCATTGTCAATGATGCGTTGTTTAGTGATGTTTGTCAGTTCCCGGTCCACTTCAAAGACTCCAACACCGGGAGTTATTACAACAGAGACCTGGCCAGTGCGATCAAAGCTTCGATCCAGGTAATGCTTCTCAAACACTGAAAAATTTAATCATGAAAATATAAAATATGTTGCTGGAAGAAAAAATGGTTGGAAGGTAAAGGAATTACTTTTGATGATTGTGTGGGAGAGGTGGTAGAGGATTAAGTGATTTATGAGGATTACATTTATGAGGTACTGTACAAGAGAACCTCAGCATTTAACAATACAGTACAGGTGGTCCTCGTAAATAGGGCATATGAATTGAATTGGGTCCTAAAGTAACCATGGTTTTAAATATGAATCGTCGTTAGTAGAACCATCGTTATCGGAGGCTTTCCTGTACATTGCTAACATATATAGAAAGAAATGTTCATTATATGTCATATTTTTAACATATACATCATCCGCATCATCCATCCACTGTTTTATAATAAGTCTGTGTGTACCTGAATGATTCCAAGATAATGTTAAACCATTTAATATAATGTAGAAATAACTATAATAAGTAATAAAAGTGTTAAGTTTCTACAATGCTAAAATTCGTCAGTCATCTCTCACACGACTGCGCACTATGCCATTGTTATGTATAAGTAACCACAGAATTTGCAGAAAAGTCATCTCAATGTGTTGATGTACTTCATTAATGAAGAAAATACTATACAGAGGGGCCCCGGATTATGAAGGGGTTCCATTCCTGAGGATGTTCTCAAGTCGGTTTTGTACGTAAGTCGGAACACGTGCTATGTGCATACTGTACTTAAGAACAATGTTTAAAATCCCACTCTATCATAGCCTAAGTCCTTATATACATCTAAAATCACTTAATTTAAGACAAAAGAAATAATAGAAAGACAAAATACAGTAATTGAAAGTAAAAAATAAATCATCAGGTAAATAAAATACTGTAAATTTCAAGTTTAGCCTCGTTCATATCGGAGTTCGTTCGGAGGTCGGTGAGCTCCTGTATACTGTACAGTAATATAAAAATATAAAATAAAAATGGCTGGTGTATACACAAGGTGTTTAGTGGTACAGAGGCTGTCATGACATAAAGTGTCCAGTGGTACAGAGGCTGTCATGACATAAAGTGTCCAGTGGTACAGAGGCTGTCATGACATAAAGTGTTCAGTGGTACAGAGGCTGTCATGACATAAAGTGTTCAGTGGTACAGAGGCTGTCATTACATAAAGTGTTCAGTGGTACAGAGGCTGTCATGACATAAAGTGTTCAATCTAAGGTTTTCATCAATTTTATTTTGCTCAAAACATAAAACTGCCACAACTACTAACATAACCATCAATATTGTTGTTATTTTCTTAGATCATTATAACACTGTCCCAACATTACTGCTACCATACAAGTGACTTATTACCTTCAGATCGATGCAGAGAACAGTTTTACAAAGAGAATTCTAGATTTGCACATGACAATACTCACCATTAAGGGATATATTAAGGACTTCCAGAAAATTTCCTTTGGAGGCACAAGAATTGGTTGCTTCCGGCACTTCAACACCCTGATTACGATGATGATCTAACACTGTCGGCAAGTAGTTGTTGAACACGCGACGTAAACGAGTTAAGGTTGGTGACCAGTCATCATATCTCTCATTCTGCACAGCCACTCTGTCAGTGATAACAAAGTACTGTTGTAATTATATTCTGCTAAGTCAAGTCTGTGGCATTTTATAAGATAAAAACTTTAAGCCTAAAATCACCTTCATCCAATTAATCCGTATCACCCACCATCTGCCTCCCCCCTCCTGGCTGGGAGGGGGGAGGGAGGGGGGAGGGAGGGGGGAGGGGGGTGTTGACAGTCAGGAGCCAGGTAGAGTGTAGTTATCAATTGAGGGGTCAGGAGGGACTTTGGATTATAAGATAGGAAGTTTAAGTTTTTCACTTATAAAATATCACCAACTCGACTTAGCAGAATATAACGTGCATTGTTGGAATCCTTGCAAGATAGCAATTAATTTGAGTGTAAACATCATATAGTTTGCACTAGACATACAAATTTCAGTAATTAACTTAGTACATTTGAGTACAGGTTGTGATAACTGTAATGATTTTTTCCACAAATTTTATAACATTACTGTTCACTTTTAAAAGTTGTGGAACATATCTCACTTCACTAACACTCAATGTACACTTAGGGGCCATAGTTTAAGTCAAAATTAATGTTATTATGGTAGAAAATACATAACCAATATCCAGTGTACAGAGCAGTAAAATACATTTGCACAGTACAAGATCACAAGACTGAGAGAGCATGGTAGGACAATGGACGCAGCGTGGATGAATACACTGGAACACAGAGGGAAAATTATGCCGTGCTAAGCCCCAGATAATTGAAGTTCAATGCCACGGTTGGTGAAATGGCACACAGAGCAAAAGCCGTGGATATCCCAAATCTGCAGATGGAAAATCCACAGTTGGCAAGGGACTAGTAATAAAAATCAGAAACTGTGTACAGTACTGAGTCTCCTGTGCACATCCCTACCCCTGTAAAAGAGGACAGGGTATACATACTCTCTCACCTTATTACAAAGATAAACAACTCACCTGTAAAAGTCTTCATAAAATCTGCCCTTGTAGTCCTCCTGCAGACACTCCCTCATATATGGGGGAAAGTCTTCAATACTGTTAGCCTTATAGAAGGTGCGCGAGAAAAGTACAATGGTTACATCATGGTTGCTACCTTCTTTCTGAAAATGGTATAGTAAAATAATATAAAAATATTAAAAGGACGAAAGTTTTAGACAGATAAATACACAATCCTTACTATAAATCTCACAAATTTTAAGCAACACTGTTAAAAATGTCTACTTTAGGATACAACATTATTCTGATGGCTTTATTAGTGATACTTGTCGTGCAGTTCCCCTATAGATAAACATTCACTAATATGTCATGAGTGAGTTGTGGCAGCTGATCTTCTCCAAACCTTGTACAGTACAGTAGTGTAGGGCTATCTACTGAATACAACATTTATCCCTGAACCTTCTGCTACAGGATATTATTTGACTATCACATACTGTATACTGCAAGTCTTGTGTTTTCCTTGGTATACGTGATGGCCCAAGAGGTGTGGTGGCTGTGTGTATACTCTACAGCGCTCACCTCCCCTCCTATGGGTCACTTGTTCAATCTTGAGAAAACCCAGTCCTCTCAGCAGTAAGTGAACACCTAACATTGCAAATTGCAGAAATGTGGTGAGGGCTACACTGTGTCTCTGTGTCCATACTGTTCCTGATGGGCATTCATGTCTATGGGACCAGCTTCCAATTTTAAATGACAACTCATCCGGTAATCAATTACTAGAAATGGATTGTTCTGCGATAATTAGTTAATCTGTAGCAATTGTTGACTAAATTTAACAAACAAGAAATTAACACAATATCGATAACATTATATACATTTCATTTCCTCCTTTAGGTCAATGGCAAAAGTATTGTTCAGTCATTCCTCAACCTAAGGAGAAAATGTTAAAGTTAAGTGAACCTTTAGAGGGCATCTGGTATAAAAAAGATGGAAATTTTTGACAAAAAGAACAAGTGACTAAAACTGTAATCACTGAGAGACAACAAAGTACAGGACAGTAAACAAACTTATGATGTGTGCTGCAGAACAGGAGGGGTAGTGATGAGAGGAGTGAGTGTATGAGCTGATGCAGGTAGGGAGAAGAAGGGAGAATGGAGAGGGAAGGAGAAGGGAGAGGAAGGAACACACAGAAAGAGAGAAGAAGGGAGAGAAAGGGAGCAGAAAGGAGAGGGAGGGAGTATATGGTATAAGGGAGAAGGATGGACAAGGTGGAGGAAGGGAGAGGGAAAGAGAGCAGAAGGGAGAGGGAGGGAGAAGGAAGAAGGAAAAGGGAGAGAGAAGAAGGGAGCAAAATGGAAAGGGAGATGAAGGAGGCATCAAAACTGAACTGGAGACAAAATGTCGGAGTATATATGAATAAGTAAGAAGGAACATCTGGAAGAAAGACTCAACACATAATGGGGTAAGTTTACTGTACTGTATTGTGCTGGAGTGTGTATGAGTACAGCACTATATAAACAAAACTGTCCTGTAGCTTCACAATGAGATGAGGCAGAGTATAAAATGACCAGAGAAAACATTAAACTTTCTTATCTTCCTGATTCATGTTATAGTAAGAGGGAGAGAGAGACAGACTGACTTACCCTCCATTTGGCAAACAGCTCTGAAAGAAATCCATTAACAGCCTTTTCAAAGTAGAGATCTCCATACATATCAAAGTCCCACATCTCAGAGCTCATCTGGATGAAGAGGTACACCATGCTTGTTGAGGACCGATACACAACCTGGAAAAAAAATTAAACTACAATGCAACTCATTTAATGTCACATCTCACTTTCTATCACAAATTTCTGAAAGTCACTTATTAATTACATAAATACTGTACAGGTATTCCCCTATCTACGAAGGGGGGTACATTCCTGAAAATCCATCGCAGGTCGAAATATCATAAATTGGGATCAGTATAACATGGAGTTCAATGGGATATGTTCCCAATTAGTCAGACACCCACAAGTGTCACTGAAAAAAATTCGTACAACAAAATGTATCGAAATGTAGAAAAATGTGAGTCTACCCTCAAGTCAACTCTGTACTTTGTTATTGAAGTTAAGTTGGTTGGGTTGCCATACGGCAATTTTTTCCTCGTAAAACTTACTATCTCTAGAATGAATGGCATCTAAGCACCAGCTGGGTTGATACGCAGACCAAATTTACAGAATTTCTTTCGTAGCCAACTAGCCAACCCAACATGAAGGATGTCGGTAAATGCAATGTAATACAGCATTCCCTTAAAGCTCACTGGGATTAGGAAAAATGAACCCCCTGAGAAAGCAAATCTGCATGTTTTTCCTGCCAGTCCCAGGTGTGCAAAATGCATATATAAATTGCTATATGCACATGTATAACAACATTATGTATGTATAAGACAATATAATAAATATGAAATAACATATATAAATAAACAAACATGGAATAACACTGTATGGACATTAGGTCCACACACTGATAGTTAGTTGTGGTAGTGAGAATGCAAAGACAATACCTCTGAAACGTCAGGTGATCTGGTGCACAGGATGAAAACAATCCCTGTACTGGACAGTTCCTGGTGAACATGCCCGGTAATGATAAGTATTTGTAATGTGTGTACTGTAGGTACCTACACGTATAATTATATCCTTTTATATTAAATTAGGTAAATTTTATTAATAATACCAACAAATGTTTGATAATACCATAGTACCATAAGTAGGAATTGAAAAAACCATAACACCTTGGCCCAATAGCCTGGTGGTTACAATGATGAGCTAACCTAGCTACAATGACATGATTAATCACTGTTCAGCACTATTCTATCAGTAAACACTATTAACAACAGAAAATCCAGTTAGATATGGCTGCAAAAATGCCGGCAACTTTAAAAGTATCTGCAGACATTCTTGTGTACATCCAGAGTGTCATCCGAGAATAATCGAGGGCTGTGAATTGTAAGGGCATGCTGTATTATATTTTCCGAGACACAAATACGCGAGGTCAGCCTGTAGCAATGCGCATTGGAGGATTTATTGGGGGATTTTAAGAGTGAGATTCAACTAATCAGAAAATCTCTTCACTTCTCAATCCCCGTAGGTGCAGGATAACCGGGATTCTACTGTACAAACATTGGCAGACAACATCAACATAACAGGCGAGCCCCACGTTCTCTCGTCAGCATGTGAAATATGTACGGTCGCTTAGATGAAGATTTACCTCGCACCAACAACTCTTCAGAAGGATGGCATAACTCTATGGAAGCAAACATTACTTCATTCCATCAAAATATCTGGAAGTTTCTTGAAGTGTTGAAGAGGGAACAGGCACTGGCCAACCTCACCATCAATCAAAGTATTACAGGAGTCAGCACCACCTAAGCAGAAACGTTCTCAAGATTCAACAGCCAGAATAGCAACCATCGCACAAGACTATGAGAACTGCCATGTGTTTAACATTTTAAGGGAACAGCCCACTACTGTACATGCAATTTTAGTGTTTAATATATGCCAGTGAATTATTAAATACAGTATTGATTATGACTGATCCACTTTTCCCCCCAAAATTATCAATATTTTACTTATTTTAATTTTCGTGCAGGTTTATAGTGTTATTTTTTTTTGTGTGATTGATCCATTTTCAGTATATAATAACTGTACTACTATGCATAACAAATAAATTTTTAGGTAAAACATTAATTCTTAGTGTTATTTTTTACTCTCTATTCAATCAGTTCCATCTTTTATGTCAGTTTTTGGTAAACTTATTCTTTTCCCTATGAAAAACAGCAAACATCAGTACAGATTCACTGGCAGTTTTCCGGGGGACAGTTGTCGGAGGGCAACTGCCCAGGAATCAGTTGTCCTAGAACCCTGAGTGTAATAAAAAAATAAAACATACTATAATTATTTCAAGTCTTTTATAAATCTGGATATTGTAATGTGCTTAATATTATACATCTGTAAAAAAGTTTGTCATAGTTACCTTTGTGTCTTCTGTTATAACTCCACAGGCAACCTTCCCTCCCTGGGCCCACATCTCATACACTTGACAGCGGATGGTTCCACAACAAAACTCTAACTTCTTGTTCAGGTACACGACAGAGTTCACCTGCAACAAACAATTAGTTAAATAAAATAATATATTTTCTAAACAATACAATACTATCTTGTGACCTTTATTAGATGACCCTTTCATTATTACTTTTACCAAGTTGTTTCTATAATATAGAAACAAAATTGTCCTTGAAAATTTTTGCCTCCTTTCTCTTATTCTTGTAAGTTTTCCTGGTGTGTTGTTGGGTGGCCAAAAATAAATGTAAACACATATTCATATGCTGCAGCAAGTGCATTTTGATATAGTGTTTCTCATCTCCAACAAGGTCCCCCACGAAAAGCACGTCTACCTTAACAAAGTTTGAATCATTCAAGCACACAACTGCTACCTGGATGTTCATATTGCCTCACCCACACTGTAGTGTGTCAGTCATCCTTCTCATACTTGGTCTTCCCCTCCTTCCCTACCATTCACCTCTCAACTACACAGTTACATAATTTGTATCAATAAAGGTGTAACCAAAAACCGACGGCCTGGTAACCACAGCTTCGCATAACCAATGTTTACAAATTGGGGAAATACCCCACAAGTTTCACTGAGTATATTGTTGATTTGATGATCCGGATAGGAGTGGCAGAGCTGTTTTGAATTTGGAGGAGTCAGTAATGGGACTGACTAATCCAGAGGAGTTGCTGCCACAGAACACAGAACTCTGTCAAGGTCATGGCAGCCCTCACTGAGTACATAATGGCTCAGAATGCAGCAAGTCAGGTGGATATCAATGAATTAAACAAGATTCGACGGTCCATTACGACAGAACGACAGCACACCCAAAGTGATAAACTGCAACAACTGATGCAGCAATTGCCAGAGAACTTGAAAAAAAAGGTAGCTACAGCGCAGGAGGCGGGCGCCTAGAATGAGCTAACAACGTTACTGATAAGGAAAAAGGTTTCAGCCTTATTAAACAAGAATTCGCAGATGCCATTAATTTAAGGTACAGTTGGCCAGTTGAAGGTTTACCCTCCCAATGCATGTGTGGCTCATCCTATGACGTTGACCATGCCATGGTGTGCAGGAAAGGGGGGCTTTGTATACATGAGGCATGACAAAGTAAGGGATCTCACAGTAAATTTACTTAAGGAAATTTGTCACGACATCACAGTACAACCGACCCACCTTCCATTGGACGGTGAGAACCTCCATCACAGGACTTCCAACACATCTAATGAAGCCCATGTGGACGTGAGCTCTCGAGGATTCTGGACACAGGGACTCTTTATCACACAGCTGTTCACTCTCATAGCGGTCTAGTAACAGCTTTACATTTAAACCATCCTCTTATTCAAGTGTACAAGTGAATGAACTGTTCAACAAAAACTGATGACTTACCATATTCATTTTAAGTCTCCACATGTCTGAGCGGCCAAGGTATTGATCCTTAAAGGTAAGTTCCACCAATTCCAAGGCAACATCTTTGGGGTCAACTTTATTTACTATCACATCTTTGTAGTTTCGCAGCTGAAAGGTGAACGCAACACTCTGTTCAATGCTGATGGTGTCTGTAATAAACCATAATGTAACATTAAAATGAGTGTCTAGTTTTAATTACACAACTACTGTACTGTATTTACCTATCCATAAGACTGCCAGAAAATACAATATCTCCAAAAAGACAAAACAACAATTCAATATCATACAGTAATGTACTATTGTGTTGCAACAAGTATCAATCACTAATATAATTATTACTTCATGTGTGCACAGTTCTACAGTATTACCAATCAGACAAAACACAAACATTATGGAGTGAACCTTTCTGTACTGTGACATCCTCAATTGTCTTGGGTATCTGGAGGAGGAGCCGAGGCAAGTCATCCTCCGGGTGGTAAACCTCAATAACATCTCCCTCCTTCACCTCAGCACCCAGGTCTTTAACATTCACCAGAAGATCTTCCTCTGAAACACATACATAAATGGCATAATTATCAGAAATAAATACATACTGGCTCGTCGTGTACCGTATACAGCACAGGAATACAAAGAAATTTAAGGAGTAATCAAACTGACTAAAATAAGGAGTCATTTAAAGATGCCCTGAAATGATAAGTGTTTGTAATGTGTGTACTATAGGTACTTACACGTATAATTATATCCTTTTATATTAAATTAGGTAAATTTTATTAATAATACCAACAAATGTTTGATAATACCATAGTACCATAAGTAGGAATTGAAAAACCCATAACACCTTGGCCCAATAGCCTGGTGGTTACAATGATGAGCTAACCTAACTACAATAACTATGTCTACCTCAAGTGTCATAACCAGCCAATTGTCACGTACCTCGGTAGTTCTTCTGGTGATTCAAAAGCTTAAGTTTATTCATGATGTCACATATGGCTGTCAAACTACTCCATCCTCACTTGGAGTCATCATTTTAACATTGTTCTTTCCCTGTAAATAATAATTATCTCCTAAATCCAGATCAAAAAATGTATTTCTCTTGTTACCAAAGATACTATAGTAAAGTTTTTCCTAGTAAATAAAAGTCTATATCAATTTACAAGTTAACTACAGCTTTTCAGTAGTCCCGGAAAAGAGAATTGGATCAATAAACTTTTAGTATCCGAACTTTTTAAAGAAGATTGAATATTATGAAAGTTTAGATCCCTTTAAATATAGAATCAAGTAAAATATACGCCTACGTCTGATGCTCTTTTGTTATTATTCTATGTTTTTGTGTTAATCTTTACATCGTTTATTACAAGTTGTCATTGGACGACCCAGACATGTGAGTTATAGACTGTAGTTATTGTGACTGGTAGAGTGTATGTTGGACTGGTGACTGGTAGAGTGTATGTTGGACTGGTGACTGGTAGAGTGTATGTTGGACTGGTGACTGGTAGAGTGTATGTTGGACTGGTGACTGGTAGAGTGTATGTTGGACTGGTGACTGGTAGAGTGTATGTTGGACTGGTGACTGGTAGAGTGTATGTTGGACTGGTGACTGGTAGAGTGTATGTTGGACTGGTGACTGGTAGTAGTGTATGTCAGACTGGTGACTGGTAGAGTGTATGTCAGACTAGTGACTGGTACTGGTGACTGGTAGTGAGTGACTGTACTATAGTCATCTGGACTGTATGTCAGACTGGTGACTGAGACTGTGAGTGATGTGACAGTGTGACTGGTGACTGGTAGTGGTGACTAGAGTGTATGTCAGACTGGACTGGTGACAGTATGTGTACTGGTGACTGGTAAGTGTATGTCAGACTGGTGAGTAGGTGAAGTGTCAGACTGTCACTGGTGGTGACTGGTAGTAGTGTATGTCAGACTGGTGACTGGTAGTAGTGCATGTCAGACTGGTGACTGGTAGTAGTGTATGTCAGACTGGTGACTAGTAGTAGTGTATGTCAGACTGGTGACTGGTAGTAGTGCATGTCAGACTGGTGACTGGTAGTAGTGCATGTCAGACTGGTGACTGGTAGTAGTGCATGTCAGACTGGTGACTGGTAGTAGTGTATGTCAGACTGGTGACTGGTAGTAGTGCATGTCAGACTGGTGACTGGTAGTAGTGCATGTCAGACATTTTACCTAAATTATATACCTTTTTACAGTATTTTTTGCCACTCATCAGCTTACAAGTTGTTTGGGCACTTGGTCTGTCCAGGAAACCTGTGATGTTTGGTAGGAACATGTGTATGGGGGAAGCAGGACTTGAACTCTTTACATATCATCGGTGTGCCATCAGCCCCCAACACTGTACTACAAAAAATAAAAATAAAAAAATAATCCATATGGCTGTTGTTAGATTGCATAATTAAGTCATTTATTAAAAATGACATGAACTAACCTAACCTAATGATCTTCGAGTACTTTATATTAAAGTTACCACAGTTAAAGTTATGTAGTTAAAGTTAGATTTTCTTTGTTCATTTAGAATTTCCCAGAAAAAAAATTATGCTAAATGTTTAAGTTACAATTCCTCAGGTGTATGTGGGCCATTCTCAAGGTAAGGAACAACTTATATACCATATAAAAATTTTCTAAATTATCTTTAGATTAGCAAGAAGAGCAAAGCATTACTGAATGTACATTTACAGTACAATAATCAATATGGGAGTCTATACACAGTAAAATCAAAGTTTGGGGTTGGTTAATGAAAAAATGAATATCTTAGTCCCTTATATATAAGTTCTTTTGTGTTTTATTATGTTTTAGGTTGTTAAGACCTAATGTGCATTATTATCTACAGGTATCAGGATTCTGGTGGTGTGGAGGATGCAGAGTACCACATTATGTATGATCACTATGATCACATTAAGCTGCCACAGGACTCAGCAGCTACCCTCAAGCTGACCTCTGTAGTGCATGAAGAAGCCACAGCTGTGTCTGGTACTGACTCTCTTACAACTCTCACCTTGTCAGGGGGTGAGGCATTGGCTTCTTCATCCCTAGTCAATAATGCTCTCTCTGCAACCACAGTTCTTACGACAAATTCGGCACCACCTCTTTCTGCACCCGGTACACTTACCGACACCTCCCATGCTGGTTCAAACCCCGTCCAAATAAATGGGACAGCTCTCTCTACAAGAAGCACAATTTCACCTGCTAACATAACTGCTGATAATAACTTTACAGGTGCTGTTATCTCAAGTAATGACACCCTTACTGTTGCTACAATGTCTGCTGTGGGATCATTTACACCAAGTAGAACATCTCACATGGACATGAACCAAATTGTTAATACATCAGATGATGGTGTCATCGATGGTAACCTTGTTACTTCTTCCTCCATAGATGCTGTGGTAACATCTATGGTTGCCTCCTCAGAATGTCAAAGTGTGACGTCAAATTGTCAAAAATTATCACCACCACAGGTTATAGTAAACCTCTTGGGGGACGATTCAATCAGGCTGGGTATGGTTCGTATTATAACAGAGCCGGGTGTGGAAAGTGCATCTCACCATCCACATGGCTTTAGTATGATTACAAGGAATGGTACTCTTGTACATAATAAACTGTCAGAAAATAGTATCATTAATAGTGTTGATTCTAACCATTACCGGCAACCTGAAGTACTGAGACAAACCATAAGATCTGAAAATGTGGAGTGGACTTGTGCTTACTGCAGACTGGCATTCACAAGCTCAGAAGCTGTTGAGCACCATCAAGAAAAAGACTGCACAGAGAACAACCGTAACAATTTAACCCTGACAACCACGACATCCCAGTCTACCGTTGATGCTTTGATGTCTCCTTTGAGACAAACCGAAGAGCCTACTTACGAACTCAAGATAGAAAGAGGAGATTCTCAGAGAAGTGATGAAACTCAAAATATTCTTGAAGGATATCCCATTCAAGAGGTTGATGTGGAAGATGGAATGGATTGTGAGACAATGTGGAGCTGTGCTGTGTGTGGGAGTGAGTTCTCTCAACCCAAAGATCTGAGACAACATCACTTGACTCACACTGTTCAGGAACTGTCATCAGCTTTATTTAAGTTTACCAAACCACATCAGAAAATTATACAAAGTCATAATACTGCCAGTCAACGTTCACTTGCCACAGCAACCATTCAAAATCTGCAGAACGGTAATTCAGTCTGCAGATGGAACAAAGACCGAACCAATACAGCAATAACAAAAATAAAGGAGGAAATGGTGGATGACCCTGGTGACACACCCCCTCACACTCCTCCCCAAGAAAAAATAATTAACGAGACCAAAAGAAAGCCCGGTCCAAAAGCTAAGCCTCGTGAAAAAAATGAAAAAAGAAAGTACGTTAGAAAGTTAGGAGAAGATGGTAAGCCTCTTCGTCAGCGTGAATATAAGGCGCCTCCTGCAGGTAAGGGAAGTCGGGACCCACACCCTTGTTATGTCTGTAGGAAGATTTTAAGTTCCAGAGGTAATCTGGCCAAGCACTTAGTGTTACACAGCAAGAAGAAACCATGGGTGTGTGATGCGTGTGGGGCCGAGTTCAACGCCAAGCGTGATCATTATCACCACTATATGCAGCACCACACAAATGAGAGGCCAAATATCTGTAAAGTTTGTGGGAAAGGTTATGTTGACAGTAATTACTTGCTAGAACATATGGTATTTCATACACAAGAAAAGCCATTTTCATGTGATATTTGTGGCAAATTGTTTAGAACAGCAAGATGTGTTGCAAGACATAAAAAGAGACATGAAAAGGAGAAACATTTTGACTGTACATTGTGTATTAAGTCATTTGCCGTAAAAGCTGATCTCACATCTCACATTCGAAAAGTTCATCGCAGTGATAAAAAATCTCAATCCATAAAACATGTGAATCTTCAGCACACCATGCAACACCAACAACAGGATCGAGAGACCCAAGCAAAATCTAAGGACCTGACAGAATTTTTGTTACCGGGAGGAACGCCTACTCATCTCATCCTGCCAAGTGCTAGTCTTAGTGGTTCTGTCTCTACAAAAGATAGAATCTTTATCAGTAGTGATCCCTTAACAGTACCCTCAATGATACCAATAAGTGGTTCAGGGGAAAATGGAGTCAATTGTTCATACGGAGTAGCATTAACGGCACCAGCTGGAGGACCGGGAGGAACGTCGGCTGTTGATGGTCATACAGCATACATCATGATGAACAATGGTGTTGAGGTTACTTCTGACAGAGTATCATCGACAGATGGCCTTAACATCATGTACACCACCACACCAGCTTCTGCACAACAGGTAACAATCATAACAACTTAATGAAATGGGGAAAAAATTAGTTTTTAAAACTTTTGGATTTAGTAAAAGTACATAATAAAGTAGGATTTTAAGGTCTGGCTCTCTCTATTGCATTAGGAAGACTGCTGATGTCTTCCCTCCCCTCCCCTCACCTCACTCAAGTGTCATATCTCATTGTTTTCCTAACAGTTCTCTTAATTACCTTTATTAAACATATCTGTACATTGTCACTATTCCTATTGTTGATTTATGAGTACATTAATCTCTCTGTTAGCCATATGATATTTATGCCTCCCTCCCACCCACTGCATTTCACACTAGTTATACTAAAGTCATCACTACTATTCATCAAACTACTGTCATTCATGATACAATATTGTTTATTTGTTATTCATTAATTAGTAAAGACACATTACTACCTAACACCATCAGCAATCCACTCCCACCCATCATCCCCCTCCCATGATCACACCTTATGATAATAATATCCTCTTCTTTTGGGGGGCATATTCTCTATGAACAACTGTGTGTACATGTATCAGAGTGAAAGAAATTGAATAAAAATAGTAATAAATAAAATAAAAGAAAGAAATACCGCATTGCCAGTTGGCAATACAGTACTGTACTGTAGTTTCACTACTCGAGGGAGATGATGGTTTGAATGTGGAAGGAGCTATTTTTTGTGCTCTTGTATTTTATGATATATATCAATTTTATTGTTTATCTTAGCAATTTTTTTTAACAGTGGTTATAGCACCACTGGTGACAGACAAGCGAATGAATGACTTCAGCTGCGTTCAGATTGTTGGACTAAATTAGAATTTTTACCGAATTGGGACCAAAGAGGGCAAACGTAGGATACCTGAAAGATTCAAATAGTTGGAATTCAGATAAAAGAATTGCACTGTGTCTATGACCTGGGATTTACCATAAAAGTGGAGACGTTCTGCATACAGTGGCCTGACATGAATGGGGGAGGTTATTGGGTCAGTACTGCAGGAACCAAATTTTACCAGGTGGTGCCATATATTAATTCTGGTGTCATAGATAGTTTCTGGTGCAATGCATAGCATCTTATACAGTACTCACTCACCACATCCATGTACTGGGTGGAGTGATGGTGTGGCACACGTGAGAGAGCTGACTAACCACAAGGTATGTGTGGGAGATGTGCATCTGCCAACGGTCAGTCACAACATCTCCAACAGACTCATGGGTAGCTGAATTTCGATTGTGAATCTTGAATAAAGGGTCACAAATAATTTTTCATGAACAAGTGAATTCACAAATATGGAGGGGGGGGGGGGAGTGTAAGTGTTGAGTAATAGTTGATATCTTTATATACTAGTGAGGAATAACAGTTACAATACTATGTGTATAACAGCCATCTCTCAATTTGCACGGTAGTTACGTTCTTGAGAATGGCCGTGTAAATAAAAAACGTGTAAATCAAACTTAATTATCCCATAAGAAATAAAGGAAATGGCAGGGGTTAGGAGAGATGCTCCCAATAAACTACAATTTGTTTATCTATTTCCTTTTAATATGTTTTATTTACAATAATATAATAACAATAATAATATAATAGAAGCAAACCTAATAATAGTCGTAAGAAAATAGATTTAAAATTAAAATGTGCTAATATTTACGTTGAATGATGGGTGGGATGACGTAAGGGAATTAGTGGTGGCGGAGGAGAGATGAGGGTTACTGGAGGAGGGAGTCATCTGCATCAGATGACAGAGCAGGTGATGAAGGGGGGGGGGAGGAGAAGTGGGAGCTTTTGTGATGCCAGATGTAGATGGCTGAGGTTCAGGTGACGTTACTTTTTCCTTAAGTAGGAAAGCAATGAGGTACTGAACTTCGCTGCCTGGCGCTGTTTTCAAAACCGTGCTATTTAAAAATACTTTGTGTTATTTTAAAAGTTATTAATTTAATACTAATGTTATTTAAAAAACGTGCAAATTAAATCTGTGTAAATCAAGAGGTGACTGTAGTTGATATCTTTATATGTTTGTGAAGGACAGCTGTGTTAACTGGTTTTTTACATTAAGGTGTGTGACCTTGATGGGAGTCACCTGGATGAAATGCAACAACTGTCATCATCAGTGGTAAGTGGTGATGGGCAGCTCCACGACTCAAACCTACTACACCAGCACCTTGACAATCGACACCCAGGACAAGACACAGCGGTTGTAACTGCAGGTAATTGTCTCGAGCAGACAATGTGTAGTTTGTTTCTTATGATTATACAAACTTTTCAGTACTGTACATCATAACCCACAAAAAATAGTAAAGTACTATACAGTACTTAGTGTTTTCCTCTCTTATAACACTCCAACATTTCTTCTCTCCCCTCCCATAGTGCTTTTGTTTAAGTATTTGGCTCATTGATACTACAGTCAACCCTCGTTTTACGCGGGCCGCCGTGGGTTCAATTGACCGCGTAAAGTGAGGGTTCAATGTATACCATAAACACCCCTGGGCTTCAGGCTATGGTCTGCAGCTTAGGATGGAGGCCTCATGATCACGCACAGTCGTTTCAAGTGATTTACGTAATTCTGTGAACTTTAATACCCATAATGAAGACGACTTAAAATCGATCAGCTGCATCTCCAAGTCCCCAATTTCCATCCACTTTCCTCAAAGTTTTCAGGTTTAATTAAAAAGGAAAACATTGGCCCAATGTGCTGGAAATCTTGAAATCTGACTTCAGTTCTTGCATGTACACTGCAATCTCTGTAATGTTCAGCTGCTTGAAGTAGCCGAATGTTGTAGTTTCAATGTGCACCAAGTAAACATATAATTATACTCCAATTTCTTAAAGAAAATATCCAAGAAAAGGAACACAAGGTGAGCTACCTATTTTGTGTAGCTAAAATGGCAACACTGGGTCCGACCCGACAAGGCTACAGCCAAGCGGATGGGTACTGGATGCACGAGTTCTAGCTCCAACTCATGTCACACTTTGTTTATTTGAAATGGTCCTATTATTATTCGTTTTTGTAAGGTTTTTAAAATCGCTTGGCATGCCATGGTCAACCCTCTTGCGTGCTCAAACGGACAAACCTGCGTTAAATGACATTGTATGTGGAAAAAACGGAAGTAAGTTGGATGTAGCTTTGTAACTAAATATATTTTTTCTCAAACAGGTGAACCTGCATTGGATGAAACTCACAGATCAGACCTCAACCTAAATACCACCACAGGACATCCAGCAGCGGATATCACAGCTAATGGAAGCCACGACCCCACTACAGTCCACTCCACACATGATCCAAATTCAAGTTTTCACCTGGAACTTATCTCTCAGACAATTCAACTAGAGTTACAAGAATCACAGACTTCTTCTACAAGTTATTTAGAGTAAAACTAAGAATTATTCAAATATTTTATGCTACAAAAATGTTATTACAGTACAAGAATTTTATATTATTTTTCCTATAATAAATAAATGAATTTTTATATGGGTTTGTACTTTTTTTATTATTGGACAAAGTGTGAACCCAGGTAATGTATCTTCAAAGGCACATAAAAGCACTTTGCTCTCAACAGATGTGGCATTTCTTGAACATTAGTTTTTTTTGAATGGCTGGTATATACAGTGAACCCTCAAAGATTTGGACCCGGTAAATCCAGATTTTGGAAGATTTGGACAAAATTTGGGGGTTCTGGAGGCTAAGAAGCATTCCCAAAACAGAGCAAAGATCATCTTAGGCCCATGTAACTAAGATGACTGGACACAGGTGTCTGAGGAATCAGAAAACAAACAGAGTCGTCAATTGTAGTTTGTGGGAATATTATTTCATTAACTCTAGTAATGATACAATGTTTCTTGTTATGTTATCATAGGTAAATGCATGGTTTATATAATTTGTTCATCACTGTGCCCGTCACCGTTTACAAATTAGACTATACAGGATATGTATTTCGATCGTATGCCTGGCAGCAGGAGCGAGTAGGGGCGTGAGTAACCTCTAGTTGTAACTCTCCTCACTCCCTGCTAGATTTCACTGGATTTACTGTTGTTATTAGTGTTTACCGATATAATAGCACTTAATAGTAAATAATCATGGCATTGCAACTTAGACTCGTCACTGTAACAACCAGGCTATTGGGTCAAGCTGTGACGTGTTATGGTTGTCTTTCAACTCGTATTTATTTTTGCTCGGTTACATACATGTTGTGAGAAAAACAAATGAAATAATTGTCCTCAGGGCACACATATGAAGGGAATACAATACTGTACTGTATACATTTCTTTGCACACGAGTTAGCTGGCAGAGTGGGGGAGAGGGAAGAGCATGTGGGGGAGGGGGAGGGGGAGGGGGAGGAAGTGTTGCTAGGGAATCGACGGAGGTAGCATCCTGGCTGGTCTCCGTTGCTATGGTGAAGCAGGGAGTGCAGCAAGTCCTCGCTTAACGCCGTGGTTACGTTCTTGAAAAACACAACGTTAACAGAAAAAATTTTCCCCATAAGAAATAGATAAAATATGGGAGTTACGTTCCCCAGCCTCCCTTTGCCCCATAAAATACTGTACATATACATAAATTCAATGGAATTTTTATAGAAAATAGTATATATTATACATTAAAAAGATAAACAAGCTAAATCCTTTTGTACTGTACTCACTGATGGGCGTATAGTACGCAGTTGTGGGGGTTAGGCCTAGAGCAGCACCAATGTCCACCGCAAGGCTAATAGTCTTGTGTTGCTTCATCACAACACTAACACTTGATGCACGCTTGGTAGCCATTTCAAATGGTTACAGTACAGTATTTAGAGCATAGACACTTAAACACACACAAACGCTGTGGAAGCCTAACAAAGACTGGGGACGCTGTTACACTCCGCAAGAGAGCGTAGCTCGCCAAGATGAGAGAGGGTGATGCGCCGTACAAAGTAGTCTGTGACGCTATACCGAATCGGCTGGACGTTGTCCGAATCATGGGGTATCTAAAGAGTAGTGACGTTATAACGAAATAACATTGACGGGGGCAACGTTAAACGAGGGCTTACTGTAGTTGCCTAACGCTGCTACAAGACAAATTTTCAAGATTTTTCATTTATTGTGACAAAATGTTCATTAATAATTCTTATGTTCATAAAATGTATAATCATATTAAAGGAAGGAATTTGACCCTTTTGTACACTAAAGTCTCGAATAACGGATGGTAATGTGACCTCCAATATTGCAGTGTAAGGTGAATCATCGCATCGTGAATCATTAATTACCAAGGGGGACCTAAATAGGGTGTATAAACATCACAAAGGACACTACTCAGTTGAGTGCCCTTACCTGGAGCTGGCGGATGCTCGTCCCACAAAGGGTCACAGCTCAAGGTTGAAGAAGCCGCAAGCCCTGAAAACTGTGAGGGATAACTTTTTCGGAGTGAGAGTAGTGAAGTCTTAGAACAATTTGCCAGTGTGTGTTGTGACGGCACCAAGTGTGAGCTCATTCAAGACCAGACTTGACCAACACTGGGAAAGAATCAGATACATTCAGGAGCCGGTGCATGCCCAGTACTTGCCAACAGCGTGTTACAGAGACATGACCAATCGCCCAAGCAGCTAACGAGAGAGAGAGAGTGTGAGTGTGTGTGTGTGTGTTTGTTTTTAAGTAGTATAATAATTAATAATAATTCTTGACCATACCCTGTTACTGGCCACCATAGATAATTACAACAGCAAGATAAGACCTGGATGACACATTAGGCTAAAATCATTTCTTTATATTTTTGAGGAATTAACCAATTGGTCAAGACAATGGTTTGTATGGTTGAGTAAACAAAACTGCAGAAGTAAGGCAACATTTCAAAACATTGTTACCAAAGCAGAGGAAACTGTATAGTCAACGAAAAAAAATTCTGCACCTTTACGGTGTTATACAGTACAGTGGGGTATGCTATAACGAATCTAATTGGTTCTAGAACCTTGTTCGTTATAGCATTCGTTCGTTATAGGATTAATCCGTTCCAGGCCCCCAAATACAACCACTTAACACTGAAAAATATAATATAAAATTGTAAAAAAGTGCATAAAGATGCATCTAAACCCCTGAAATAAAGAATATCATTAATATTTGTAATAAAAAATCAATAAATTAGAAGAAAAAAAATAGTAAATAATGTTCGTTGTAGGAGTTTCGTTCGTTATAGCATTCTCAATTTTATAGATAAAACCGTTCGTTATAGGAATATTCGTAGTAGAATCCGTTCGTTATAGCATACCCCACTGTATGTCACTGGACCAATAATTATGAACAACACTCACTTACTGTGACGATTCCTGTTAATTTATCTGTATTAACTATATGTGATATACAGAATACATCATATTCATTACACAATGCATCACACAATCAGAAGTACCAACTTTACCAAATTAACATGGCCTCGGTCAGTTCGTTGCAAAGACTGTCAGACCCAGGGGTGCAGAAATATTTTTTGTTGACTGCACATGTGGGAGTAAAGAGCTGCCATAAGAGGAAGACTCGCCAAATTCGAGGGGGAAAAATGTACGTTTGATTTGATTATCTTGGAAAAAAATGTTCCAGGTTGTTGTGAAACAAGTGAGAGCTGGTACTAGTAAATATAAAAATGAAAAAGTAAATAAAAAACAATGTGTGTGTGTAAGTGTTACAAGTACTAGTCCATACACAATTACAACTTCAAAATTAAAAGATGAACCTTACATTTGTGTGATTTGTTCGTGCAAGTAAAAGAACATACCAACACATTAGAGTTACTGCAGGATATAATATTAACACAAACAACAAATTAAAAATAATAACTTCAAATACTCCTAAGTATGTTTTTGTGTTGGACCATCACTGGGAGGTATCAGAGGTCTTCTTGGTAATTTACCACATCACTTGCTTGAGACAATGACTGGTCCTTGGTCGCATCTGAACCCTGGTAATAAAAAAAATATAAAGTATCAATTGAAGTTTTCAAATTAACAGAAAGATAATTACTGTCTTGGTCACAATGTACAATTTATTGCATTGTAATTGCTTCTTCCTCACACTCATTGTGTACTCACACTGCCACACTTATTTTACACACAACTAACAAACAATCATCTTGTGTGTCTCACACTCACCCACGTCAAAAAATATTTCCTCACATTGTCACATTTGTTTCCTTAATCACACACACTCTTTGGCATTTTTATTCTAAATAAAATATGAAATAAAACGGTATAAAATGAATAACTTACAATTGAAGCACTAGAATTAATGAGGTCATCAATTGATATGTCTTCATCTATGTCGTCTACCTCTTCAACACACTCCTCTTCCTCTTCCTCATCTTGGTCTTCCTTATCACTCATTGAGGAAAAGTCATCTTCATACTGTTTTTCTTTACCTATTACAAAGAAAATTTTGTGTTTATTTTTAACTTCCCAATATTCATGTTAGTCACAAAACGGAGTTGTAAACAACACAAGATAAAGGAACAATACAGACCATCGAGACACTAAAGAACACAGATAAACAAAGCTTCCATACCAGTGGGGGAAGTGTGGTAGCTACCTTGGTTCTTCTCCTCCATAGACGACAGTACTGGAAACCTGGCAGAAGGTGCATTGCTGTAGGGTGACAACAAGCTTCACATGAGAACACTATCCTTGGTATCAATATCCAAAACTTTCAAGAGGAAAATCATTGACTTTGGTGTACATGTAAATCTTTCTGTCTGTCCAGCTATCCTCCTGTAACTTTTTCTGCCAATTTAGCCATCCACCTATCTTTCTCTTCACCTACACACCTTAATGTCTGTCCTATCCAACTCAAAATATGTCAATACACTCATCTACTCACTCTGTCCAAATATTAATACCTCCTGTACTGTAATTCTCATATGCCCATTTTGCTTGTGCTCATCAATTACACTTTTCATTGACCTTTTACAAATTATGTACAGTATTCCTGTATATTAAATCACCATTCATCAACCTCTGCATGGTGATACAGGTACAGTTGGCTCCACTCCTGTGTTTACCACTTAACGTTGCCAATCCTCTCTCTCCCCGAGGTGTGATCCGCAAACTCGGAAGTGTGAATTCGAAGCATTTGCCCAGAGAGCGGGAGAGAGAAGGGAGGGGTGTGTCGGGATAGGTGTCTTCCCCTCACATGGGAGACGAATACTCCACACCGTAACGCTTGGAGGAGCACCACACAAGAAGGTGTCAATACTTTAGTGTTTGCCCGACTGCATACGGAGGCAGACAAGCACCAACGCCGGAAAGATGCTGCCGCCGCCCCTCCCTCACTAGATGTAGCCCTCCACATGTGCAACATCTGTGAATGACTCTGCCGTTCCTGTATCGGCCTCTTTAGTCACCTCAGAACTCACTATCATAGCTGGATGATTGTCATACTGGAATCTGAGTGACAGTACAGTAGTAGTAGTAGTAGTAGTTGTGTGTGTGTGTGTGTGTGTGTGTAATTTTATTAAGATTATCTCATAAGGAGAGTAAATCCTGTTACAGTATTAATATACAACACAGTAACCTGGACACAGTAAATAAACAACTACTGCACAAAACTATGCTTACCCAAAATTACTGTTGTCCCCAACACCAATATTTTGGCTGGTCTGGTAACTTTCTGAGCTTAGTTTATCATCCTGTGATGTTAATTTAATGGATGCCCGGTCAATCTCTGGTCGTGGCTTCAGTTCTGCCTCTTTTGTCGAGTCTTTGTCGCCATTTTTGCTTAGCCCACTTCTGCCTTCTGCTTCAGTTGTGCTGAATGACTTTGAGTTTTCAGAACCCGCTTTATCAAGAAAATTTGAAAGACTAGATTCTGGTTTGGTCTTAAATAACTCACTGCCACTATGTGATGGATCTGGCTGAGGCATACCATTGAGCATAGGTAGCTGTGAATAATGTCCTCTGTTGCTATTTACAGAACACTTCACTTGGCTATTCTTCTTCTGCAAAAATAGTACAAAATATTATTAAGAGTAGAAAAGAGTAAGAATTAATGAAACAATACCAACTAGAGACAGTCAGTTAAGTCTAATACCCATTACTGAACCCAAGAACCCTTGCAAAAATAAATTACCCATATTCTATATCTAAGTAAACACACACTAATACAGTGATATCCCCATTTGCTGGAACAATTGGTGCAGAGCATTTCCGGGATGAGAGATTTCCGGCTAACCAGAAGACTTTCCCAAACCCGGAAAAATCCCTCATACCAGGAAATATTTCTGGTTACTGGAAATACTTTCCAAGTGTCTAAACTATGCATCTTACACAGACAAACACTAGCCCACATCCTCAAAATGTTTTTGTGTGCTGGGGAGTTTTCCAAGAGTCTAAACTACAGGAGTCTGCAAAAGCAGTTCTAATTAAGTTAGAAACTCAATTTCTTCACTAAAATAATCCAGAATACAGTAGTTTATCTAAAAGTTTGGTTAAACAATAATGTATTGTTCATGACAACATATATATATATATATATCTATATATATATATATATATATATATATATATATATATATATATATATATATATATATATATATATATATATATATATATATATATATAGATATATAGATATAGATATATATATATTCAAGACATCTTGAATATATATATATACGGTAAAAGAATAAAATCAGGTTTTACTATTTAAAAGAGGAAGAAACAATCAAGGTTAAGTAATGACTTGTATTTAAGAGCTGAAAGTATTGTTGTGTACAAGAATACATCATCAACTTTGTACAAAAATTAACAAAATTATATGTGTGTGTGTGTAAGAACACTAATGCTCACCTCAACAGGAGATATATTGGACTCTCTCTCTCTCAGAAGCTCAATTAGCAGAGGAGTTTTCTGACCACCTGTAAATCATAATATCTGTAATACAGTTTTCTTATATGTTCACAGTTACACCAAATATGCTAAATACTTTAATGAAACTGTCAGACTCCCATACATTTTTGGGTAATTATTTATATAGCACTGTACACCTAACCCTTGCTATATGTGAATTCACAATTAGTACTTCTACTCACAATTAATGCAAACACATAATTGGTATTAGTTGTTCTGTGTAAGATATGGGAAGGGGAAAAAACTGGGGATGAGGTGGCCTGTGAGATGGTATGTTGCCATTGTTACATGTACTAAAACTATACAAGTTGAGGAATAATCATTACGATACTTTACTGTGACTTGGAAATAAATAAAATATAATATAAAACTATAAAATGAAGAGCATGGGTATGTAGGTGTGTGTGGACGTTAGACTCTCACTTTAGCTACAGCCCTCACCCTACCAGGCCAAGCTGTGAGATTTTTATTGCTATTTTACAACTCCTAATATCGAGTGGATATACTGTACGTATTCTTTTTGTGTTACATACAAACACACAATCATTCATTCACTATATGCCCCAAAAAATTATCAACAGGTAAAAAAAATAAAGGGAATGAACATTTTCTTGGAGTTAACAAGCGTAGCGGGGGAGGGGGAAGTGGCGTGAGGGATCTCTGCCACTCATTGTCTCCTAGGTACAGTGTGTAGTGAAACAATTGCCAAATGGCAATGCAGTACAGTAAAATCTCCGTTAGCCGGAATCCCTCAAACCTGGAACTCTCTGATAGCTGGAATTTAAATTTTCTCGGAAAAGCATTCCCATAGTCAAGAACATTTTCTGGAAAAAATATAAATAAATAAAAAAATATCTGAAAATCTCAGAATTTTTATTACTGGGCTTGGGAAAAAATCACGAGGCTGAAAATCAATAGAATTTTCTAAAAATCCGAAAAAAAAAATCTGAAAATATTCTCCACATTTTAATTCCAAGTGTGGGAGCACACACATAATACAGTACAGTTAAAAGAAATAATTGTGCTAAGGGCAAACACAGAGAGAATATACATTCTTCGCACACGTAAAAATGTACCCCCCCCCACCAGTCAGCAAATGATAATCATGGATTTGGCATTTTGCAGCCACTTTGAGACCCAAACCCCTGCAAATTTTCAGGGTACTGTATGCTGTACAGCACTGCACAACACAAATTGTATGCCAAAACAGCAGCTAGCAAGGGAACAACCTTCTACAATGACAGCAGAATATGAACTATGCATTTCAAGCAGCTAGGCCACCCATGCACCTGGCACGTAGGGATGGGTTGGAGCATGACGGAATCTCTCGGAACTCCCTGAAAATTAAATCCCAGGCCCAGAACGGAGATATTTAGAGAGATTTTCCGGAACTTTTCTCACAAAATTTTCCTGAAAATGCACCTGATTTTCAACCTCTGAAAATCTTTCACAAACCTAGAATTTAAAGAAATTTTACGGAAAAATTCAAATCAAATTTCAATTCCAGCTAAGAGGAATATCCGTCTAACGGAGATATTACTTAACAAATATTGTATAATACACAAACATATACAAGCCCCCACCCCTACCATTTTCTTTAGGGAACAGACAATGATACAGTTATGTTATAAAATACATTACTGTATTATACGGTGTTGTATGAGAAGAAAGAACATTCCCTACATACCTTTTTCTGTATTTAAGTTGAGGCTGCTGGTGAGAGCTTCAGTGCCAGGAAATGTCCAGCTGGTTGAGTGTCCAGACTCTGGTGCAAAAACTGCCAGAGAGAAATCTAAGCCAAGGCACTGGAGAAAATCTTGGACAAGGGCAGCAGCGATGGTACCCTCAGGTGTCCCCAGCAGCTTCTTGGCTGAGGCACTCACTAGGGGTATATTTTTCTGTCAAAGAGAAATTGAATTTTTAATCCAAACTTGTTTACACTGCATTATTGTGGTCAACACCGCTCTACTTATTCAATCACCTTCAAGGAAACACAGGGAATTTCCATTGTCTATTCTTAAAGGTTCAATTCATTTATTGAGAGGGATTGGAACTAAGAAATAAATTCCCATAGATAGTAGTAATTTACAGTACAGTGACACGACCATGCTGATGCATAACAGACATGGGCACAATGGTAAGGCTTAATTTGCTAAATAGCACAATCACTACTGGTATCATCATCAGTTCAACCAGTCTATGTTAATTTATGACTCCAAGTTTGTGCTGGTGACTTACTTTTGTCTAACTTAATACTAATGCTATCTGCTGTACAAGCATCTGGGTAGTACAAATAGTTATAATTCCTATTACAGTATTACTATCCGTTTTACCTACATTCCCAGGTAAAGAGAGCACTTCAGGTGAACAATGCCTCATCAATCAATAAGTCATTATACAGTACTGTACTGTATATCCCCAATTTTAAGTCTGTGTGAAATTTATTTTACAATTCACTTTTGAAAAGACAATACTGTACTGTAATATACTGAAGACAATACTGTACTGTAACATACTGAAGACAATACTGTACTGTAATATACTGAAGACAATACTGTACTGTAATATACTGAAGACAATACTGTACTGTAATATACTGAAGACAATACTGTACTGTAATATACTGAAGACAATACTGTACTGTAATATACTGAAGACAATACTGTACTGTAATATACTGAAGACAATACTGTACTGTAATATACTGAAGACAATACTGTACTGTAATATACTGAAGACAATACTGTACTCCAATACTGTACTGTGAGGACCTTTGGCCCCTCCAGCCCAGGCGTGAATGATTAACAAAGTTAATGAATGATTAACAAAATTTTAATCTAGTAACTTTTTAATTCTTTTTATACAAGTAATGGACCTACAGTAATCCTATTGTTAAATACTTTTGATCAGTGATTCCCAAAGTTTTTCACATGATGCCCCCTTTTGCTTTTTACTAAACCCTCACCTCCTCCATTTCTTAAAATAAATTTTATCAACTTTTAATGCAATTTATACCTCTTACTCATACAGGGTATTTAAATTACTTTAAGATCAACTAACTCGTAATTATTTTATCCACGTACGTACACGTATATTGTCCATATGGGGAAGATTGAAATACGTGTCCAGCACAATCCCAATTATCCGGCACCTACAGGGATTGAGAGGTGCCGGATAAAGAGTTTTTCCAGTTAATTGATCCCCCAATAAATCCTACAATGCACAGAGTTACACTGCTACAGGATGACCTCGCAAATTCGTGTCTCAATAAATTTGACTTTTTTGACACTTATTCCACTCTATATATAAAGGATGTGGCTTAGAAATAAAGAAAATATTAAAGTATAAAATGAGAAAAATGAAGAGCACAGGTGTGTACTGTATGTGTGAAAAGTGAACGTGTGTGGTGGTGGGCAATAATTACGTCTCCGGTGGTGGGCAATAATTACGTCTCCTGTGGTGGGCAATAATTATGTCTCCAGTGGTGAGCTATAATTAAGTCTCCAGTGGTGGGTTATATTTACGTCTCCAGCGGTGGGTTATAATTACGTCTCCGGTGGTGGGCTATAATTACGTCTCCAACTCGTCAGCCCAGCCATCTCGTTTATTGTTATTTGTAATTATAGCAGTTGAAAAATCATTACAGTACTTTAATATGACTTAGAAATAAAGATAATATAATATAAAACAAGAAAAATTAAGACCATGGGCATGAATGTGTGAGAAGTTAACGTTTGTGGAAGCGGTTATAGCCAAGTAAAAAATATTGTTGCAGAATTTTTGTGAAAATTCCTAATGCAGTGGGGTCTCATTTTTCCCCAGTATATTGTACTGGTATGCGTCTGTGCATAAAAAATCTGCACGTATGATGCCCTTTAATGTGTTAGGTTAGGTTAGGAAGTGGCCGGTTAGGTTAGGACATGGCCTGTTAGGTCCGGTACCTAACCTAACAGAAAAAAAAAGTGATTTGCCCCAAAGATAAATATCAGAATCATCTAAAACAGCAAGAAACTAGCGAAAAAATATACGTTTCATGTGGAAAAAATGTGATGGGTGGTTAACGAAAAATATAAATGCCACAGAAGTGTCTTAGAATGGTCTTGACTGTGAAAAACGTATTTTTTATGGAAAAATGACAGCCTAGCTACTAATTAAAAATTGTCCAATCAGCGGCTGTGAAGTCGTAATTACCTACATTATATCTATATAGATGCTTCAATAGGCTTACCTGAATCTTGCCCAGAACTCCATTACTGTGTAGAGTCTTGGTGACCAGCTCCTTGAGACTAGCATCTTCCTCCTCCTCAATGGACATGTTCAGCACAACACTACCAAATAGTGAACAACACTAAACAAATATTGAGAAAAACATACAAACAAATAATAAGCAAAAACACGAGGAAAGGTGAAACAACTGTAGTGTGTGAAGGTCAGTTGACTGTTGCCGATCACCTTCTTGTTTACGTTCTGGTGAAGCTGCCAACCAACACTGTCCCTTTACCATATACTTGTACACACTCGACTATATTATGTATATTTATATACATATGCCTATTTTATAATTTACATAAATATGCCTATTTTATATATATATATATACATATATTTATATACAAGTAGGCCTATAAATATAAATATACATATAGCGAGTGTGTACACATATATGCTAAAGGCACACAAAATGCCAATATGTATACAGTAGAGTGGAATTCAGACTTTATTCATTCATGAGATAATAATCATTTTAGTGGACTGTGCCTCCTTCCTGTATACTCGCTATAGTCTACCTCAGCCCTCTAGTTACCCTTCCAAAGGGATGAACAAGAATCCCAAGTCATATAATTTATAAAATCTTAAGCGCGGTCTGGCTTACGTCCCTCACTCTTCTCCTGTAGACAAAACCAGGCAAGTGGGTTATAATTAAAGACAGATGTAGATTGGCTGCTTATTCCACTTCCTAACGCAAGACACCATTACCACCACCACTCACCACACACATTAGTAACACACAAGTACTGGTTAGTTGTAAGTGGTGGGGGGGGGGAGGCGCTGCACTGACAGGAACAAGTGAACAGCTGACTTGTGTATCAATTTTATTAAATATTTTCATAATTTTTTCTATTAAAAGATAACGTGGTTAAAAATTATTCACTATAATATGCGGAGATCAGATCTATTGTGGGGTTATCACTTCACTATAAAGAGCAAGCATGTCAAGTACTGTAGGTTGAGTGCCACCGTGATTTTTTTTTTTGCCAGCCGAGAGCGCTGATTGGCTGCCAGCCGAGAGCGCTGATTGGCTGCCAGCCGAGAGCGCTGATTGGCTGCCAGCAGACATTGGTACGTCAATCACATTGGTGGAGACAATGTAAACAAACATGGCTGCTGTGGGTGAGTCTCTAGTGTCCTGTCTTGTGTTATGGATGTTCAGCTTTTTGTTGCCAGTAAAATATAACTCCAAGAGAAGACCAGAGAGCTCTTTAATGAATCAGCATTATACAGGGTAGGACTAAACAAGGTATTACTGGAATTATGTGATAATTTTGACATGAATGAACCCGTCCATAATTTTTTTACCGTAATGGACTTGAGGCTGTAATACAGTACAGTACAGTGTGAACCTAGTCAGTGTCTGCTAGAGCCGGGGTCTGGTATAGAAGGTGACCATTATATCGGGTTTACTGTACTTCTAAAAACTTTCAATAATGATAATTGATTATATTATTGTCATTTTTAAACCAAGTATGATGACTTATTTTGTATACACAGTGCTGCGAAACCTTTTGCTTTACTGCTTTTTCTTAGAGGAAATAAAATAAACTTTTATTTATAGATTTCTCTTACACTTGGAAACAGTTTCAGTATTTTCGAACCTTTAAATATTGTGTAGATTTGTTGTTTCTAGCAAATGTACTGTTAGAATGATGTAATTTTACATATACTGTATATTATATACTGAACTGTAATCCCTTTTTATTTCTTATACTTGAAATATTGTTTCAATTGTACTGTCGTAATATGTTGTTTCCTTTTTTCCTAATTATTGGAGGAAATAAAACGTGATATTAAAAAAAAATGGATTATAACCGTTATAATAAAATATATTACCTAAAACAAATTGTTTTACCAAACCAATAATGCTTCCATTTACACTTACACTTGTTCTACTGTCAAATGAACAAAACATCTTACATTTAACTATTCATCTTACACATCATGCATCTACACAGATCAAAACCATCTATCAATTACATGCCTTCTTGTCTACAGATCACTTTCAGCATTATTTATTATATCTTGCAGAGCTGGTGCTGCTACTGTACATCAGCCTGTGGCTTCAAAATGTTCATCATCATCAGGCAAGGGTATTCTGTGAGTAATGACAATACTGTATATGTAAAACCACTGATGCCTATATGCTTTTCTTTGTTGTGGTGTAACTTTGTGCAGATTGGTATCCCCAGTACTGCTAATCTCTTGAAGACCCCAAAAGCTCTTTCTATAACATTACAAGTTTTTATGTGAGCTGAGCAGTATTGTAGTTTCTCTCTGTCATTGGTGGGTGAGACCACTGGAGTAAGCAGATACTTCCAAGCAAGACAGCCAGAGTCTCCAAGAAGGTAGCTAGCATAATTACCTCCCTCAAGCATTTGACACACTCTTGGAATTGATAATTTTTTTGGAAAAATTCTGAGTACAAGTACCGGTAAATTTCAATTCTGGCTATTTGACAGTTTCGGTTTAGAGGGATTTTGGCTAATGGAAATATTACTTGTAATGTGGCTTAAAAAATAAAGAAAAACGTAAAACTATAAGTGGTAAGTGTTAATTTTTGTGCAAGTTTCCTGATTATGGTAGGTTAACTGGCCCTAATGTTGACAGAGGGAAGTGACCTGATAACTCAGAATGGGTAGTCCCATATATTCCTAGTTATCAAGGGTTTACTGTATATTTTATGCCAAGTGAGGCACAGTATGTGTAAAGAAAAATACAAACTATACCTAAACTATTAATTTCAGATATAAAGATGCGAGTGGATGGATGAAAGAAAGGAACACAATGGTAGCATGAGGAGACCATCCCACAAACATCTCCCACCACAACCTACAAAACAGGAGGTAGAACTAGTCAAGAACAATTCCTCAGAACTGTACAGTAAGTCAGTAAGATAATTAGTGAACATCTTCAGGAAAACATTGTAAGAATCATTAAGGTAAACTGTCAACTATCCAAGTCTTAAGATACAAATATGGAAGTCAAGTTGGTGCTTTAGGAAACAGTGAGAATGAAAAGGTTTATACAAGTGAATATTTCTCCTGAAAATACCAGTGAAGTGCTGCACTGTGTTAAATACTGTATAGGTATTGTCTAAATACAGTATGATGAGAGTTACAATGTTTCTACTAACTTGTGACTTGTGATTGTGTTCACTTGGAATGAAAGTCCCAATATATAAATGTGACAAGTGTTTGTCTGCTGTGCTTATATACTGTTGAGACAAAGTTCACATGTAAATATATTTCATACAAGAGTAACTCAAGAAGCACATACATGCACAGAACTATGAAGGGGAATTATTTATTTGTAAAGAGTAGAGATTTTTTGTTACACAGAATGATCAATTCAAATGTCTGTCCACTGATGGACAAAATTTCCTTGTACAAAGTGTTGTGAAGTGAGCATAAAAATGACTTTGGGGATGACCTAATGATGAGGAAAACAACAGTAATGATGCTTGTGCATGTATGTCTGAACACATTGATGTGAAGGACATTAAATGTGAAAAGGTAGATGAAAGCTTTAACAGTAATTTTGATACAGCACATGCGTCTCTGCCTGCTGAGAAAAATATTAAATGTGAAGAGTTTGATGAAAGCTTTTACAGTAGCTATGATGTGACACAACATATGGTTGTTGATGAGAAAAATTATGAGTGCGAAGAAAATGATGAGAGTTATTGCAATGAGAGCCAACTAGATTATCATGTGGTTGTTGATGAGAAAAATTTTAAGTGTGATGAATGTGATAAAAGTTATTACACAAAGAAACATTTGAAGGAGCACATGGTTGTGCACACTGGTGAGAAAAATTTCAAGTGTGAAGAATGTGATAAAAGATATTACAGGAAAGGTGAACTGAAGAAGCATATGGTTGTACACACTGGTGAGAAGAAATTCAAATGTGAAGAGTGTGATAAAAGTTATTACACAAAGAAACATCTGAAAGAACATATTGTTGTACACACTGGTGAGAAAAATTTTAAGTGTAAAGAGTGCAGTAAAAGTTATTACAAAAAGAAACATCTGAGGAGGCATATGATTATGCACACTGATGAGAAAAAATTTAAGTGTGGGGAATGTGATAAGAGTTATTACACAAAGAAACATCTGAAGGATCATATGGTAGTACACACTGATGTGAAAAATTTTAAATGTGATGATTGTGACAAAAGTTTTTACTTAAAAAGTAGTCTGAAGAAACATATGGTTGTACACACTGATGAGAAAAATTTTAAGTGTGAAAAGTGTGATAAAATTTTCTACTTAAAAAGCCACCTCAGGGAACATATGGTTGTACACACTGGTGAGAAGAATTTTAAGTGTGACGAGTGTGATAAAAGTTATTCCTTAAAGAGTCATTTGAAGAGACATATGGTTGTACACACTGGTGAGAAAAACTTTAAGTGTGAAGAGTGTAGTAGAAGTTTTTACTTGAAGTATCATCTTAAGATGCATGTGGTGGTGCACAGTGGTGAGAAGAACTTCATGTGTGAAGAGTGTGGCAAGAGTTACACAACGAAGGGTAATCTGAAGGAGCACATGATTGTACACACAGGTGAGAAAAAATTTAAGTGTGAACAATGTGATAAAAGTTTTAACAGAAATAATGATTTGAAGCTACATATGATTTTACACACTGGTGAGAAAAAATTTAATTGTGAAGAGTGTGATAAAAGCTTTTACAGAAATAATGATTTGCAGCATCATATGGTTGTTCACTTTGGTGACAAAAATTTTAAGTGTGAAGAGTGTGGGAGAAGTTACTATGCAAAGGGTCACTTGAAAGATCATATGATTGTGCACACTGGTGAAAAAAACTTTAAGTGTGATGAGTGTGGTAAGAGTTATTACACCAAAAAAGAGCTGAAGAGGCATATAGTTGTGCACACTGGGGAGAGAAATTTTAAGTGTGAAGAGTGTGGTAAGAGTTATTACAGAAAGAGTACACTGAAGCAGCATATGGTAGTGCACACTGGTGAGAAAAATTTTAAGTGTGAAGAGTGTGGGAAGAGTTTTTCCTTAAAAAGTTACTTGAGTAGGCATACGCTTATGCACTCACTTTAGAAAAATTGACAAATACGAATTTTGTGACACCTGTACAAGGAAATCCTCTTGTGGCTGTGAGGTCTTACGACCATCAAATTTGGGTCAACATATTGCACATCCATGTTGTCTTTTATCAACCTACCTTCTACAAGAACCAAGGCCAAGATTGCTGATGAGTCAAAGTTTATATTCTTGTCTAAATTATCCACTGGTTTTGAAATTCTGGAACTGAATCAGAATATTTATACTGTCACACCAGAACTTCTCTTCCAGAACAGCTTGAAATTCATCCAAAATTGGTGAAGTTAAAAGAGATTGAACCTTTTGTTGTCCAGCCTAGATAACTAAAAGAGTCTGGGCAGAAAAATTTCTCGGACAGTTCATGATATATACTGTAATGAAAAAATTGATCGATGACTTTCACTAGTCAGAAAATTCTTAATTAACTTCATTTCCCCACATTAAATGTACTGTACAGTATTCCAAATTAATTACAATCTTTAGGGTATTGTACTGATAGATATTATAAAAAGTACTTGTGAAGTTAGTCTAATAGGCCCATTAGGGGCAGTAACAATATAGGAGCCTTCAGTAAACAGAGTGCCTGGTGCTGCTCTCAACAACCTTTACGTCCTTGTCTGTAAGTTACATATTGTAGCCATTCACAGGTGGGCGGACTTGTCGGACAGTACAGTACCATGTCACAAACCTACAACCCCGAGGACAGGAGCCATGTACTGTAATGTATGTCATTGTCAGCCCTACTCCTGATATATGTTAAAACTAGAGTATCTATATAATGAATAATATGATATTTTGTTATATATTACTACTTGTATATCAAGTCGGTTTTTTGCCCCTTTAAAATTTGAGTAAGGTAAAAAAAAATAAGGTAATATTGTTCTCATAGTAAATATTTTCCATATCACATTTAAATTGAAGGATTTATTGTAAGATGTTCAACCTTTATGTTATATTTTTATAATTATGTTTACATTGAAATTCCATGCTACTGTAGCACTGGGTCCAGGACGAAAACTCAGGCTACGATTGCAAATTTATTTATGTGGCGAGGAGAACCGTGCTCAAGCGCAGAGCAAGACTGAGCAACTGTTCCGAGGCCACCCACAAGTATATACACCGGCTGTCTGAACGAAGCTTAAGTCTCGAACCAAGTTCAGCCACGTCAGCCAGCCGACTCGACAACAGTTACAACAAAACAATTAGTTTACAATTTCATGAGCATATACAAAAATGTATTTAGGCATCTGTTCAATTACATTTACTTTAATCTATAATTATAAAAGATGATTGTGTAATAACTATGGATAACAGTTTAAATACAAGTAGAGAATACAATAAATGAAAAGTGGTGTCATATCTCAAGGTATATAGAGAACAATGAGTAGTTATTCTTGAGTCCCTACACCACCTTTGGCATATTATAATTACATCTGGATAAAATAAACCACCAGAGAATATTTTTAGGGTTTATCATTTGTATTAAAATATATAAAAGTACCTACTCTAATTTTGTTTTACTCTGCTAATTTTTGTTAGTCTATAGCCACATGTGTGAGGATCCAGCCGAGTGTTTGAGCGACTAGGACGGTTATTACTCGTAGGTAAGAGTAACTGAAGAAGGATACTCATGGTTATACACGGGTGAAAAGTTTTAAGTGTGAAGATTATGATGATGGTTATTAAGGAAAAAGTGATCTCGGTATTCAGGTACATTCATGAGCCTGTGTATGTCCAGTACCTATAATTAGTACATAAAAAAATTAATGGTGAGCTGAAGAGCAGGATAGGATAAGGTGTGAGTTAATTTGGAAATTTGTTTTATTTTCCTGGACTACTATAGGGGTGAAAATAACCCACGTAATTCCCTATTTACTCATTCTGTTGCATGCCCCTATGATCAAGTTGAGGGACTTCCTATATAACCATCCCTGTACTGTACATTTCATATACTTCTGCTAAGGTCAACCCATTGGTGATAAGAAACAAAGTTGTAGAGAGAAATGTTTTACCTGCTATCATATAATAATTACATATACGGTATGTGCAAAAAATACCCATTATTTATTAATGACAAACTGAATAAAATTAATATATATAAAAGGGAAATCATAAGCTCACCTGTATTTACTGCTTGTTTAATTTGTGTACCGGTACTTCTTATTGTTCACTGTAGCCTTCAAAATGGGGTCTACGGTAAGTCTTTATGAAACAAACTCAAAAAATTGTGAACATGTCATTCCATACTTTACCTGGACACACAATTCAGACTTTACCAATGCAACTCTCATATAATTTCGATTGTCAGCCCACGGGTTATTCATCAGAGAAAAAGTTCTTTCAACAAATGCATTACTAAATGGAATTGCTAACATTATTGAGATAATATTAAGTAAATTAGGTGCTCTAGAGCCCGAGAAGAATGAGGCCCATTGCTCATCCAGAGTTTGCTTCTTATCTAACTGATAACACCTCTAATTAAAACCATTTTATCATATAATTTATCTTCATTTACTAATGCACTGACCACGGTCGTACTTGTTGGTTAACGTAAAATCAGACGTTTCATATTACTCTCAATAGCCCATAAAACATGTAGATATAACTTTATTATTGAGTCCCCCATCTGTGGTGTCCGTTTTCTCACCGCTTCATTACGCCTGAGTCCTTCGTTTTCTCTCAAGTGGTACCGAGACTCTGATATTCCCTCGTAACTCGTATCATGTTATGAAATTTGAAATTGCAACTGAATGTGTTCATGTTAGATTAAGTTAGATATGTTAACTTACAGATGAAACATTTATGAAGCAATTGTAATTTGGAAAACCATTTTCGAACCCATGACATAATAGTGGGAGATGCACATGTTACCATTGTACAACCAATAAGAAATATACAGTTGAAGTAAATTCTGGGATATTTCAACTACGTTACTTCATATCGTGGCCTCTGCTGCCGTCCTAAGACTAAAGTATTAAATTAAGTATTGGATTGAAGTATTTATTAACCATATGCGAAAATAGACAAAAGCGTAATTCACACCCACCACAAAATACGGTCGTTCTGCAATTCATAGGGGGGGGGGGGGAATCATGATTATCACAATGAGTGTTATTATATCCTAGGTAACATTCTAAACCAAGTTATTATTATTCCAGGTAGTTTTCATCACCTACATGACATTAACGGGAGTAAAAGTCATCAAAACAGGTAGGAAGGTTACATCACCAGGGAGACGCAGGCGCAGGATGTCATAAGAAAATGGGGAATTTTTATTGCGGGTCAAGTTGGCCGGAAACTGTTCTAAGACACAAAGTCGTCATCTTATTCCCCTAAATGGAAACTACCTACTTGTGATTTATGATGTTCTTATTACATTTACGTGAGGCTAACACGTAAACTTAACAGAACGGCCTGGGGTGGTGACGGCTGGTGCTCTTTAAAAACATAGGACCTAATACTATGTACAATACTGCTTCCCCCAGTAAGGAAGCCAGGGAGAAAGTGGATTGGGCGACTCTGAGGGCATGTCACGGTTCAACACTGGCCTACTTCTCTCACTCACTCACCTTCCCAGTACACTGAACCATCTCCTGTTTGAAGCTCAACATCTGTAACAATCTTTCATTAGTTACTAGGCAATACTAACAAGATGTTAATTAATAGGATGTAAACCAAGAATCCGCTCACTCCAGGAAGCGTTAGGGCGTTTATTCATCACGTAAAATAAGCTGGGATGCCTCATTATCCGAACTTGGTCATACTCGCTTACTGCACAACATGTAGACAAACATACCCCACGAAAGTGATGACCCAAAAACTCGATTCCTGACTTAGGCCTACTTTGTGACTTGGGGCTTCTGTTTATAAAGTGATTCACAGTCAACTGATGTTATGAAGCTGTCAGAACGAGGACGATGAGACGATGACTGATTAACTGGCTGTTTAGTTTAGTTTATTTTTGGCGAAGATTTTATTGTCAAAACCATTTCAGCTCCACACACAAAGTCAGCGAGATCTGGTTAAGTTCTTAATCTTGATAATATTCTTCTGAAGTGAAGAATAAAGTTACTTGACCTTACCAGCACCTGACAGACGGTGTTGTGGCCAGGGAGGGATGAGAGGAGTGTTGCACTTAGTTTTGTTGTTTTGTATTAAGTTGTGTTGTCAGCGGGTGGTAGTAAGCTACTAAAAATTGTGTTGGTGTTACAGTCACCTGTGTCAATTAAGATTTGGTCTCACTGAAGAATGTTCAGTCTATGTAGATTTGCAGGTGTGTACGTGATAAAAGGGGGGGGGGGGCAAACAGGTGGGTGTATGGGTGAAAGGCAAACTTTGGCATTGAAGTGAATATACACAAGACAGATATTCTGTTCCAGCTCGCCCAGGATCAGATACGCCTACACAATCCACCCAGATTAATGGGACCATCCTCTCCATCATTAACCAGTTCCAGCGTCTTGGTTCTCACCTGTCCATCAATGAAGAAAACCAACATCAAATCAGTTGTGCATCCCAAGCCTTTGGCAGACTGCGTACCTGTGTCTTCAGCTGTAGGAAGCTGAGATTATCTACAAAGCTGCACATTTATCAATCAGTGGCCCTCCCCACTCTGCTGTATGGCAGCGAGACAAGGGTCAACTAAAGGAGACTGCTCAAGGAACTTGAGAATTTTTAAACTAGGTTGGACTAGCCATGTTACCAGCATGGACGACGGCAGACTGCTGTGCAGTCATCAAAAAATAGCAAACGTAATGGTGGCAGGCAATGGAAAATATATAAGGATAATCTTAAGACAAAAGTGTCAAATTCTCTGCCTCACCTGGATGACGATCACTTCACACCATAACGTTTAGAGGATCACCACTTTCGAGTTAACTCTACTGCATATCGAGGTGGACAAGCACTAGCACCGCAAGACCCAGCCACCGCCCTTCCTCTGCTACTGCATCAACCTCTCAAACCACCTCAGAAGCTCACCAACGAACGTAACATCATTAATAGCTCACATCATTGTGTCATCACCGGATGACCGTCATACTCGATTCAAAGTGACAGCAAAGTAGTTTTAATAGGCTTCTACTGCTAGTAGTGTGTGTGTTTACCTTCACCCACGACATCCGTCACCACACACGTGTAGTAAAGACTGCGTCCCGGGAGTCTGCCAAATTGGAATTTCCCCTGGCGAAAAAAAAAAAATCTTTGTGTCTTATTTGTCCTTTTTTTTCGTATCAAGGACGCTGTAAAGGTCTAGAAGCTTCCTCTGTCTGAGGTTACGTTAGGTGAGGTCAGGTCAGGTCAGGTCTACATAAATTATTTACACATATTCGAAGTGCATAATTATTACGAAGCCTATAACGTTACTGAGGGAACACTCAAACCGCGATGGTGGGGTCGAATTTTAACCTGTTTTCACAAGTCAGACGGAGTCACATGTGAGGTTAGGTTACGTTGAGTGTGCTGGAGGCCGGGTTACCACACCTGCAAGACTTACTTAACATGTCACAGCGTCGTTTTCTTTGTCTTTATCCCTGTGATCCATAGCAGAGTTAATGGGTAATAAAGTCAAAGGCGTCTATCTATTAGTACAGTGCACTAAGTATTGTATAGCCTCTTCCACTTCCAACTGGTACAATCAGCTTAGTCAATGTGCCCTCTCTGTGTGGTGTGAACCCCGACGTCTGAACCCGAAGCATTGAGGAGCGAGGGAGGACTGTGTGGTCGGGTTGAGGAGGGTCGGGGAGGCTTGAGAGTTAAGCAGTTACCTGAACAGTTACAACGATGGATATATTAAGTCAGGATATAAATACGTAGGACAAAACACAGTAGAATGTGTCACCGCACATTAGGGCAGTATTCCCCGCTGTGGTGAAGGTCTCAACCATTTATCCTTATTTAATGTACTGAATTAACGAGATCATCGGTCACTGTGATAACCCCCCACACAGGCATCGGTCCTGCAGTATTCCTCCATGTCCTTCCCTCCTGCTGCTGACACTGTCTCTTACTCCAGGGGTGATAGGAGGATGGCCTCTACACATGGTCACCGTTTACGACGGGGTTGTATTTATGACCCAATGAATAACGGATGTATAGTAATTTAACAGCATCATAGTAATAGTGTAGTGAACAATAAAACACACCCAGGAAGTTGTCAAACACAATAATAATACCATGAAAATAACACACCAGTGAGCAGAAGTTCCCTCTGTATTTTGTGTTATTTTTCAATACAGATTATTATGTCTGTTGTCTACTGGACGGTGAGGTGAGGTAGAGGGGGTGTCAGCGCCAGACACACTTTAGGGCAGAACTCTATAATTTCTGGTATTTGTTTAAGTTGGAAAGCCCCAATACCACGCTGTATTATGTGGGCATAAAACACTTTGGCAATACCTGAAGCATGACGATGTGTGCCGTTGTATGGGGAGAAACATTATTCTATCATACTGCATCAAAGAAAAGGTATTGGAATTTTCTGATGAAAAGAAGGGGGTCTGGACCCCCAGGACACTTCCCCTGGA